TATGGCTGTGGCAAAGGGAGTCTGATCGTGACCCCGATAACGCCGTATATTAATTGTTATCTTCAATTGATTAAGAGTCTGAAGAAGCTATCACCGAGCTAACCGAAAACTCGCCGACAACCATGGTAGAAGACACCGAAACGAGGACTAAAGGAAGCAGAAAAGGCAAGAACACCCAGGTTCGGGTCGACAATAATGCCACGAGCAAGAACGAGCCGGAGGCCATCAACGATGAAGCCGACGGAGACACCGATTCCGACTCCGACTTTGATGATGGCGACAAGCGATATAACTTTCGCACCCTAGCAAAGCTCCTTGAACCTGTGCCAAAGCTCACGTCACGAAACTACCATAGCTGGAGCGCTCACGTGAAATCTTTCCTCCGATCCGTGCCTCATGCGATGAAACATCTCGAGGGAACGTACGACAAGAAACACCCGAAATGGAGCCGCTCCCTTGACGATGCTTTAATTAACGCCCTGCGTGGAACAATCGATACTACCGGAGAACACAATGTAAACTACCTCGTTCTAGATGTAATCAAGGAGTACCTTACTTTCAACCAAGTATGGAGAAAGATCGAAAACGGTCTCACGAATGAAGCCACCAAGACGTCCCACAGACTTGCGCTTGTCTCGCAACTCAACGATGCAAAGATGTTTCACTCGGATGCCAGAAAGCTAATCCAAGAGATCCGGTCCATACAAACTGAAAGCAGTCTCCTCGGAAAACCATTCGCTGATGATACATTGTTCTCGGCCCTGCAGAAATGCACGATCCGGCATCCGGTGTACAAGGAGACGGTTGCCACCGTCCATCAAATCGACTTCAACGCCCTTGCCACCGCATTAAGCATCCGGCAGACTGCTGTCGAGAGTGTCCCCGCACAAAGGATCGACCCCCGACAAGCCAGCGCTAGAACCGCCGGCAACGACGATCAAAATGAACGGGCCGGAGAGACCGAAGCCGAAGCCGACAACAGCCACGCGAGCCCGAGGAACGCAAGCAAACCACGCCGAATCCGATGCTGGATCTGCAAGCGACCGGGACATGGTATCAGCCAATGCGACGCCTTGGTTACCATTCCCAAGGACTCTCCCCTCGCTGAACCCAAATAGGAAGTGTGGTGCTCCCTCACCCTCCCAATGAAATGGCAGGACCCCTCGAACCCAAAAGAAACAGCTCATTGGATCTTGGACTCGGGGGCGAGTTATCATATGGTGAATGACTACAGCATGCTCATTCACCCGAGAACTTGCCGAAAGCGGATAATTACCGCCGGAAGCGAGGTCTTGGAAGCAGCAGCTATAGGAGATGCGAGCATATCAACAGATTACGGGGAAATCTCTCTGCAAAATGTATTGTATGTAAAGCACCTTAATGTTAACCTTCTGTCAACAAATTCATTAACGGATGAAGGAGCACGAGTGATATTGGACACAACCGGCGGCCAAATTTTCTTAACAAACGGCATGACACTTAAGATTGCAAAGAATCGCGAGCGAGGACTTCTGGAGTTCCGAGGCGACACATGGCAAGAAAGCGCGATGGCCACATCAGCACCATTGTTTGAAGGTGTTGATGAGGAGTTCGAGCATATTAAGAATGAGCCGAAAGTTTCAAAGCAACAACTATGGCATGAGCGTCTCGGGCACCCAGGAAGAGATAAAGCTAAGGCGATCACAAACAAGTTAAAGGATAAGCATACCATGAAATTGGATCCAAACACCGCTCTGACATGTGAGCAGTGCGTACGATCCAAGAGCACAAGCGCTCGGATGGGGAAAGGTAGCGGCGAGAGAGCCGTAGGGCCCCTGGATCTTATCCACGTCGATCTAATAATAGACTCGTCCCACGTGACGGAGTACACATGCACGTTGGTGCTGGTCGACGATCATAGCAAGTATGTGTATGCACAGCCATTGACACGAAAGAGTCATGCCTTTATGCAACTTAAAAGGATTGTTTCGTTCCTGGAGACACAGACGGATCGGAAGCTAAAAGCGATCCGATCCGATCAAGGAACAGAATGGAAAAGCAATGATGCATTAGAATGGTCGCTAGAAAAGGGCATAGAGTGGCAAACCACCGTAGGGTACAACAGCAAACAAAATGGACGGGTAGAGAGAATGAACAGGACCCTTGGAGAGAAGATGAGAACGTTGCTAATGCAGAGGAGACTACCGAAGAAGTTCTGGCCATACGCGATCAGAGCTGCAGCGTTCAAAATAAACCTCACTCCGAGCGTTGATAATGAATTCCCTTATCAAGCGATGTTTGGCAAGTCGCCGGAACGAGCTTTAAAGCTCCTACGAGTGTTTGGTTGTCTGGCATGGGTAAACATACCCAAAGTTAAACGGGACAACAAGAAACTGGACCAGCGAGCTGTCGCATCCATTTTCTTAGGGTACAGTCTAGAGAGGAAGGGCTGGCTTTTCTACAGCCCGGACTACAATCCGAACATCTTCTGGAGTAATTCAGCAAAATTCATGGAATCAAAGTGCTGGTCAGACAGAACAGAGTGGCGACCGGTTGATACAAAGGGACCCCCAATGACGATGACAGAAGAAAATCTCGAAGATCTAGGATATAACAAAGAAAATATATTCGACGAAACAGATGAAGAGCCACTACGAGAATACATGGATATGGAGTCAGACTCGGAAGAAAGATTACGCGAAGGAATAGCAGAGGTGATGGAACAAGGACCAATCGCCGAAACTCAAATTGACAGCGAATTCTATGGACTCGTAGCGACGCGACCGGAACGGAGAAAGAACCTGGACCCAACCATACATGAAGCAATGAATGGAGAGGACAGAAAGCACTGGGAGGAGGCCATGCGAAAGGAGCTGGATGGATTAGAGGCGATGGGCACATGGGAGATAGTCGACCTTCCAAAGGGTGCAAACACCGTCGACACACGTTGGGTACTCAAGATCAAAACCGATGCAAACCTCGTGCCAACAAAGTTCAAAGCCTGGCTCGTGGCACGAGGTTTCACTCAACGCGAGGGCATCGACTATACAGAGGTCTTCGCACCAGTAGCACCTATCCAATCCATTCGAGGGGTGATCGCGGTCGCAGCAGTACGAGATTGGGAAATGGATTCTATTGACGTAAAGCAAGTGTACCTGAACTCCACTATACACCATGATGTATACCTCAAGCCCCCAGTAGGAATCGAAATACCACCCGGAAAAGTGTTGAAGGTAGTGAAAGGACTGTACGGTTTGAAACAGTCGGGCCGAGAATGGAACATTGAGTTAGACTCACACCTCCGGACGATCGGATTTCATTGCATGCAGAGCGCTCCATGCCTATACTCAAGAGGGACAGGCGACAAGATCACGATCATCACAGCATACGTGGACGACATGCTGATAACATCACCCAGTCGTGAGGAAGTAGACCGCGCAAAGCGGGAGATCATGGACAAATGGGAGACGCAAGACAATGGAAGGATCAAAGAATTTCTGGGTATCAAGATTATACGTGATAGAAGACGGAGGAGGATATCCCTGAGTCTAACGGCATACATCAAGGAAATGGTGAACAAATGGTTAGGAGGAGCAAACGAGAAATCCTGGATACCCATGCTGAGTGTAGCGAACACCGCCGGAGGCGAGCGATGTGAACCTAAGCGAGCAAAGAGGTATCAAGAATTGGTCGGCCAACTATTATGGGTCTCCAACACAGCCCGACCAGATATTGCCTTTGCCGTCGGCGTATTGGCGCGATATATGTCGATCCCGATCGACAGTGCATGGAAGGCAGCTGTCCACGTGGTAAAGTACCTGAACCAAACGAACGAATATCAGTTGCACCTAGGAGGAGAGACAAACGAGCACTCGGATACACCGGTAACGACGTATACCGACGCAAACTGGGCATCCGACCCCACAAATGGACGAAGAAGTACCTCGGGGTCGATAACATATGTGTATGGATGTCCGGTGAGTTGGAAATCACACGTTCAGAAGTGTGTGGCACTGTCGGCAGTCGAAGCAGAGTTTGTCGCCGCTTCCGAAGCGGTACGAGAAACCTTATTCTTCTCATATTTGCTCCGGGATTTGGAGGCCACGGGCGTTCAGCCCGTACTATACACAGACAGCCAGGGGTGCATACAGGTGAGTAAAGACCCAGCCAAACATTGGAAGTTAAAGCACATCGACACACGGTATCATTTCGTACGCGATCACGTACAAGAGGGCGATGTGGAGATCAAATATGTCGGAACGGCAAACAACGTTGCAGATGTCTTGACAAAACCCTTACAGGGTCTTAACACCTCACGATTGGCTAGGATGATAGGACTGGAGATCCCGCCGAAGGGGGGAGTTGAAGATGCGTCGGCATCTCAAGCAAGGTGCACGTGTTACGGCCGAGACATCGAGATACGGGAGGCTCACATAAGCGAGGAGCACAATGAGGTACGCAATTGTTGTCATGGTGACAGCACAGTGGCACCCGGTATCATAGCAACACAGGGGTACAAATGAAGGAACACACCCTGCCTCGGATGGGATCAGAGCAGTGAATGGAGTATATATATGTGTTTGTCATTTAGTCTCACACTAAGAAAACTAAGCATTACATAGAACATACGGCTGTGGCAAAGGGAGTCTGATCGTGACCCCGATAACGCCGTATATTAATTGTTATCTTCAATTCAGTCCGACACCAGCTCAGCGTCTATTTTGCGAAGGAATGGAATTTTGAATTAATTTTTCCCCCCCTTTTTTCTGCGGTGGTTTTTTGGGACCATTTCTTTCAATCAAGCCCACCGAAGCTGAGGACGGGATGAAAAAGAACAAACGGGACACTGATCTGCTTCATTTGGCACTGGTTGACACCCCATCCCCACTCGCTCTCACATCATCGAACACTGGGCCCGAACGTTGCACAGATGGCGATGATCAACTGTCTATAGCATGAGATATGATCTATTAAGTGTATGAATAGAGATCTAATGATAAATGGTTTCCTCTGGTTCCGTTTTAATGTCGAGTCGATTCCTTGTTCTCCACCTCCGCAGTGGGCTCAGCCTTGAGATTCTCAGGATCAACAACCTTGTCCTTCTGGGTCTGCGGTGTTTGTTTAATATCTCTCCTCAAACTATAGCCCTTCACGCCCAATACCGCCAAGAGCCCAGCACCAACCATTGGAGCCAAAACAATCCACACCACCTGCAATCCATCTGCATAAGCCTTGATAATCTCCCTACTCAACTCGGGCGGTTGGATATTCCTCAACCCTGTCAGATCCTGTCCTCCTGATTCAGTCTCTACCATGGACTGTTGAAATCCAGGAATCACAGCCAACCTGCTTCTGCTTTGAGTGTTGAACACGGCACCAGAAACAGCGATACCCATTGTACCACCCAGCGATCGGACCAGAGACATAGCAGCGACTGTAGTGGAGAGGTCTCCATGCGGCATTGCAGCCATGAGACCGACGAGGGGAGTTTGGAATAAGAATCCGGTTCCGCAGCCTGCCACGCCGATAAAAGTTTCCTGGCGCGCCTGGGAGGAGGATGCGTTGAGCGTAGCCATGAGCGAGTATCCGATGACCATGATCGCCCAACCCGCCCAGAGGAAGGGACGGTAGGCGCGGAATTTGGTGATTCCAATGCCGGTTACGCTGGAGAAGATGGAAGTGATGAGGGCGTAAGGGAGCATGTAAACGCCGGACATGAGTGCAGAGGCGCCAAAGATGGCTTGGAAGTAGACGGGGAGGTAGTAGGTTGCTGCGAAGAAGGCGAATGCGTGGAGCAGGACCGAGATGAGAAGGAGAGAGGTGGTACGGGTGGTGACCAAGCGAGGTGGAACGATAGGTTTCTTGTTTGTCTTAAACTCCCAGGTCATGAAGACGATCATAAGCACTCCTCCGACGACGAGCAGCGCGATGGTTTCCGGTACGTTCCAGGCTTTGGTTTCGGCATAGTTGAAGCCGAGCAGGACGAGGATGACAGAGACGACGATGAGAATCAATCCGATAAAGTCAAACTCTGCGCATGCTTCCCTGAATGACAACTTGGGTCTAGGATTCAAGTTGAGCGAAAAGAAAATGATCGCAAGCGCGATCGCACCTAGCGGAAGGTTGATAAAGAAACACCATCTCCAACCAGTGGGACCTGCATCTGTAAAAGCACCTCCCAGTAAAGGGCCTATGACACTAGCAATCCCCCATACACCTCCGATCCATCCTGAATACTTTCCTCGATCCTCCAACGATACGATATCGCCGATGATAATGTTGACCAGCGAAATGACACCTCCTCCTCCGATACCTTGTACACCACGAGCTGCGTCGAGCCAAGCCATGTTCTGTGCAGCTCCACAGAGGGCGGAACCGATGAGGAAGATGACCGTTGCGGCGTAAAGCAGAGGTTTACGACCTGTGAGATCGGAAAGACGACCGTAGAGAGGGATGAGCGAGGTGGAGGCGAGAAGGTAGGCGGATCCCACCCACGAGTATTGGCCTGGGTTGCCATCGAGACGTTGCGAGATCAGAGGCAATGCAGTACTGACAATCGTCTGGTCAAGTGCAGCTAGGCCTGGCCAGCGTTAATAAGGGAAGGACGAGGTGGAACAAGTGTCAGCACCATGTTCCTAGAGGCTGGAATGATGGAGAGGAAGAGGTGCAAGACTTACCGACGATGAGACAAATCCCCGGCATAACAATTTTCATGTTGTTATAAGGCAAAACTACCTGGTCCTTTTGCAACCAGTGGCTAGAGCCTTGACCCTTGGTCGCCTCAACAGCAGCGGGTTGCTCTCCAACCTTGTCCGAACGGGCGCTCTTGCCATCAGCATCAGAAGTAGCTGCCGAGGTATGAGTTCTGGTCGGAGAAAAACGAGTTTCTGCGACAGGACTGTGGTCTGTTAGAGCAGCGCCGACCTGAGCTCCTTCCATAGCTGCGACTTGGATATCTGCTGCCTCCTGTCGAGCTAAGGTAGAGGGAGATACCTCTTGCATTTGGTCCGAGTCCACCATGCCGAAGCTGCTTTAATGTTAAAAAAAAAAAAAAAAAAAAAAAAAATGTTCTTCTTTTATTGGTGGGTTGACTTGATGAATGAAGTGGGCGGTGGGGTTGGAGCCGCCGGCGATTGAACGGTTTATATCCCTTTTGGTTATCAGCCAAGGCTGAGTCGGATCTGATAACGGATCCAAGTTGTAGATGATCCGTTGGAAGGGAAAGATGATAGAATGATGGTGGAGAGAATAGTAGAGATCGAGAGCAAGAATGAGTGGCTGGTGTCCGTGGAGAGAAGTGTTAGTCACCACGTCACCACGAAAGGCAAAACAGGAAAGTCCGAGCAAAAAAAAACCCCATCAGGCTTGAATAAGCCCGCCGTTCAATTTGCCGAATTTGGCGTTTTTCGAAATGCATAGCCTGCCTGCCTGAAGATTGTAATACAGAAAGGTGGTTGCCGATCAATTCGCCTTTCGGATTCCCCACGGCTTTTCCGCAAAAAGGATAACCGAGTCAAGTCACCGTGGGAAATCTTTCATCCGAGCCAACTCACGCGAGGATTTGCCGCGTTTCTTCTAAGCCGCGCGCACTTCGGAGCCCAACCTTCAACGGAGCCGCATTTCTCGTTTGATGTTAGGCCGACAAAAAAGCTTGCAAGGGTGTTACGTTGTCAAGTGTAACAGTCGAAACAGATGCCGAGATTTCCGACAGAATGTTGCCTGCGGCTCGCGGCGTCTACGATACTTGCTAGTCGTAACGGGCTCATTCTGCGTGGCAGTTCCAAGTCTGTCAACTCAAAATTCTTGCTGCCAGGATGCTAGCTGAGCAGGTGAGATTAGACGGAGAAGCCTGATACAGTAGGTCGATCATTCCCGGTTGCAGTGGCGTTTACTGACAGAAAGCTTGTTGGTCATGATCCTTTTTTGGCGGGGTAAAACATGAAATGCCGAGTTTCTACGCACGAATCAGCAGTCTGTAACCATAACCCTAAGCTTTGGATCGGTATCCACTCCTACTCTTTCCTCCGACACCGTTGAACCTCTGGAAAGTACAAGAACGACAGTCGGAACTAGGCATTACCGATCCAGAAGGTGCTTCTATGGCAGCAAGTCTGTTCGGTGCGGGTTCAGACGCCACTGCTTCTGGGTTAGCGTTTTTCGTTATGGCTATGTGCAAGTCCCCTTCCGTCCTCCAGCAACTTCAGAAAGAGATAGATTCTATGTGACAGCACTCATCTCCCCACATTCGACCCGATCGCGCATCCTACCTCCACGCAACAGTACAAGAAACCCTGCGATGGAGACCCGTTAGTGCCGGAGGCTTTGCTTATAAGTTGACCTCTGATGTCGAATACAACAACTACATTTTGCCAAAAGGAAGCACTGTTGTTGCACCCCAGTGACCCAACAGCTTAGATCCGAACGAATACCCAAACCCACACATTTTCGACCCGGAACGATTCCTAGATGAGGAAAAAGCGGTGAAAGGGACATGGTTCGCGACGCAACGTGGATCAGTTGCGTTTGGAATCGGAAGGAGGATTTGCCCAGAATTGCATGTTGCTATGAGGTCATTCGCAATTAATATTGCTTGTATGGATTGGTGTTTTGATATTTCATATCCAAGCGGGGTTGCGGGCAAGGTGGATGACTTTGCGTTTGATTCGAGGGCCAACTCGCATCCGCTTCCGTTCGAGGCGAGTTTCAGGTGGAGGTCGAAGGGGAAGGAGGTGAAACCACGGTGGAGGGAGGAACAAGAGAGAGAGAGAGAGAGAGGGGGCAGGGTCAGCGGTTCCCGTATATTGAGAGGATATCAGCAACAATTCAAGAAAAGAGAGAAAAGACTTATGATCTTTACTGAAGCACCTGGCTCGCTTACAAGAGTCGACACGCCACCGTGGAAATGATCCAGCTCAGCTTCTTGCAAAAAGAGCAACTACCGTGCCGCAAGGAAGAACGCCTGTGAGCAAAACGAAGGAATTGCCAAAAGCAGTGGCATTCTTTGCAGAACCATCCCTGCCAGACGAGACAATTAGACTGCTGCGTTGACGATCATGTTGTGTGCCTCTCCAGTCTGTGCGAGTGAATCTGCCATCTTCACCCTTGTCTCGACCAGACTAAGGACAGCAAGGTGATGTGTGATCTCTGCGGCAAATCGAGCTTGATCTTGCAGCACCAGAGCAGAAACAAGGCTTTCGCGCGATCGAGCTCTGCTGTTTGCAGGACTGTTGGCCTTATCAGGTCGTGATGCTGACCGGTCGTCAAAGTGCGAGAGCATCATACTCGAGTTGCGGATGCCTTTGTGAGCTGCGAGGAAGGCTCTTTCTCGTTCTTGCTCCTGCTGCTGCAAAGAAGTGCTTCGATTGATGCTGCTCTCAGGCGAAGGGGTGATCTGGGCGGTCTGTTGCGTCGTGACTGCATATTCGCAGCAATGCTTGAGCACCTAGCTGACCTTGACGAGTAGCGACATGGAGTTGTCAAAATCTTCGATAACAGGGAGTCCGCGACGTTGAAGGATATGAGCTTCTGTCTGGTCCAAGCTGTGTGGCATTGGGCTGGTCGTTGGATCTCCAGCCTCGACACGACGAGGGAAGGGTATTCGAATGTATTGTCGCTCTATCGTCACTGGCAGCCTCGCCAACCGACTCTGAAAGCAGTCAAGGAGGAAAAGACTCCAAAATGCGAAAGGCTCTTCCTTCGCCTGCATCAGACCTCGAAGCGCTCTTGAAAGGTGCGTGTTTCGTACCGGACCAACCGACATGCGGGGATGCGCCCCTGGCGCTGAGGTGTGCAGATGGAGCAGGCGAGCTTCAGATGCTGCCAATGCCAAGTCTGCCTGCGCTGATGCAATATTTGATTGGGCGTGCGACACTTCAGCGAGAATAAGCCGGACTACAAAGGTGGCTGGCGATACATAACCTCCTGACTTTGCCTGAGCTTGGGCCGCAAGATCACGTGCACAGTCGGCGTAGAGCCTTGTGATAATAGACATCCACAGTGGATCGTCAAGTCGGGGCAGTTCGAGCTGTGCTTGTGAACGTAGAAGGTCGTCCATGCCTTTGAACGTGCTTGAAGCGCTGATGCCACTCGGAATCGTCAATAAGAGAAGAGGAAGACCAATGGCGATGGTCGTAGAAAGCAACGCTCGAGCCATCATATACTCTGATTAGACGCTAGATTCTGAGTCTAGCAATACTGCTACGTCGCTCAAAGCGCATCCATTGATCTCTGCAAACAGCCAAGCGTCTTGCTAGCAGATGTCGACGATGCGGTCAAGTGTCTGTTGACTGGGAAATGGGGGAAAGCGAAAAGGCTGAGCAGATGAGCGCGTTTGAGTAGGAGAGCGGGCGTTTGCTTCGCTACTGCTGCTGCTGCTATAGTGACGAGGCGCCGTCCAAACGGATGACGGTACCCGTGCTCTAAACACCGAAGGTGTCGCTGCTGAACCGTGCGGCTGCTACAAAGTTCCCGTGCTCGGGTGCACGGATGGCAGAGACAAGGAGCTCGAATTGTCGTCACGCCTCGTCATCAGCGAAGTTGTCTGCGTCTGAGGCGCACATTGGCCCATAGCGAGCTGAGATCTGCTCGCGATTGGGCTGACACTGTCGGATGACTTCATGCGCTTGTTCGGAGGGATCAAATCAAGTCTGTGGTCAGTGAGATGTTGGACCGACACTCGGGATGCTGACGCTGATGCTGGACTCAAACTGCTGTACGGTCTTGTGCATATCGAAGTGCTATCTGTGCTTGTCGAAGGGATCTAAATGTCTTCATTCTGCTGTAGCTGTCTCGGAAGATACCAGATGTGCGCACGAAGCTTCTCGTTCTCCTCCCACAGCTGCTCGTTCTGCTCCTCCTGAGCAGTGTCGCGCTGACGAGACATCGAAGAACTCGATGTCAGCTCAACATCCGAGTTGCTCCTCTTGAAGATCCTTGCGAGCAGAGATGTGTCATACTCGCAAGGAGCAGTAGAGCTGCCTGCGCCATCATCACCAGGATGATAGGCGAGCCACGCCTTCTCGGAACGCGTGCAGGAAGGCTTCCTTGCATCGCATCGCAACTTGCGCTTTCGACGCGCTAAACAAGCTTGAGACCGTCGGAGCGTGTCGGATGGCTTTGTTCTACCATATTTGGTCTGCGTCTCGGTCGCGTCGTCATGGTGATCTGCTGCTGAGTCATGCTAAAAAGGTCGGGACGAGAAACTAGCAGTCTGCGCATTGTTGGTGTTGTATGTGTGGGAAAGCTATGCCTGTATCGGCTCGTATCAGGCCGGTTGACGGGATAACTGATGATCGTATCAGGCCGAATACCTAGGGCTGTCCGATAACCGTATCAGGAGAAGATAAGGGTCAGGCGGAAATAGAGGCCTGAGCTCTATCGCTGCATGGCCCCTTGCCCTACCTCGTCGTGTCTCAGACTCGTCTTTCGCTCAACATGACTACTGTATCGTCCACAAGGTAAAACGTATAAATGCACCAGACTCAGTTAGTTCGTCCTTCATTAGCATCAATCCATCCATCTGTCTGTACATACCGTTCATCGTCGACATAGGTAATAAATCGCGTCCTACCATTCAAGTCTGCCATCCGTTTCAACATTCGTCGGGTCCTAGATCAGGCTCCCTTCGCACAGGTGTGAAGCAACTACAATGCTTGCTTATTACGAAAGAATTGAGGCTACGAAAACATGAGAATATATATACCTTAACACCGTCACTGACAACGTCCAGTTGCCTCAGGTGGGTCGAGTATCTCCCCTACATAGCCCCACGTCTGACCGGTGGCATCCATTTCATAATTATTGCCATGACAACGCACAGCTTGGCGCACTTCATTTGTTGGTGTCAGCCTTCGAGAGTAAGCGGCATATGTTGTTGGATAGAGTGACAGACTTGTGCGCCTACCCTGTGGATGATACAGAAACATACTACTCTGCCAACGAGGCTGGAGCATGCAGGGGTAGGGCTCAGGCTCTTAGCTCTTCGGCATCGCACAGTCGATATACCGATACCTTATCGCGATAATCGGCTTGATGCGAGCTGATATACTACACAGGCCTCCTTCACCAACTTGGTCGATGCCAAAGCTTCATCAAGTTGCATGAAAGCAAACTTTGCGCCACCGTGCTGCAGCCACTTTCGACTCCAATCAGAGCCTGGCAACAATGCAGACATCGAGCAACAACCGTCCAGGAGACGAAATCTCAGCTGTTGTTGTGAAGCCTCCTGTATGCAGAACTGCTGAACACTCTTCGTCTTCACATGCTTGCTGTGTGTTTGCTGTGATATGGACTCGTGGTTGCTCTTCGATCGGGCCTTAGTGGCGCGTTGGTGGGATGAAGCTCTTGTGCTTGTCTCCATTGTAGCAACCTTCAACGGCGTGGGAGCTTTCAGGACTGAAAAAATAGCTTCGCCATGATACTTAATGTGGCGCCGGCCTTTCTCTCTGATCTTAGAAGGCAAATTTTTAGATTTGCTGTCAGCAGGAAAGGGGCTACGACCCTTTGAACAATGCCGCCAGAAGAACGACTGGTTGTCTTGCAGACTAGATGTCTTGTACACTACATGCTGTACGACGACGGTATCCCTGCACATCAGGCCACATGTTTTCGGACCTCTTCTGCGAGCGATACTGCGTTCAAGTGCTTGTTCCAGTCTCGACCTTTGCTGATCCTTTCGTATATAGCCCATTGAAGTTCGGAGGGAGCTTGGAATATGTCTGTCAGAAATCCTGGTCCTCTTGTCCTTCTTAGCTCTTCAAGATGGTCAACTTCATCAAGCTCCTCGGTCTATGGGCCATCCTACTCTTTTCTATGGTTTCCGCTGGCAAGCTGAAGAAACATCAGTCGCGAGCCTGGTTTGCCGCAAAAGACTATCTGGAAACAGCTCACGGCTTACTTGAAACAAAATTTAGAACGCCAACAGACTTCGAAATCCCGAAAGAGGACATCAAAAAAGCATGGGAGCATGCTTACAGCCAAGATAAAGGCTCGCTCTATATGAATCAAGTCGAAAATCACCCGAAGACCATTTACACTCTCACTAAGATCCCTCAGAGTAGCGAACTTGGTCGAAAATGGGGGTTAGACAACCTGTCGAAGAACGCCTATTTATTCTGGGAGATCAAAAAAAACAAAGAGCACAAGTTTCTCGCTGCTCAGACTTGGTCAGTTGGCGGTCTCTTTGTGGACGGAAAGAAGCTGCAAGAAGTCGTTGAAAAAGCGGCAAAGCTTTGAGTCGAAGAGCTTGAGCGCCAATAGTCTATCTGCAAAGCACCAGGAGAATCCTGTCAGCGATTGAGAAGCTTCATGCTTCTCCGATCACACCCTGCGCATCTCATGGCCCGTTGCTTAGCTGCTGTGTCTACCGCCTTTGTTATAGGCAACTTGCAAATCGTGCCTGTTAGCGCATTCCGTCCATCCTTGATTCCATCGATTTTGAAAATAGTGCTCAAAATACTGCGTGGAATACGAGTGGGAGTGAAAGGTTTTGACATTCCTGTTTTTGGAGAACAATTACCCAAAGCTTATGTGTGCAAGTCTTACCATCCAAGAGCACAGATTCGTGTCACAAAAAGGAAATATCATCTCTTCTCGAAAATGTTTCACGCGGCGGACCGGCGGGGATGCGCGAATGCACGTCAAATAGCGCGCGTTCACGTGCTAAGCCGTAAGAACTCCGCTCAAGATGGATGAGTTGCTCAGTCTTCCCACTCCAATCAGAAGACTTGTTCGAATCCATGTGCTCAGCTCATTCTGCTTAGGGGGGTTTTATTTTTTATTTTTTATTTTATTTTTTCTCCAGAGAATACAGAAGATGGTGGTCAGGTATCCATACAATTGAGTAAGTCCTGCCTTGCCCCCCCAACATCAGTCTCGTTTAGTTTTGAAAGCAGACAAAAGAGACTGACATTTCTGTGCTTATGGTTCTCGGCAGTTACTCATGCTTCTACCTCCTGGGCAGAAACAAGTTTACAGCAAACGATGATGGAGGATACGAGAATGTCGCCATTGAACATATTGCTGACAAATGCGAATGGAATTCAGACAAAAAGGAGCTTTCTTGCACCGACTGATCCTCACACACATTCACACTCAAGCACAAGTCGAGAGTGGTAAAATTACAGGGAAATCATGTTAATGTATTAAGAGAAAACAGGTCGTGTGAAGAAACTGTTTAGAGCTTGGCCTTCTGGCTCTTCAGAACGTTGTCGAGCTTGGTAGAGAGCATGATGTTGCCCTTAACCTTGAGCTTGCCGGACATGAAAGCCTTGTGACCGTTGACCTAACCGTCGGCGAGGTCGATGAAGGTGTCGTCAGAGAGGTCGATGGTGACATCGGCCTTGCCCTTTGTCTTGCCTTCGTAGGCTTCAGCGTTCTGTTGAGGTTGTAGAGATGGGTTAGAGGAGAGTTAGTCAGCGAGATGAACAACGGGGACGAGGTGGGAGCGGGAGAGCCGCTCTTTGCACGAACATTACGGTAGTCGTCGGCGATGCGGTGTTGAAGCGAGGCGCGCAGAGTCATATGGCAGAGCCAAATGTCGGCCAAAGTCCGTGAACGGCAGTAAAGGCGAGATGGAAGGACCAATATCACGCCTTCTGGTTGCTTCTGCGTTGCATGGTTGCAACGGACTGCGCTGCGCCGAGGTTACCGCAAATGATCGAGTAAAGGCGCAAGTCTCTGGCTGGGTATTGAAACGTACCTTCTTGAGGTCAATAGTCCAGACGAGTTCCTTGCCGCCAGCGTTCTTGACGTGCATCCCGAAACAGCCGTTGGTCTGTTATCGAAAGAGCGTCGGAGCGTGAGACAGAGGAGAAAGCAGGAGCGAGATTTGTTCGAAAAATGAGTACCGGCAACGAGGGGAGTGGACAGGAAGCAAAGTGGCGAAAGAAGCAGGTCAGCAAATGAATTCGTCGTGCAGTGAGCCGTGGAGGTTGAGAAGCTAGCGAAGATCATCTGCTCGCCGTCGCTGAATGCCAGCTGAGCCTTCAATGCCGCCATTCTGGATGGGTGTGGAGAAATTGACACATGCTCGGCATCCTCGCTAAGTGAATGACAGGCGGAAAGCAGCAGCTAGCTGACAGCGGACCAGAATACAGGCCGCTGTAATGATGAATGAAACTTACCTTCTTCTGGATGTCCTTCTTCTCCTTGTCATCCATGCTCTTGAGACCCTAACCCCAAAAAGTTACACCGTTACAACGCGCATATAGCCTGCGCATGTAACAGCGACACTATTGCGCATGTTGAATGTGCATAGGCAGACAAAGAGGTTGTGAGCTGCTCCGCTCTGTAAATGCAAAGTCTCCGACGAACAGCCTATGTCGCCACTCTGCCTTTCGGAAAGTTGAAGCCGCGCTCACGCGAGGCTGCTGTGAAGCCCAGACACTACATTCCATACTCGTCTTGACTGCTTTCCATTGTTCCTGTGGCAACGATGCTTTGAGATGCATGACGTCCGAGCAAGCTGTTGCATGCTTGGCTAAGACGTGCAACCGTCATACAGTAGTAGCATCTTCCGCGAAACGATCTGACCATGTCGTAACGCTCCATCATCTCGTTTGAAAGCTAGCAGATGGATCAAGCAATGCCACGAAACCCGGATTTTGAGAGGATCGCAACCTAAGCGAAGTCGAGCCGAGGATAGCCCAAGCGCTGTCAAAAAGGACTCGGTTGTTAGGAGGCCGTACCAAGCTCTCTTCGACGACAGCGTCATCACTGAAACGTCGAAATGACTACGATGACCGTGAGAGTTGAAGAAGATGCCCGAGGTAGGGACGACAATAGAATAAAGTGCGTGAGAAGGAGCAACATGAACACGAAAGCAGATAGACCGCGGCTCAACAAGGATCAGCGGAGCGAAAGGAGAGAGACATCAAAGATATCATGGCGACGGCGACAACCGCAGATGATGATGAAGAGGGAGACAGGTCTTACCAACTTACCTGTCCACAGAGATCCACAGTGACGTCCACGTCTCACGCAATCCGCCTCAATCCTCTCGCGTTCTTTTCTCTCGATGCTGGTATCTTCACCAAGTCGACCTCTTCTGTCTGTGATATCCTAGCTGCCGCACAACAACAGGAGCGATTCTCAGTCTGCCTACCATGCTGTGTGCATTTCCGTGCTCCCCTGTGTGTGCCTTGTCTCTAAAATTTCGGACCCCGAACTGCTGAAAGTAAACAATCCAATATGATGATGTAAGCTGACATGAGACGATACGAGAGGGATCGGGCCAAGTCAATCTCACCAGAGATCGGGTACAACCTAGTCCCGCCCGTTGTCAGACTTCGTCATTAAGTAGGATACACCCACATTCGGTATGTGCCACCCGGATGTATATATATCAAGCAGAGAGCACTAGGCTCTCACCATGTTCTTTAGTCAATTGAGTATATACGTTTCTGTCCTAAAACAGCGGCGATATTGTGCTCAGACTATCGCCGATCGTTGATCATCGGGACCCGTCTTCCTCATCTTTTATCACGAACGGGTGTTGATTTGGTTCCTAGATTTGCGCTAACGATCCGGTTCTGAAATTTGTCGGGCTCTCTGATGAGATCGAGCTAACGGAGCTGACTTCCAAGCATTTCCCGAACGTGTGAGATTGCCGAGGACCTGCAGATAAGTCCAGAGCATTTGTACATCCCTGCAATGGAAACATGCATGATCTGCAGCGGATTGAGGTGGTCCTATCGCATCCACAGCACCGCCTATGAGAGGTCAAGGTCTCACACTGAGATAGCTCAGTGTGTCTGCAGATCTCTCCGTAAGACTGTGCTGCAGGGACTTGCTGCTCGGTTCATTTGCCGCGTTCCAGCTATGGCTTTCACACAGATGGGCTGTCACACCTCAAGTCGGGATCAGAGTCAGATCAATCAAGTTGCTCCACTGGGAAAGCCGATCTGCAATGTAAAGCTTGATCTTAGATCTGAACGATCGCGATAGTATGAGGCCCAGCAAGACGTCGATAGAGAGCACATGCTTCGAAGGGTGTAAAGAGCGGTGTATTTCCATTGATAATGAATGTTACTTCCAACCGCTGCCTGTTACAGCATTGTAGGCTCATCAAGCCACTATCACACGGAAAGGCAGAAAGGCAGAAAAGCAGAAGAAAGTGTCAGCAAACCTAGCGCAAAGAACTCCTCCAAGGCCGACAACCAGCAGGCTAGCCATCTTCATACTCACGTCAAGGAACTCAGGAGTAAAGTAACTCAAAATGATGTTGGCACCAGCTCTGACCATACTCTGAACCGACTCCTCCGCCATTCTCCTCAACTCATAAACCCCTGCTTTCGCACCAGCATGAATCATAGCAAACTCACCACTGACCTGGTAACAAGCCAACGGATGATCCGGTGCCAAATCCCTCGCCTCCGCAACAATGTCCAAATAAGGTAGTGTCGGTTTCACCATCAACACATCCGCTCCCTCCGACGCATCCCTGACAATCGCACGTCGAGCCAAACCCCTTGCGGTAGGTGGAAGCTGGTAGCATCTTCGATCGCCGAATGAAGGTGCAGAGTCCACTGCATCACGGAAAGGACCATAGAGACTGCTGGCGAACTTGGCACTGTACGCCATTAGGGTGACTTTGTTACCAAATCCAGCATCGATAAGGCCTTTCTTAATGGCACGGATACGTCCATCCATCATGTCGGAAGGGGCTACACAGTGTGCTCCGGCTTTGGCGTAGTTGACTGCGACCTGAGCGAGACGTTCGACGGAAGGCTGATTATTAATGGTTCCGTCGGGATGAAGGATACCGCAGTGACCATGGGAGGTGTATTCGCAGAGACAGACGTCGGTGGCGATGTAGAGAAAGGGGAAGGCTTTGCTGAGCACTTTGATCGCTTGGATTACGGGTCCGTTCGGGTCGTCGGCGAGGGTGCCTTGCTCATCCTGTCGGAGCAAAGGGAGGAGCGGGTAAGTACTATGGTAGTGGGAGAGAAGAGTATGATGTAAAGGCCATCTTACCTTGGGAGTCTTGAGTGGGACACCGAAGAGAATGACCGAAGAAAGGCCCTTCTTGACCAAAGGTGCAAGGAAGCCTTCGAGCTTGTTGACACCCCATCGGCATTGACCGGGCATCGACTCAAGGGGAACATGCGCATCTTCGTCATCGGTGATGAAGATGGGGTACATGAACATCGACTTGGTGATGTTGCGACCCTGATTCTGCCACGCCCGGGTAACGGGATGTTGGTACCCGGAGTGCAAGATCGAGCTAAAAAGCAAAGGAGCGAGGAAATCGGATTCCAATTAGCAGATTGTCCTACCTCGCGCTATCGGTGTGTGATTGACTCACTTCAGACCAGAGTCCATGTTGATGAGATGCTGCTGTGAGTGTTGATGAGAGGGACGAGAAGAAGGTGTGTTCAACACGAAGAAAAGGTGATGTCGTCCTTTGCTTGCGTCCTTCGGAAAACGGGGTCAAAGCCTCAACCCAAAATTGCCGCACAAAAGACCGATGCTTAATAATTCGAAATGTGAGTATAAGAGGCCCTAACAAACATATTCGGGCCTGGAAGCTGGGTCGCATCCTTCAGTTTTTGTCTGACAGACACTTGTAGACAGACGGGCTTTGCTATCGAATTACGAGTCGAGGAGAGGCAAAATAATGCTGATCGATGTGATGGAAGGACAAGATACAAATACAGATGCTGGGTACGAGAACAGGAAGAGAGGGTGACAAAGATCTTCTGATGCGATAGGAGAACAGACATTGTGTGAGTGGAAAAGAGAGATGCGACAATTAGTCATAAGCAGGCTCACCACCATCATCATCACCAACATCGTCATCTTCTCCATTATCGAAGTAGTTCTCTGCGTAGTCGTCGTCCACCTCATCCTCATAATCGCCAAGATCTTCGGGCTCTGAGGAGTTCTCACCACCAACATCGTCTTCTCCACCTGGCCTGTCCTCCATATCGATGGATTCCCAATTGATCTTTCTACGAGACTTTTTCTTAGCTTTCTGCTCTTCTCTCCTAGTCTCTCCCTCCATGAACGAATCCCAGAGTCCCTTGGGGAACACTTCTTTCTGTAGGTTGATCGACTTGAGTGAGGGAAGGTCTTGAGATTCGGGACGATATCGATCTGAGAAGCGTGTGAGGTCACCTTGTTTGCGCTGTTCTAATGTGGGCCAGTAGGCGGAAGTCTTTTGCTCTTGAAGGTACATGAGCTGATAGGATGCGTAGCGGATCTCTTTGTCGTCCGGTCGCTCCATGCGTGGGACGGTCGGTGCTTCAGGGTATAGCTTGGATGGGGTCTTGTCGAGACTGCCGAGTTCTTGAAAACTCAAGCCCATGGGTGGCATGTTGGAGCCTCCTCCAGCTCGACCGCCGCCGCGGCCGCCGAAGCCGCCACGACCGCCTCTTGACATGATAGCTATTGTTCTATCGTCTCTGCGTTCTGGAATGTATCAATGCAGCGACGCTCCTTCGCTTTTGGATCGAGACGAGAGGGCGGGGCGGCTCGCGGCGGCACTGCACTCTTCTACGTGCAGCGACAGGGTTGCGATGATGAGCAGATTGTTGTCAGGTTGTAAGAAGACGTCAAGTTCAAGAGCATGTATAGTTTCAGCCAAAAAAAACTCAAAATTGAGCGTTGCAAGCCGCACATCTTTGCGTGATCGGGAGAGGAAAATCGGCGATATCGTGTGGATTGACGCGAGATGGTGAGCTGAGATTGTGCTCATCTCCTGTGTGTATGCTGTAGCTTTGGTTGTCTAGGGGCACTGTAGGAGTCTTGTTCTTGCGTGCGGTGAGGAGACGATGGACCCTGCAGCAGCTGCACAACTCGAATCCAACCGAAATCCACATCAGTTCACGGACACACACTCAAAAGAGCTGTTGACCACCACGTTGAAGTCGCCGCAAGCAAGCAAGGCAGCACACGCGAGCTCGAGCCTCTCTCCCTGTTGCGTTTGTGTGACTGCGCCAAACACGCTCGCCACTCCACACAGCTCAGCCGTCCCTGAATTAGTTCCGTTTCCATTCAACCCACCATCATCTTTATCTTCATCAACAGCTCTCTGCCAAGCCTGTTACTGTACAGTACTGTACACCAGTACTCCCTTCGCCGTGTGACGAGGCTTGAAGTTCAGCTTCATTCACTGTCAATCAGGTCCAAGCGCGTCATCAGCTGGCATCAAGGACCTCCCAATCATACCTTTCGATATGTCCCATTTCGTCCTCTTCCACGCATAACAATCTTGACTGCTTCCTGACTCAGATCGGCATAACGCGTCCAGGCAATATAAGCAATGTCGACGTCACTACCGACCCCGCCATCTGGAGGTCCATCTGCATCGGCCTCCCAACCGCAACACTCTGGCTCGAATACGGTATCACAAGCATTGACAGGGGACGTCGATCCATTCTTGACGGACGACCAAGAGGTAGAGGAGGAGGAGGAGGAAGAGGAGGAGGAAGAAGAGGAGGAGGAGGAGGAGGAGGAGGAAGAGGAGGAAGAGGAGGAGGAAGAAGAGGAGGAGGAGGAGGAGGAGGAGGAAGAGGAGGAAGAGGAGGAAGAAGAGCGCCAGCCTGCACAAACACTAGATTCCTATGGCACACCACGATTCCCTACATCACCAAGGCTTGACCCTTCATCACCTCGCAACTTTTCGACAATATCGTCCTTATCTGGCTCCAGAGAACTCGGACGACCAGTGCTAGAGATGACCACCAAGATGTTCACTGCCAGCTCGTCAAACCCTACAGCTCAGTCTGGGACCTCAGCAAGTCCCCTGCAGCTTGCAACTTCAACGTCAGATGAACCTGAACTCGATTCAATCGAACCAGCTCCAACTGATATCGCCTTTCATGCCGAGCCACAAGGCTTGATGCAGATGCTCAGCCTTGTCGGCAGTACCTTCTTCGAAGCTGACCGCGAAGGCTTTGTGGAAGACGAAGCAGAGGAGCAAGACACACAGTCACAGCGACATCGTTCGGCACCTCTTTCGGATCAGCCCTGCGGATCTGCCAATGCGTCGCCGGAAGGAGGAGCTCAATCATCCGACATGAGTGTTGGACGGCATCGTTTCGATCCAGCATCTCTGACTTCGGGCAAAGGAAGATTACATGCACTCGCCCGTGATGATGGCTCCGACGACGGCTCCACGCCGCAAGGTAGTAGGTCGCCACTTGATGCATCTGTCCTTACAATTGGGCCAAGCCGCGCAAAGCGGGCTTCGTTGACGCAGAGCGACATCATCGGACAATCGCTAGACTCCACAACATCGACAGCTCGAGGCGGAAGGAGAACCTCCCACCTCAGATCACAACTCCACAACGTATCCACTGCATCCATCTTTGCCTCGACATCACAGCTAGGAGATAGGCATTACGCCGCTGCTGCAACGCAGTCACAGCACGCTACCAGCAGTCCGGTCGATCAAGACTCGACAGCCGCCCCAAGCATTCCCTTCAGCGAGCAAGGCACATCTTCGGAGCTACATTCTACATCGCAGCCATCTACCCAGCATGGGCCCGATCCGCTCCTAATTCGACCGTACACTGATTCGCAGTCTCCCGTGGCCGAAAGTAGAGCAGCCAACGCTAATCAAAACCGAGATCGTCTACTACAACAGCTCAAGGAGGTCTTTCAACTGGAGGCAGCAGAGACGTTGCTCCTCGCTCAGCCCTGCTGGCTCTTCCGCTCGCTGCTTCTGCAAGGTCACCTGTACCTCGCCAGTGGGCACATCTGCTTCTACGCCTATCTTCCTTCTCGCGATGAGAAGACCATCAAAACCGGATTGCTCGGCAAGCGCACACGCAGGACACATCGCTTCAGCAGGCATTGGGCTTTGCTGAAAGGTGGCAAGCTGAGCTGGTTTGACAGTGACCGAGACCCCTACTTCCCACAAGGACACATCGACCTACGCAAAGTGTCAGCAATCGAGCCTTCCCAGAACCACAAAGAACGATTCAAGGTGACCACACCTGCACGCCGATTCACCTTCCTGACCGAGGACGAACATAGCCGTGATGCATGGATTGCAGCCTTGCAGAAGGAAACGTTCCGCGCTCAGAACCAAGGTGAAAGTGTCAGGATCAGCATCCCGCTCGAGACCGTCATGAACGTCGAAACGACCCTGTCTGTCGACGGTACAGAGATGGTCTGCATCAGTGTGGTGGACGAGGCTGGCGACTTTTCTGTAGACGAATACTACTTCCTCCATCTCAGCAAACCGAGTGCATTCATTTCCACGCTCGGCTCTCTACTCGACAATGCTGAAAGAGGATCGATGGCGTCTTTGCAGAGCGGAGAGCAGGCTCTCAACCTTTCGAGGCTAAGCATCCGCGATTCTACCGGAGCCACGCATGCTGTGTCGGCGACGTCCCGCAAGTCACTCGAGGAGGTGCCAGTTGTTGCACATGTACGCGTCTCAGCCTCCCAGGCGGTCGTTGACACAAAGAAAGCTCAAGCTGAATCTGCGCAGGATGTTCGGCCCGATGCTGCAAAGTCGGCGAAGGGCACGCAGGACAGCGTGTCGGCCGCAATTGCGATGCCTATCAGCAGCAGAAGGAAGTCGCAAGACGCATCCGCTGATGCCGTTCTTTCCACCACGCCACGTGCCGCGACACTCAACCGCTTGTCCATGGAGTCCTCACATACCTATCCGCCGTCACCGTCCATCTCCGATCCTCCGACATCGTTCGACCAGATCCAGAGGGAAACAGAGCGCGGCTGGGCGATCCCTAATTGGCTCAAGTCAGCGCCGGGCAAGGTGCTGGGACGCGCTGCCGACAGCCACTTCCCAACGTCAGCCATCAGACCAGCAGCCAATCCCTCGTCCAGCAGACGCCATCGCAGAGTCCTCGAGAAATGGTCAGACGAAAAGACCGACGAAGCAAGCAGAGAAAGCTCCAGCACTGACACGGAAGACGATGTGCTCTCCCACTCGATCCATTCAACGCAATCCACCTATTCGATGCTGGATGCGGACGACCAAGGGGAGAAACAGCAGGATCAGGCCGACATCACTGCCGAGTTCCGCGACACTTTCGGCATTGACGAAGAAGAAAGTCTCATCGGTCATACGCATGCGTACCTCTATCGAGTCTTGCCTGTGGCTGGACGCTTCTTCGTCTCCGAGCACCATCTCGCATTCCGCTCGTCTGGAATCGCAGCCAAGACAGTGGGTCGGACGCTCATGCTTGTGCCTTTGCAAGACATCATCTCGGCTGCCAAGCATGTTGCGTTTAGACCCGGCCACCACGGCATGGTCATCAACATTAGCGGTCATGAAGAGCTATTCGTCGAGATCTCCTCTACACACCGACGAGACGAGCTATTGTCATTGATCGAATATCAGCTCGAGCAGGCAAGGGATGGACGAGGCAGCAGAGCATCCCGAGAAGCAGTCACTCGCGAACGCTCCAACGCGCTCGTTTTACGCGACTTGAGCGAGCGCATCAATGACGGACCCGCAACAGCTTCGATGGCTTCTTCGGCTGACTCGTCGATGATCTCACAGAAGGGCTCTGAGCTTGGTAAATCGAGCAGCCTTTCGCACATGGATGACGGTTCTGGTTTGCTGTCGTTTGCTCCGACTCAGCCCCTTACCTTTACTATGCTGACCATTGGTTCGAGAGGTGATGTCCAACCGTACATCGCACTCGCAAAGGGCTTGCAAGCAGATGGTCATCGAGTGAGAATCGCAACCCATGCCGAGTTTGGGGATTGGATCATCGGTCATGGTATCGATTTCAGCGAGATTGGCGGTGATCCTGCTGAGCTCATGCGGATCTGTGTCGAGAATGGCACCTTCACCGTCTCTTTTCTACGTGAAGGAGTGACTAGGTTCCGCGACTGGCTCGACGATTTGTTAGCATCAGCGTGGAGAGCGTGCCAAGGTTCCGATGTGATCGTCGAATGTCCTAGTGCCATTGCGGGTATTCATGTGGCTGAAGCATTGCAAGTGCCCTACTTCAGAGCTTTTACTATGCCTTGGACACGCACAAGAGCGTATCCACACGCATTCGCAGTACCCAACAAGAAAGCGGGTGGCAACTACAACTACATGTCATACGTCATCTTTGATCAGATGTTCTGGCGCGCCTCCTCTTTCCAGATTAATCGATGGAGGAAGAATCTTCTAGGACTCAAACCGACCAACTTTGACAAGCTCGAACAGCACAAAGTGCCGTTCATCTACAACTTCAGTCCTAGCCTAGTCCCACGACCGCTGGATTGGTTCGAATGGATCCACGTCACAGGGTTCTGGTTTTTGGACAACCCGGATAACTCTTCCAGCAAGAAATGGGAGCCGCCTTCCGATCTGGTCTCTTTCATCCGCCGTGCAAGGGAAAGCAAGAGAAAACTAGTGTACATCGGATGGGGATCAATCGTAGTCCCCGACGCAGAAGCTATGACGCGATGCGTCCTTCAAGCAGTCCAAAAAGCAGGAGTTTGTGCTATTCTCTCCAAAGGTTGGTCCGACCGCTTATCGACCGACCCCAAGAAAGGATCTGCGACACGACTCGATCCTGGCTTGGTGGAAGACGTATTCCAAGTCACCTCTGTTCCGCACGATTGGTTGTTCCCGCAAATCGATGCTGCATGTCACCACGGTGGTGCGGGGACACTTGGTGCGAGTTTGAGAGCCGGGTTGCCGACGGTTGTGAAACCGTATTTCGGGGATCAGTTCTTCTGGGGTCAGCAAATTGAGAGTTTGGGTGTGGGGAGTTGTGTGAGGAAGTTGACGGCAGATGGGTTGGCAGAGGCACTGATAAAGGCAACCAGCGATGGGAAACAGATTGAAAGGGCAAGGAATTTGGGGGAACAGATAAGGAGTGAAGATGGGATTGGGAATGCGGTCAAGGCGATTTATAGGGATTTGGATTATGCGAGGAGTCAGGTTAAGAGGGGTACGAGGATTGATGGTCGTAGTGCGCCAAGCAATGCGGCTACACAGAGTATACCGGCAAGTGCAGGAGGAAGCGCAATGGCGGCAGGCAAACCGGAGGAAGGTGGTGTCGAGCCGAAGGTAGCAACAAAGCAGAAGAAGGAGACTTCAGCAGTCACAGCCGATTCGAGTCAAGGATCAGAGGAAGCCAACGAAGAAGGTCATACCTCAGACGAGTGGTCAGACATCGGCGGACCGCTAAGTCCTGATGTTGACAGTCGGTCAGATCCAAGCGCTTCACTTGTTCTCAGCTGAACCATGCCGCCCTCTGTGTATGTCGAAGACTCGCTTCACACTCAACCACAATCCTACAAGACCATCCATACAAAACAAACACTCCATACAATCGGTTGACAGGAGAGTACAAATTTGGATTGAACGAAACCTACAACATGACGTACTTGTGACCGCTGGCTATTTTAACGAGTACGAATAATACCAGCAGCAATCAACTTGTTTACCTTCTCCCTAATAATTGGAGACTTCATATGTTCTTGCAATGCCGCTGGGTTACTCTGCGCCTGCTGCAAAATACTCTGCATGATTGGATCCTGCATGATCTGAGCCACCTCCGGATCCCTCATTGCTCTCTGCAATGTTTCCTCCTCGCTCTCACCACTTCTCTGCGAGTATAACTCGTTCATACACTTGCTCAACAACGCCTGGATCTCCCTAGCATTTTTAGCCCCTCCTTCTTGCGCATTATCCGCATCCTCCGCCTTCTGGCAGGCTTCCATAGCCTTCGTAAACTCCTTCATCGCATACAGTACGTTTGCTTTTCTAATGTAACCCTTGACGAATTTGGGATCGACTTTAATCGCCTCCTCCGAATCCTTAAGTGCTTCGGGGAGGGCAGCAAGTTTGGTGTATGCCGAAGCACGGTTGCTGTAACCCCTAGGATCACTGGGATCGCGTTTGATGGCTTCGGTGAAGGCAGCTACAGCTCCGGGGAAATCGCCGTTCTTATACAACTCGTTACCCTTCGTCCTCTCCTCCTCCGCCTTGGTTGGATCAATATACGCCTGCTTAGTCCTCTCCCTCAACAGCTTCTCCGTGTCCCTCAATTTAGCCAGAATGTCCGGAGTCCTATGCTCAGTAAGCGACTTTTCAAAGTTAGAAATCGCAAGTTCGAGTTTGTCCTGTTTAGCATAAGCTGAGCCGATACGGCCATAAGCTTTAGCGACGAGCTTGAAGTCGGCTCGCATCGAACGACCTTCTTCGACAGCCAGTTCGCATGCTTTGATAGCTTCGTCGTATTTGCCCTGTTCAAAGTAGCATGCACCGAGATTGTTGAGGTAGGTGATGTCTTTGTGTAGGTCCCAAGCGGCTTGGTAGTGGGGGATGGCGGAGGCGAAGTCGCGTTTGAGGTAGAGTTCGTTACCGAGTTTCTTTTCGGCGTCGGCTGCGGCTTTGGCTTTCTTTTCCTCGTCTTCTTCTTCAGGTTCAGCGGCGGGTTCGGGGGCGGTGGGCTTGGCGTCTTTCATCTCGACATCCGGGGTCGAAGAGGAAGCAGCCTTTTGAGCCGAGGAAGGGGGGGAGGAGGAGGAGGAGCCGGACTGCTCCTGGATATCCTCACGACGATTCTCAAGATCAGCAGGCAACTCATCCGATCCTTCCGGACGTTCAAACGCCTGCAAATCAATACCCATCAACACACCCATAACCTGAATCATGCGTGGATCCTGGAACGCCATACCCGCCTCCTTCGGATCCGCCTGAATCTTCTTCAGCTTAGCCATAAATGCCGGATCCGACAACAACGACGCAGTCTTTGGGTTCGCACCCAACTTCGCAAACAGCTGGGGATCGCTGAACATCTGACCGAACCCAGCCTCCATTCCCGGTCCATTAGCAGCTTCGTTCTCCACCGCCCTCTTGACATCCGTCAAACCTTTCTTCAACCCCACATCTTCCGGAGCAATCTTCAAACCGGCCTGGTAGGCATCAACGGCATCCTCGAGCTTACGTGCACCGTGAAGAGCGGCACCTTTGCGACCGTAACCTTTGGCGAAAGAAGGGTTGGTCTTGATGCACGATTCGGCATCTTCGAGGGCGTGGGTCCAGTCTTTGAGACCAGCGTAACAGGCGGAGCGATTGGAGTAGAGAACGTGGACTGCGTCTTCGGGGGAAGCGGCAGCAGCGATCGCTTCATTGTAGTGTTGAATGGCGGATTGGTAGTCCTTGGAGGCAAAGGCGGCGTTGCCTTTGGCTTTGAGGTCTGCGACCGACATTGTGTTTGTGCAAGTCGTGGGAAGAAGTGTGATGTGTGTGGTATCGAAGGAACAAGAAAATGTGCCGACCAAGATGGAGTTGGGTGAGAAGGTTAAGAAGGTCAAGGCGTAGGGACGAGGTGTTGAGAATTTGAACAGCTTCTTCTGGAAGCTCAGTTTGAAGCTCTACAAAGCTGGCTTGTGCATGGAAAACTCTTCTGCGCACTTCTCCCGATTCAGAAGCTCAATTTCTGTCGCTTCTACGAATTTCTCGCGCTTTCGCTGAGCGAAGCCTCCCACAGTCTACCACGTCTCGATGTTGGAGGCGGGGAGCTAACATACAAACCTTCACACTGGCCTTCAACAGACGCTTCGAAGCAGCGGAACGTATATTGCTGTCAAGGACTGAGCTAGGATCATGCCTTCTTTGCAGCTTTCTGCTTTTCTAGACGAGCTTGTTTGATGCGCTGAAGCCTTTGTTTCAACGCGCTTACCCTGTAACGCAAGAACGGCAAGAAGGGATGCTTGTTCTGTCAGTGGCTGTCGCAACTGAGCTTCTTCGAGCGAGACTCACCTTTGGTCTGCCTCGTCTTGCTGTCGTTGCTCCTCTTCAAGCCGTGAGAGGATCTCTTCGCGTTCCTCTTGCTCTTTCCGCGCTGTTTCTAGTGCTTCCATCTCCTCTTTGCTCTTCTCTTGCTCTGCTTCTCCTGCAGCTTGACCCTCCGTACCATCTTGCAATATCAACTGCGCTTCTGCCTCAAGCGCCGCTCCTGCGCTGTAGTTATTCGTCGTTTGATTCGGCTGCTCCTCTTCGGCTGCTTCCATTTGTGTCTTGAACAGCTCCCATTCCGGATCTATGCTAGCACCCGTTCTTGCCTTCTTACTCTCTGGGGCTGCTTCGCCCTCGTCAGCGTCTCTATTCAAGCCAGAAGGTTGAGGGCCATCACCCTCGTCCAGGTCGGCGTCGGTTTCGTCTGCCTTACGTTTCCCTTCCTTTGTGCGCTGTAGCTCGGCTTGTCGCAGCTCCTCCTCCCGGATCCGTGTTAGGTTGGCACGATGACTCTTGCTAAGCGCATGTGCTCCCCATAGACTCTCGTGCTTGATCGTGAGGTAGTTGCACGCTGAACATCGTAGGGAGCCCGTAGAAGAGTAGGATGCGAAACGGTCCGAGATAATGGATGCCTTCGACTTTGCACGCTCCTTTGCGGCTGCTCGGAGAAGTGATCTTGCGTCTTCTGGCATGATCGATGTTGTTGCCTTGAGCCCGGATGTCTGTTGAGGTGGTGAACAAGGAGCTGCAGCTTTCCTCCACAGCAACACTTTGCAAGAAACACGGAGCTAAATCTCATCTTTGCCCGATTTCGAAAAAGAGATCTTGGCGCTGTCGCGATTTTGGATGGAAGAAATCAGCTGTGCGCTTTTCGTCCACACCATCACACCAAATACGCTCATCAATACTCGACAGTCTTCCTGCCTGCATCTTTGACACTGTATACTCTTGTACCGCATTCGAGCTGGAGCAGAGTCTTGCTGACAGCCTGGAGCGCGAATCGCACCGACAACGAGCTGAAAGCACTCTGTTCACTGTGACGAGACTGCAGTCCGCCTGACTTTGGTTCATCATGTCGTCCGAAGCCGCAGATGTCCCTGTCAAGCAGGAGAAGGAGGGAACTCCAATTCAGACTCCTGAGCTTCCGGAATCGACCACAGCTGAAGCCGCTCAAGACAACAATGCTGAAGCTGAAGCTGATGCTGATGCAGACGCCGATGGAGAAGCAGATGCGGAAGGCGGCAACGAAGCCATCAACTCAGCAGCCAACGTCAAGACCGAAACTGCAGAACCACCAACAAAGTCAGTTAGAATCGAAGAGCCTTCCTCCGCGCAGCAGCAGGAACAAGCAAGCAACACCTGGGACAATCAAGAGCAGCAACACTTCACTCCAACAACCTACTCCGACCCTCGCCACCCACCGCAACCCCTGAAAGACATGACCGTCGAACAGCGAAGACAGCTCTTCGAAGAGCGTATCCGTATGGAATCTCGTGATGGTGAAGCTTGGCTCACACTCATCGAAGAAGCACAGTCTCGCCAGGACATGGAAGCGACAAGAGCACTTTACGATCGCTTTTTCAAGGTTTTCCCCAACCAAGGCCGTCAGTGGCTTGCTTATCTCGAACTCGAGTTGGCTCACAGTAACTTTGCTCAGGTCGAAGCTATCTTTACACGCTGTCTTCGGACTACACCTAGTGTGGAGCTGTGGAAGTTCTATCTTTCTTACACACGTCGTGTCAACCCGCTGCCACCAGCGACGGGAGCTGAAGAGGACGGACCACGAGAGCAGGCTCGAAGGGTGCTTGAAGGCGCGTACGAGTTTGCACTTCGATTCATTGGTAATGACAAGGACAGCGGCTCTATCTGGACGGACTACATCGCGCTGATCAAGGAGAGAGAGGCGAGGGGTGGGTGGAAGGAAGGACAAAAGATGGACGATCTCCGCCGCGTGTATCAGCGTGCTGTCAGTGTACCGCTCATCAACATCGAGACTATCTGGAAAGACTACGACGCTTACGAGAATGGACTGAACAAGCTCACAGCCAAAAAATTCCTCGCTGAACGATCGCCTGCTTACATGACAGCGCGTCGCGTTCTGAGGGATCTCAAAGCATACACCGATCATCTTGCCAAGCCTCTCCTGCCTCGCGTTCCTGTCTGGACCTCATCTGCCGTTCCCGGTGACGCTGGCGAAGACGCATCTCAATGGCAGCGAGAACGCCAGCAAGTCGAAGCATGGACCGAGTATCTCAAATGGGAAGAATCCAATCCTTTGCTTCTGGAAGACCATGCCACACTCCAAGCTCGCATCACAAGCGCATACCGTAAAGCAACCATGTATCTTCGCTTCTACCCCGAAGTATGGTACCTCGCCTCACGATACCTCATCTCCACTTCGAGACAGGACGAAGCTGCAACCTGGCTCAAGAACGCTATGGAGGCTTGCACGGGTAGCTTCCTTCTTCACTTTGCTTATGTTGAACTTGCCGAGGCTCGTAAAGCTACGACGGACTGCGCCGGAGTGTTTGATGGGCTGATCAACCAGGTCCATGCCAAGATCGATGCTCGACAGGCTAAGTTGCAGCAAGATCTGAAGAACTTGGATACGGAAGCGGAGATGGCGAAAGCTCAAGCTGCTTCGCGTCGCGCAAATGAAGGTGATGGTGATGTTGATGTTGATGGTGAGGAACGCGAACGGGAGAGGAAGGCGGGAGAACAGCTCCAAGCTCGCAAGCAAGCACTGCAGCGTCAGGCGAATCCCGAGATCGAAGGTTTGAAAGAAGCAACTGCGTTGGTCTGGATCAAGTACATGCATTTCCTCCGTCGAACTGAAGGGATTCGCCCTGCGCGCGGTGTCTTCTCCAGAGCTCGCAAGAGTCCCCATTGCACATGGCAAATCTTCGAAGCGAGTGCGTTGATGGAGTATCACTGCTCAAAAGACCCGGTCGTGGCAACCAAAGTCTTCGAGTTGGCACTGAAGACATTCGGTAACGACGAAGCCTTCGTTGTCCGATACTTGGACTTTCTCATTTCGATCAACGACGATAGTAATGCGCGAGCGCTGTTCGAACGTGTCATCGGTACATTCTCCCCCGATCGCGCTCGACCGATTTGGGACCGTTGGTCGAAGTACGAGTACAACTTTGGCGACACCGTTGCGATCCAAAAGCTTGAAAGCCGCTTGGCGGAGACATACCCAGACGAACCAGCGATCAAACGCTTTGCCGCACGCAGTTCTTACATGGACCTCGACCTGGTCGGACCCCGCGATTTGGGTCTGCAAGCAGCAGTAGCAGGCGCCTCAGCCGCAGACCGCGCCGTCGAAGCAGCCAAAGACCACGCCGCTGGATCCCTCATCTCCTCCACCACCGCAGATGAAGGTCCTAGACGTAAAACGATGCAAGAGATGAAACGGCTCGCAGCAGAATCCAATGCTGAAGATACTTGCGGTAACTGGGCTCGTCCTGGTGGTGCTGCTATTGCTCCGCCGGCGAAGAAGTTCAAACGTGACAGCGCTTCCCCTGCTCCCGGAGCTGGCGGGTTCGGACAGCAGGTTCAAGCAGGAGGTGTTAGGGATGCGTATCAAGAGTTCCCGGAGGCAGTGTTGGTGTTCATGGAGATGTTGCCGAGTGCGCATTTATTCGATGGACCCGTGTTCAAGGCGGATGACATTTTGGATTGTATCAGGAGTGCCAATATTCCGCAGACTGCAAGTGCGAGAGGTGCAGGTGGGTTTGGTGGGGCTGGTAGAGGTCGATACCGCTGATCCTCACTGTATGTACGATCATCTTCACGAAAACTCTATCTTGTTTCATAGTCAAGCTGTTTGTGATGCTAAAAGTACATTGTCTACATCTAAACTAATTTGAGTTTTCCCGAGGAAGGAGGGCCGCAGCTTGTAAGATCTTCCGCAATGCTGGCTCGGAGAGCAACCAAGCTGGTCCATCTGACGAAGAAGCTTGCTTGAGGCCCAGGAGGCGTCCGATGTTAGCCCATGCAGAACCACGAGACAGCAGTCCTTCCTCTGGTGACAGCGCGACAATACTCTCCTTCTCCTCGCCTGAATTTTTGTCCTTCGTCGAGACTTTGAAGTACTGCGTTGGTGATAGAGTCTCCATCTTCTGCCTCATTGCCGTCAACTTTTCGACGTCTGATCCATTTGTCAGCTTCTCGAGCTTCTCCATCTGCAGCCGCAGTTTGCCGTACGCTTTCGCTCGTTCCAAATCGACAGTGAGCATCCCCTTCCTGAGCTGTGTGAGCGAGGAAGCAGCCAGAGCCGTTGCAACGAACACAAAGACAGCTCCAAGTGCAACTAATACTGGCGTACGTGGCGATTCATGCGGCCATCTATCCTTGCTCGATTTCGGCCATCGTTTTGCCCGCAACGCGTACCCGACGATCCATCGAAAAGCCGGGCCTCCAATCCAGCTGTACCACTTGTTATACCACTTTGACCGTATTACAGCATCGCTAGCTGTAAAATCCTTGATCTGCTTCAAAGTCTGCCAAGCTGACGGAAAGAGCGGACCGAAAGCAATCACATACAACGGAGGAATCGACACCAAGAATGCAACGAACGCCCTCAGTGTCGCTGGCGCAGTAACGTCATTATCGAACCACGCACAATGATGGTCGAACCCCACCCTACAGGTTCCGCAGTCTCCGCAGTGCCGCATACGAAACGCTTTGAGTCTTGCTCGGCAGTTGTCTCTCCAGCATCGAAGGGGCTGACCATCAGCCTGACATAATTCGATCTTTACTTCAGTATTGGAGAGGGAGGTTGCGAGTGTGTTGAGACGTTGTTGCTCGAGTTGCTGCGCTTCGTCTGGGTCTGGGAACGCAGCTCCGAAATTTGTGCGTAGCCATGATATCAAGCCGCTACACTTGTTGGTATATTGAGGGGAGTGAGCGAAAAAAACGCGAAGATACGCTCGTAGAGACCAAAGAAAGAGCCCGTGTGCCGGGAGCAGCCAAACTATGGGCAAGAGAGTTCGCCGGCGTTGGAGGTATAAGTGACGATGTGCGTAGCGGACAACGACAAGATCATAAGCGAAAGCGATGTAGATGAGAAGGATGATGGGGACGATTCTACCCAGGATGCGGTTGAGGCGGATTCCTTTCCGAGGAGGAGGGGTGAAAGGGTGGCAATTGGGCTGAGTCGGGTTAGTCGGCTGTCCCGGTGGTTCGAATGTCGTCCGACTAGTGGAGTTACTGGCCTGCAGTGGGCGCTGCCGCAGCGACATGAAGCACTGTGATCGCAGCCTTGCACAGCTCAAGAGCTGCAGTCGACCACTTTCGTTGTTGTTGGTTACGCGATATTTGATACTTGGCCAAGATGGGGTCCGGGAAGAAGAGCAAGTTCCAGGGTCTTGTTGCGTCTGTGCGTATCCGAAGCTGCAGCATAAAAGAAAAGCGAGTTGGAGCTGATTTGAGTCTGAGGCTGAGTGTTGGAAAGAAGTGAGGACGCGAGCGCGACGCGAAGAGTGGCCAAAATGGCAGAAGAGCCCAAGTTGGAGCTTCCGACAGTTCTCTCTGCGCGTTGCGCGTTGGGCGTTGCGCGTGCGCGTGCGCGTGCGTGTGCATTTGGAATTGGAATTGGAATTGGAATTGGAATTGGAATTGGAATTGGAATTGGAAGTGCAATTGGAATTGAAATTGGAATTGCCGAGCGTCGGGACTCGTTCTCACAAAGCACACTTTCTCGAGTCGAGGCGCAGAGGTTGAGGAAGCGCGCGCGGTTGTCATGGATCAATGCTCAGCTCCATCCTCTGCCATCTCTCATCCTTCTCCTATCCCTCCTCCCATTTCCGACAACGCTCAAGATTTGATATCGTCGAGCATATACCACACCAATCTGATCATTGTACGGCTCTCAAACCATCCCGACAAGATCAATCGCTCCGAGCTAAGACGCGTCTGCATACACTCAATCGACGATCGTTCCTGCACCTGCAACTTCGGCAACAATCATCAGTAGCATCTCTTCCTTCAGATTTGCGCCACCATGGCTCGCTTAACATCCAGAAACGGCGCCAAAGCAGGGTCCACCAGCACCACCGCAAGGAGAGATCCGCTCGCCGACGTATCCAACGACATGGATTCAGATGGCTCCTTGACCGATCCTTCTGCCTCCGAGGGCGAGGACAGCGACAATGCCGCCGACAACCATGAGATTGACGATCAAGACTCAGAGGAAGAGGTGGACGAGGACGATGATGAAAACGATGGCGACTTTGGCTCGAGTCGCAAGAAGAAAGCAGCACCACGACGCTCGGCTGCCACTCCCTCCAAGGCCAAGTCGACAAATACAACACCTCGTGCCCGTAAAACAAAAAACGGTGCCACAAAAGCACCACGCTCCACCACAAAGCGCTCAGGACCTTCTCGACCAAGAGCAGGCACTACAGGCGCTACTCCTTCCGCAGCTCGATCTCGCGCAGCGGCCAGTAGAGACGAGCTTCCCATCAACGACGACAACGAAATCTTCAATGCTGTCAAGGATCCCAACTCGGCTTTGCAGTCCAACGCAGAAGACTGGGTTGTGGCTTTCTCTGATCATCAGGGACGGGCACTTGCCGAACTTGTCAACTTTGTCATTCGTGCTTGTGGCTGTAACGGCAGTGTCGACGAGAACCAGGTCATCGATATCGACAATGTAGTTGACAACCTCGAGGAGTTGCAAGAAGTTTTCAAGAAGCAACCCATCCCATCTTATCCTATCGTGTCGAGAAGTAAGACATTCAAGAACTTCCGCAAGTCGCTCAATGAGTTTCTGCGCCGTCTTGTCATGAGCGCATACGATGCAGAAATCCTGACCTCAGATGGATTCATGGAGCCCTACCAGGCTTGGGTCTCGGCCATGTCGTCTTCCTCGCTGCGCTCTTTCCGTCACACTGCCACTGTTGTTGCACTCTGGACCGTCTCTGCATTCAACCAAGTCAATGCGCAGGCTACAAAGGACCTTTCCACCGCTACCAAGCAACGCGATGCCGAGAAGAAGAAGGCGCGTGCCGACAAGAGCCGGCTCAAGGACCTGGAATCCAAAGTGGTCGAATCTCGTAAGCTCAAAGCTCGCCTGGAAGAATACACCAACGAGTTCATCAGCTCGGTCTTTGTCCACCGTTTCCGCGATTTCGATGCCGGTATTCGATCCGAATGCGTCGAGGCGCTCGGCAGCTGGATGAACAAGTACCCAACGCAATATCTGCAGAGCTCTTACTTCCGCTACCTCGGATTGGTTCTGTCTGATGTGGACGCAAATGTGCGTATGAAGGCTGTTCAAGCTATGACTGGCTTGTACAGCAGAGACAACTTTGTCAGCTCCATTCGACACTTCACCGAGATGTTCAAGGGTCGTCTTGTGCAGATGGCTACAGGAGATGTCGAGCTCGGCGTTCGCATTGCCACCATCAATGTCCTCGTTCTGATCGACAAGCATGATCTGTTGGCGGATGAACAGCGCGATTTGCTAGCGACGCACATTTTTGACGTTGAGCCACGTATTCGTAATGCTGTTGCCAGCTTCCTCGCCAATATACTCGACGAGAAGGTGAGCGAGGCCGCAAGCGAGCTGAGTTCTCTATCTGCTGCGTCGAAGAAGAAAGGCAAGCAAGCTGAGCAGCAGCAGCAAGAGCAAGCTAAGCTTCGCTTCAAATGTCTCGCTAAGCTTCTTGTCAAGTACGGACATCGACTGGATTCCAGAGACTCGGACGCGGCCAATGACGATGGCGACGCGACGGAGGAGCTGGCTGTAGTCATCGATGGTGCCAAGGAGGGACGTGTTGGACTGGCAGTCGAAGCGCTCTGGGATGCCGTGGAGGACATGCAGCACTGGAAGCCGCTCATCGAATTGCTTCTGTTGGATCATTCAGACAGGGCTGCAGCTGCTGGCCGAAGCAAGGGTAAAACGTCTGCTGAGAATGCTGCTCCTGCCGTCTACCGTCTCGAATCGGAGGAGGAGGCTATTCTAGTTGAATCGCTGGTGGTCATCCTGCACAAGACTTACGAAGCCGCCAAGCTCATCGACGATGGAGAGGATACCACAAAGGAGGACGTCACACGTGTTATGATCGCAGCTCTGCCCAATCTCTTCGCCAAATACCGAACCGATGCGCCACGCATCGCTGATCTCTTACTCCTCCCACAAGCGATGGACTTGGAGATGTACACCGAACTTCATGAAAAGACCGCCTTCGAAGCGCTCTGGGATGATGTCTCGAACCAGATCCAGCGTCATGTTGAGCCACTGGTCCTCAAGCATGGTGTAGAGACTTTGCGAAAGCTGGTGGCGACCACCTCACAGTCCAACATCAACAGCACCAAGTTGTCCGCACTCGAGGAAGGTCTGGTGTCGTCGCTGCGAGAGACTGTCAGCGATCGCGATGTGGAAACGGCAGGTTTCAGCGAAGATGAAGTGCATCTCTTGGCAGCCAACATGCTTCGTCTTCATCTTGTTAGTCAGGTGTGCAACACGAGCGATGCGCTAGAGGACGATGAAGGTGGACAAGCTACGAGTGGATGGGAGATTGTGTTGGACATCGCTGGACGTGGTCGTCTCGCATACCAGGAGGAAGAATCTCTTGTTCGCGATGCTGTTGCAACGTTGACACTTCACATTATGTGGAAGACACGTCAAATTATCATGCCGGATGCTGGATCTCAGGCTGCAGCGGCAGAGGCCTTGCTGGCTAAGCGTACTACGGTGTTGACGCTGTTGGAGGAGTTTGTTGCCAGCAGGCAGTCTCAGGCGTGTGTTGGGGTTCAACGCGTTGCGTTTGAGAAGCTGGCGAACATTCAGATGCTGTATGCTGCTATTCCGCAGCAATCGCCTGCGGTGGCGGCAGCAACAGGAGAGGATGCAGCAGCAGCGGTGGAGGAGGGAACTGCTCAGCATAGGTCCGGTGCTCAACTTCCTGCCGTGCTCAGTCTTAGCTGTGATGCTGAAGTGCAACAGCACTGTGCAAACTTTGTTCAGGCTGAGATCGAGCGGTATATCCAGAAAGCTGGAGTCGTTGAGAAGGAGACCAACGGAAACGGAGATGTAGCACATGACAACTCGGACGACGAGGCGGCCGATGAGGACAACGAGGACGAGGACGACGATGAAGAGGATAATGCTGAGGCAACACCCAAAGCTTCTCACATCCGTGGAGGGAAGAGTAAGAAAGCGAAGAAGACCTCCGCCGCCAACGCCAACGCCAAAGCTTCGAACAGTGCCACAACCACCTCCGACAACCCCGAAGGTCGAGACCAAGCACAGCTGCAAGCAGAACACACCTTCTGCTCGGTCATCAGCACCTTTGTCTCTGCCATCCGTGTCGGTATCATCGAGGCCAAATACTCGACCGTGGTGCTCATCCACTTTGGCCGTCTCGGCAACATCTACGACTCTCTCTGCAAAGCTCTGGTCGAAGTGCTCAAAGAAGAAGCCATCTTTGGCGGCTACAACCGAGCGGTAATCGTCGAAAGCGTCATTTGGGATTCTCTTCGTGAAGCTTTCGAACTGTTCCTCGACACAGGCGATGCCAACGGAGAAGCACGATTCATTTCACTTTCTCGTCAACTTGCAAACGCTCTAGTTGTTCGAGGTGCTGGTTTCACCGCACTACGCAAGATCGATGCAAGATGTCTCATCTCTCTTCACAGCAGAGCAAGCGAGCATATCGCACAGAAAGTGGCTGCGGCGGAACGAAATGGTAATAAGCGGGTCAAACAAAAGATGCCAGCGCTTTACAAAGGGATGGCGAATCTTCTCATTACTGCAACTCCCACGGATGCGGTCAAAGTTAAGAGTGCGATGGATAGAGTGTACAGGGCGGCAAATGTTCAAATTCCTCCCACGGCAAAGAGTTGGGATGCTCACAGGTCATACGAGAAGAGACTGTTGAAAATTGCTGCTAAGAGTGCGATGTTTGCTCCTGCAATCGCTGCGGGTGGGAAGGGTGGGGAGAAGAGGAAGAGTGGAGAAAATTTGGATAGTGGAGGTGAACTTTCGGATGATGATGGGTTGCCGGAGAGAGGTGAACGTATTTTACCCACGCCGGTGAAAGGAGGCCAGAAGAGGGATAGAGCTCAAGAGGAGGAGAGGGAGGATGTTAGTATTGCAGCTCCAGCAAGCGATCAACTGTCCGAGATCGATGTTGAGATGCCACCTGCAAGTGATGATGGATCGTTGGAGATCGGCGATGATGATGAGAGTGTCGGGCGGGTCAAGAGGAGGAAGGTTTGACCCAATGCCGGTTCTGTGCATCTCAAGTGAAGCTTTTTTTTTTTTTTTTTTTTTTTTTTTTGCGTACGAAAGTAAGTTGAAGATTGAAACTACACGGCACCGCCTCGTAGAGCTACTTACTAGCTCTTATTGTGCAGGTGTATGGTAACTGCAATGCTTGAGATTCTTTATGAACTATGACTACAGTATCATTCATATATATACCTTTCACCCCATCCTTGAGAGGTCCTATCTTTGCCCACTAATTGAGTGCACCATGTGTTGCTTTGCCATTGTCATCCTTGTGTCTTGGCATTTTCTCCTTGTACATTTTCTGATTGGTCACCATGCATTGGGCATCCATGCACATCCCTCAGTTTATTGGTGATTCGGCTCTCTTGCATATTGGATATCCCAGCATAACTTCAACTCCCCCCCTTGCCAGCATTCCCAATCCTATTGCGTGAGCCAATCAGGATGTTTCTACACCTCTCAGTGGTTTTGTGAGGATGTTGGCTATGTTGTTGGTTGTCCCTACATGCTCTATTGCCATCTTGTTGTCCTGCACATGGTCTCATACAAAATGGTACCATGTGTTGATGTGTTTAAGCTTCCAGTGTTTTGCTGGATCTTTACTTACCTGTATGTAACCTTGGCTGTCCATTTGTAATAATGGTTTGACATCCTTTATCCCTAAGTCTCTGAGCATGTATGAGAAGAATAGCACTTTCTGTGTTGCCTCACTGGCCATGATGAACTCTGCCTCAACAGCTGATAGTGCAACACATTTCTGGACCTGTGATCTCCAGCTAACTGGGCAGCCATAGACATAGGTTATTGCACCCAATGTGCTTTGCCAACCATTTGTTGGGTCTGAGGCCCATTTTGTGTTGGTGTATGTGACAACCAGTTGCTCTCTGTGTTTCCTTGTCTTTCCCCCCATCTGCAGTTGATACTGGCTTGTTTGGTTAAGGTACTTTAGGGTGTGAATGGCTCCATTCCATGTGCCTGTAGTTGGATCAGACATGTAATGTGTGAGTGTTCCCACAGTATACAAGATGTCAGGATGGGCTGTGTTGGACACCCATAGGAGCTGGCTGACTAGTTCTTGATATTGCTTCACTTGTTTCTGAACACACTTATTGCCCGATGCAATGGTTGCTATGCTTTGTATCAGTATCCATGATTTGTCACTTGGTTTTTCCAGCCATTTCTTGGCCATTGCTTGTATGTATGCCATTAGGTCGAGCAAAATCTTCTTCTGCATCCTGTTGTGGGTCACCTTGACTCCTAGGAACTCCTTAACCTGTCCGTTATCTTGTGTTCCCCTGTAAGCGGTCGCGCGCCAGAGACTAGTTTTGGGTGTTATCCGATTGGTATAGGTGGGATTGATTAAGATCTACTCGGTATCCCTAGGTATTCCCTCATAGGGCTGGCTGTACCTCGGCCCAGTAGGGGATGCATACTTCTTGTAGTTAGAATATGATTGCTCATCTTGATCTAGGAACGACACTGTCCTGCATGGTCTTGGTGCTGGGTTGGGTGCAAATGACTCCTCATTTGTAGACTCCTTGGTCTGACTGTTGTTCCCAATGAGGGCTTCCAATGATTCCAACCTTTGCACAAAGTGATTAGTGACTGTCCGATTCATTGATATGAGCTTTTCCATTCTATCCTCGGCCCTCTCCATCATCCTCTGCAGTTCCTCAAACCTATCCTTGGTGTCAGGCTCCATCATGTTGATATGGGGCACAACTTGAACGATCCACTCTAATGTACTATATACTTTACTCTTTACTTGACTCTTAGCTACATATCATTGCAATAGCAGTGCTTTGCAATGACCCTCAAACATGTGTGTTGTATCACTGTTAGGCATCAACTGTAGGTGGTGTTGCTCAACACTTGCAGTCCAGTCCCTTACTGTAGGCAGTGTTGCTTGACACCTGTGGTCCAGTCAGTTATTGTAGGCAGTGTTGCTTGACACCTGTGGTCCAGTCAGTTATTGTAGGTGGTGTCTCACACCTGTGGTCCAGTAACTTCCATCCTCTGTAGGCAATAAGCATATCATGGTCCAGACAATGTCTGAGAGCATTAACAACAGTACTGTGAACACTTGTACTGTAAGGAGAGTGTATCACTCACTCTCCAACAAACAATGAATGTGCCTCGCAACCTCTGAACAGAGTGTTCAAGGCAGTCAGCCAAGACCTACCAGTATGAAGTCATCTGGTTATGTTTAGTTGAAACATACTGAGTAGATCTTACTCAATCAATCCCACCTATACCAATCAGATAACACCCAAAACTAGTCTCTGGCACGCGACCGCTTACATCCCCATTCGTTCATTATATCTTTCTTTGTCCAGTCCACCTCATGTCGACTCGGTGATGCTAGCAATATGTCATCTACATATGCTGTAATGACTGTCATCGAGTTGCCTGTTCCTCGTGTATACAGGCATGGTGAGCTTGGCATGCAATGGAATCCAATTCTCCAGAGGTGTGAGTCCAACTTCATGTTCCATTCTCAGCCTGATTGTTTTAGGCCATACAAACCTTTCACAAGTTTCAGAACCTTTCCTGTGGGTGTGTCTGTTCCCATTGGCAGTTTGAGGAAAATGTCATGATGTAGATTTGAGTTCAAGTATGCCTGCTGTCACAGGGACGGCTGGCCTGCGCAAGAGAGTGCGCCAAATGATCAGCAGCAGTTATGATAATGTCACGTAACGGAGCAGTATATGAAGGGTGCGCCAGATTGATCAGAGTCGAAAACCATCGGGGATCAACAAGATTAATTGGGTTGGCAGCGAACATGAATTACAAGATCGATCGAACCCGGGGAATCCAGATCGATCTCATGGGATCGGTCAGAGTCAGCCAGACCAGTATGCTTCAACGAGTCAGCCAATCCGAACAAGTACTCGGAGCTGTGCCAATGATGGAGGCAGTCAGATCAGCACACCTCAACTAATTGGCCGATCCAAACAGGCATTCAGAGCTGTGCTGATGTTGGAATCAGTCAGATCAGCACGCTTCAACTAGTTGGCCAATCTGAGCAAGTATTCAGAGCTGTGCTGATGATGGAGTCAGTCGAATCAGCATGCTTCAACTAGTCGGCCAATCTGAACAAGTCGAGACAGAACTGAGCCGACGTGACCACATGACCAGGGGGTATGGTCATGAGGTTCAAAAGGGGATTCACAAGATTAAGTCAAAAGGGGGGCCATGCCGAAAGGGGGCATCACACATCAGACAGAAGGAGATCATGTAGGCAAGAGGGCAGTGTTGCATAACCCTCACACCAAGCAAATGGTAGGAGAGCAGTATCAAAGGGGTTGATGCCAGCAGGGCAAGGCAGTGCCTAACAGGGGACAAAGGCCCCTCAAGAGGAGCAGGATAGGTGTCGAGGGAAAACACCAACCAGACATATAAATACTCTCATTCTACCATAGCATACAAGTGGAGGGGCATCCACTCTGAAACTCAACTACTTACTCTATACTTACTCAGTTATGTATCAACACAATAGCAGTGCTCTTGCAATGACTCTCAACATGTGTGTTGTATCACTGTTAGTCAACAACTGTAGGTGGTGTTCTTCACACTAGCAGTCCAGTTCATTACTGTAGGCAGTGTTCTTCAACACCAGCAGTCCAGTTCATTACTGTAGGCAGTGTTTTTCAACACCAGCAGTCCAGTTCCTTGCTGTAGGCAGTGTTGCTCGACACCAGCAGTCCAGTCAGTTATTGTAGGTGGTGTTTCACACCAGCAGTCCAGTAACTCACATCCTCTGTAGGCGATTGGCATATCACAGTCCAGACGACATCCAAGAGCATTATCAACAGTACTATGAACACTCATACTGTAGGGGAGGGTGTATCACTCACTCACCAACAAACAATGTCCATGCCATGCAACCTCTGAATGGAGTGTTCAAGGTGGTCAGTCGAGACTTACTAGGCGATGATGCTTGGTTACATTTAGGCGAATCATATCGAGTAGTCCTTACTCAATCAACCTCAGCTAGTCTCTGGCGCGTGACCGCTTACACCTGCTTGACATCTACCAAATCCACTTCCCAGTCTCGAATTGTGTTGATCACTAACACTCCTTGGATCGATTGAATGGGTGCCACCAGTGCGAAAATTTCTGTGTAGTCGAGCCCTTCTTTCTGAGTGAACCCTCTTGCTACAAGTCTGGCCTTGTACTTGGTGGGTATCAGATTGGCATCTGTTTTAATTTTCAGTACCCAATGTGTGTTGACAGTGTTCTTTCCTGGCAGGAGGTCAGTGACTTCCCACATGCCCATGGCCTCCAGTCCTTCTAACTCTTTCCACATTACTTCTTCCCAGAACCCTCTATCCAGCCTGGATAAGGCTTCGCGAATGGTTGGGTCTAGGTTCTTCTCCTGCCTGGTGTCCGCAGCTTTGAGCCCAAAAAAGGTGGTAGTTTGCCTTGATGGTTCTGCCTCTACATTTTCTTCGGCTTCGGTTGGTGGTTCGGCATCCATGTATTCATTCAATGGTTTGTGGTGCATTTCATCAAATAGATTTTCTTCCAAATATCCTAAGTCCTTGAAGTCTTCTTCGTGTGTTAAGGTCAGAGGCAGTTGTGCACTCACTGGCCTCCATGGTGTCAGGGGTCTCGCGCCTGAAACCCAGGTCAGTCTGTCGAGATACTCGGTGACTATCAAACTGTGCAACAGCTATTGTCTCAGTATTGGTCTCGATGAGCTAGTCATTCAGCAACTATCAAGTTGTGCAATGACAGCAGGTGGCATTCATTGTATATACTATTGTAGGTTTTGGCTGACCTCTGTGGACACTCCATTCAGGGGTAGCTCGGCACAATCAATATCAATGCATAGGTTGTGATGACACCAAGGTCTGGTGTGAGTGTTGATGATGATGAGGTTGATGGTGTTGGTGGTAAGGTTGGTGAATGTCGATGATAATGAGGTTGATGGTGTTGGTGATGAGGTTGGTGGCATCAACACAAGTGTCCAGTGTGTTGACTGATGCTGGAGGTGATCCCTGGACCACAGTGGACTACTGCCTTTGGTTCTATCTTGATCTGGACTGCTAACCTGCTATGGGGCACCTTTGGACATCAGGTAGTGGTGATACAACACACACACTACAATGAGGAGCAACCTTGATAGATTGCTGCTATGCTGACTGAAACTAATATATACTTATGCTGAAGTGATAACTAGTTATGATGGTTGTGTAGAGTGGATGAGGATCCACTTGACCTTTGATGATGAGAAAGCATGGTTATATACCTCTTCTCAGCGTCGCCAGCGACGCTGCTCCTGCTCTCTCTCCAGAGAGTACCTTCTTCATCAAGTACTGTACAGGGGGCCCTTCTGGCACCACTCCTGTCCTCCTTGAGCTATCGACTCCTTCAACACTGCTCCTCCTCCTTGCTATCCTGCTTGCTTGGCACCCTTGTGCCTCTTGAGCTGTGTCGACTCCTTCAACACTGCTCCTCCTCCTTGCTATCCTGCTTGTTTGGCACCCCTGTACCTCCTGAGTGGTGTCGACTCCTTTGACACTGCTCCTCCTCCTCAGAACCTGCTTGCCGGTTACCTATACACTGCTCCTTCTCCTTTGACCGGTGACAGTTCCTTTGACTCTTGTCTCTCGAGCCCCTGAGTGGTAACCATCTGCATGCTCCTTGAGCTTGGTCCCCTTCATGGCTGTGCCTGCTCCTTGAGCTTGGTCCTCCTCATGGCTGTGCCTGGCCTTCCTTGCATATGGCTCAGTGCTCCTTTGCATGTGAGTCTGTAGGAGTCCATGGTCTCCATGGAGACTGCACTACGACCATGCTCTCTACTGGCATCGACTAGATCTCTACCTGTGCTCCTTCCATATGAACCAGTGACCCTCCTGCTACCTGAGCATTCAGGCCCATGACAACTACCACCATCAAAGAAGTATGACTCCAAGACCTATGACTCTATCTTAGTCATTGTCGACAGGTTAACCAAGTTTGCCATACTAGCTCCAACCCATAAGACAGTCATGGCCAAACAGACTGCAGTGTTGCTATATGGACACATGGTTAGACTCTTTGGCTACCCAGATCACATGGTCTCAGACCAAGGCAGGCAGTTCATATCAGGAGCATGTAAGGCATTTGCAGAACAAATGGGTGTGAAGCACTCACTTAGCATGGCTTACCATCCTCAAACTGATGGTCAGACAGAGAGGGTCAATCAGGTCATTGAGCAGTACCTAAGGATGTACTGCAACTATGAGCAGAATGACTGGGCCAACCTGCTGGACACTGCAGCCTTTGTATACAACAACACAGTCCACAACAGTATTGGTGTCTCACCATTCTTTGCATGCTATGGATGGAACCCCAAAGCTCATCCTGATATCCCTCAACAACTAGGAGTCAATGACCCAGGTCGCTTCGAGTACCTCATGGATGGAAAGGAACATTGCAAGTACCTCCAGGAGCAGATCAGAGAGGCACAATGTAGATCAGTAGACCAGTATAACAGGAAGCACAAGGACATCGAGTTTAAGGTGGGTGATATGGTCTATATCAACCACCAAAACTGGAAGACAAGGAGACCCACACCCAAATTAGATACCCGGTTTGCAGGACCCTACCCAGTCCAGGAACGGGTAGGATGCCGAGCTTATCGAATCACATTACCAGCAAATCTTAGGGTGCATGATGTGTTCCATGTCTCCATGCTCGAACCAGCAAGAACAAGTTCTCTTCCTCAATGAGCTGAACAGCCCACCATACCATCACTCCCAGATGAGGACCTCGTTTTTGAAGTCGAAGCACTCATCGACAAGCATTCACACAATGGGACTACAGAGTACAAAGTGTTGTGGAGAGGGTACTCAGAAGAAGCTGCTTCATGGGAACCAGTAGAGAACCTCAACTGTCCTGACCTCATCCAGGAGTATGAGGTGTCGGAGGGGGGACGAGCGAGTAGACAAAGTAGAGAGAGGAGGAGAGAACAGGAGGAGTAGAGAGAGGAGGAGGAAGGAGAATGATGTTGAGAAGAAGGAGGAAGGGTGATGTTGGCGATGTTGTCGAGGAGGAGGAGGAGGAGGAGGAGTCAGCATGAACCAGACCAGAGCATGCCTCGACGGAGCTCGGCTCTTAAGAGGGGGGGTAGTGTCATGGGCCTAGATGCTCAAGAAGCAGGAGGGCCACTGGTTCATATGGAAGGAGCACAGGTATCAAAGATCTAGTTGATACCATTAGAGAGCATGGTCATAGTGCAGCCTCCATGGAGACCATGGACTCCTACAGACCCACATGCAAAGGAGGACTGAGCCCATATGTGAGGAGGGCCAAGCACAGCCACAAAGAGGACCAAGCTCAAGGAGCATGCAGATGGTTACCACTCAGGGGCTCGAGAGACAAGAGTCGAAGGAGTCGACACCAGGTCCTGAGGAGGAGGAGCAGTGTCGAAGGAGTCAACACCAGGTCCAGAGGAGGAGGAGCAGTGTTGAAGGAGTCGACACAGCTCAAGAGGCATAGGGGTGCCAAGCAAGCAGGAGAGGCCTCCTGAACAGTACTCGATGAAGAAGGTACTCTCTGGAGAGAGAGCAGGAGCAGCGTCACTGGCGAGGCTGTGAAGAGGTATATAACCATGCTTTCTCATCACCAAAGGTCGAGTGGATCTTCATCCACTCTACACACACATCATAACTAGTTATCACTTCAGCATAAGTATATATTAGTTTTAGTCAGCATAGCAGCAATCTATCAAGGTTGCTCCTCATCATAGTGTGTGTGTTGTATCACCACTACCTGATGTCCGAAGGCGCCCCATAGCAGGTTAGCAGTCTGGATCAAGATAGAACCAAAGGCAGTAGTCCACTGCAGTCCAGGGATCACCTCCAGCATCAGTCAACACACTGGACACTCATGTTGACACCACCAACCCTATCACCAACACCATCAACCTCATTATCATTGGCATTCACCAACCTTATCACCAACACCATCAACCTCATTATCATTGGCATTCACCAACCTTATCACCAACACCATCAACCTCATCATCATCAACACTCACACCAGACCTTGGTGTCAACATAACCTATGCATTGATATTGATCATGCCGAGCTACCCCTGAATGGAGTGTCCACAGAGGTCAGCCAAAACATATGATAGTATATACAATGAATGCCACCCACTGTCATCACACAACTTGATAGTTGCCAAGCAACTAGCTCATCAACACCGATACCGAGACAATAGCTGTTGCACAGTTTGATAGTCACCGAGTATCTCGACAGACCGACCTGGGTTTCAGGCGCGAGACCCCTGACATCCCTTACTGTAGGCAGTGTTGCTTGACACCTGCAGTCCAGTCAGTTATTGTAGGTGGTGTCTCACACCTGCAGTCCAGTAACTTCCATCCTCTGTAGGTGATAAGCATATCATGGTCCAGACAACCTCCAAGAGCATTAATAACAGTACTGCAAACACTCATACTGTAAGGAGAGTGTATCACTCACTCTCCAACAAACAATGAACATGCCTCACAACCTCTGAATGGAGTGTTCAAGGCAGTCAGCCAAGACCTACCAGTACAAAGTCATCTGGTTATGTTTAGTTGAAACATACTGAGTAGATCTTACTCAATCAATCCCACCTATACCAATTGGATAACACCCAAAACTAGTCTCTGGCGCGCGACCGCTTACAGGTGTTGTCTGCAAAAGGCCTTCCTAAGGTGCTTCCTTCTGCTTGGATTGTTCTGATCTCTTGGATTAACTTCTGGGCATTGGCATGGAACATCCTGGTGTCACCCAATTGGGTGATCAGAGCAAGCCAGCAGGAGGCCCTAGTGGCTTTGTCTCCCAAACTGTTTTTAATTTTACTCCAGACTTGGCCAAAGGTTAAATATTCTCTGATGATGTTGATCATGAGGTAATTGACATTATATTTTCCTATAGTATCAATGGTACCTTGCACAGCATTTGTCAGTGCATCATCAAAGGGGCAGCTCCATTTTGGATGGTCTGGGTTGTATACTCCTTCAAGGTGTTCCATGGCATGCAGTACAGATTGGAGAAAGGATATTACATGAGCACTCCAGCTGTAGTAATTCTGGGTGGTTAGTTTTGGCACCAGCTTGAGGAGCTTAGCTAGGGTGTGAAAGCTATATTGTTTGCCAATGTCATTGCTGTCTGATTCATAATCAGGTTTGTCATCAATCTCATTGTCATCATTGGCTGTGTTCTCAGCTTGGGTCTGTTGGATGACTATGGTCTTCTTTGTTCTCCTAGACCTCTTAGCAGCTTCGTTGGCACCAGCTTGGGAGTCAGTTTTGTCAACCATGGCTGGTTGTTGTTGTTGCTAGGGAGGTTTGAGCTTCAGACTCTTAATCAGTTGAAGATTGAAGCTGCACGACACTGCCTTGTAGAGCTACTTACTAGCTCTTATCACACAGGTGTATGGTAACTGCAATGCTTGAGATTCTTTATGAACTATGACTACAGTATCATTCATATATATACCTTTCACCCCATCCTTGAGAGGTCCTATCTTTGCCCACTAATTGAGTGCACCATGCATTGCTTTGGTGTTGTCATCCTTGTGTCTTGGCATTTTCTCCTTGTACATTTTCTGATTGGTTGCCACATGTCAGGCATCCATGCATGTCCCTTGGTCTATCAGCAATTCGGCTCTCTTGCATATTGGATATCCCGGCATAACTTCAACTAAGTTTACCCTCATGTGCGCGTGTGAGCTTTCGTTTGCTGTGGCGAAGCTTAAAACAGAGCATTTGAGTTGAAGAAACACCGGAATAACCAATATGCAGGAAGGCCGAGTGACCGACAGGCCGATTTCCGGCATGCATAGCAAATTGTGTGGCGACCAATTAGGAGACACTCACGAAAGGAAAACGCCGAGGCACCACATGATAAACACAACTCAGAGGAGAATGATAGATGATCACATAGATGTCAGCAGTCGTGTGCCTGGAACCCGAAATCTACTGGCTTGATTGATTTCAACCAGTTTCAGTGAGCACTCTTGAGTATGCACCTGTCAGCCACTTTCACTGAGACTGCTTGAAGGGTTGTTTGTTCAACAAGTTTTGGCTAACCACTGTGAACACTTGGTTCAGTGGTAACATGGCACAGTCAGCTCCTGCTTGTTGCAGAACACTTAGTATATGTGCTGATAACCATCAACTCGACACAAGTGTTCAAGGTGTTGATGATCAGATGGTAAATCAGTGAGGGAAGCCTGGACTGCAGTGTGAGTACTGCCTTTGATGAGATAGTTATCTGGACTGCAGTAACTACTGCCTACAGATGACATCAGTGAGGGGTGATACAACACACCTGCTCAGATTAGTAGCAATGGCCTGTGATTGCACTATGTGACAGAACAACTAAGTATATGTTACTGTAGAGTATAGTTTAGTTAAGAATAGTGTGGATGCTGGATCCACTCATTCACTATGATGGAGGGGTGTATATATATTTTTGTGCCATGGTGTTGACTTCACCATGGCTTCCCTCCTTGCAGGGGTGTGGCCTCTCCATCCACCCTTGTCTATCTGGCTTCTACTACCTTCCTGTCCTTCCTGCTCCTACTCCTCTTGCTGAGGCAGCAATCCTCCTACACTGACTTCATTGTGCTCAGGGGTTTCCTCCCACCTCATCAGGTGGCAAGTTCTCTCATCCTGTGTTCCCAGTGGCTGGCCCTATGGTCTTGATGGAGTGTCTTCATCTCATTGTGGGACCAATTGATCTGCTTCATCTTGGGCCAGTCTCAGTAAAACTTCCCAGGCCCCATTGTCTCAACCATTCTTGATGAGGTTTCACCCCAGCTCGCTGTCCAACCATTCTCAATGAGATTGGTCAGAGCCCCTGGTTCTTGACCAGTCCCACTTCCTGTGTGCTGAGCTCATTTCGGCAGCTGCACAGCATGTCTGCTTATGATCTCTGCGCTGGCCCTGTGACAATAGACAGGACGAAGGTATATATACATGCAATCCTGTAGTAGTAGTTCATAGAAATCCCAAGCATTGCCTTTACGATACACTTGTGTAAGAGAAGCTAGAACGTAGCTCAGACACAACGGTGTTAGCATAGCTTCAACTGTTTGAGATCCGTCGGCATCCTTCCGAAAGCAGCAGGTAACCAGTCTCAGGGGCTAGTATTGGATTGCTGTCCGGAAGGTTCCCCCGACACACAAACTCTCTACCGTTTGACGTAGAGGCTTGGCCCCCGACGGCTTTTCCGAAGAATGCTAAATAAGCCATCAAGGTAGATCAACTATGTTACGCAGCAATCAGGTCAAGCAGCCACGAAAGAAGGTGGAAAGAGAAAAGAAACCCCACAGAATCTGGAAGCGCACACAACACCACGGGAGACGACAAGCAAAGGAAAGTAGGTCTCAATATTCAGATAAGAGCGGGAATTCAAAACGCAGAAGAAGGGAGGAGCTTGGCGCTGCGGTTGTCAGCAGCCGCTGCAAGAGTCAGGTGTGTACTGACACTGGCGCGACTGTGTAATAGCTTGGGGCTCACGCTATTCTTGAGGAACACGCAAGCGGGGAGCGGCAAAGCAGATAGCAATCGTTATCATTAGGAAGCGACTAAGTACAAAGCAATGCCAGATATATATATATATATATATATGTCTCTGTCGATAGTCATTGTGTGTATGTGCAGAATGAAGTGACACGTAGGATTGCGTGCCATCGTGATAGGAGCAAAGGGGTGTTGTCGTGGGTGATGAGTAGCGTTGGTGGGTGGTGATGAGTGACGACGGCGGTGGGAGCGAGGTTGGCGGAGATGTTAGAGTGAAGAAAAGAGGACATGTGATTTCACAGCTACAACACAGGGTTGTCGGGGCAGCCGAAAGGAGCAGAATGGCGCTCGGAGAACATATTGTGGCGACTCAATATCTGTGCGAAGCCGTAAAAACGTGATATTCGGCATGCAACAAAACAGAGAGTGAGAAACTTCTCTCTTGTTCGGCTGACACAGCTCGCATCTACAGTTAGTTACACAAAGTGTTTCACAAATACCCTTGCCCACCCGCTTACATGTATGTACAGTAGGAAGAAGCAAAGCCAAGAAGACAAGCGAATTTTGAGCTGAGCGGAGGTCGTCAATGGCTCCCATCCTAGCGTTATCAGTCATGACTGCAGAAGAAGAAGTAAGATAGTTAGATAATTAACCTTAAGGCTGCAAGAAAGAAGAGGCTGCTTTGGTTTGCAGCTACGTGGGTGCAGGTACAGAATTAACATGTGCGCGCGCCAAACAAGCCATGGCTTGACACTGTAGCGTGGAAAGAAGTTTTGCGCTTCCATATCAAGGGGCGGTGAAGTGAAGAAAGAAAATGAAGCGGGCAAGTGGGCAAGTGGGCAAGTGGGCAAGTGGGCAAGTGGGCAAGTGGGCAAGTGGGCAAGTGGGAAAGTGGGCAAACCAAGGGGGTGTGGCAAATATCCACAATCTTGTTGCCAAGTTACATGGGACCGCACGCTTTCTGTGTCGTGAGAAGATTCCCACACTTTGGCTTTGGCCGGGCTGTGGCCGGGCTGTTCCGCTGCATGAAGTACCAGTATTGTAAAAATTTGGACATTCCTCTCTTCTCACAAGCCTGCCAATACAGGAGGGGAACAGGACAATGAGAGCGTTGAACCCTGAATTGCTCAGCCTCAGCATTAGCCTCCTCTGTCTCTGTTGCTTCGCCGTTTTTCCCTCTCCGCCACCCAAATCAAGTGTGATTTGGCGACAGCACTAGAACACAGTTCACGCGGCACACTTGCTCTAGTGCTTGCTGCTTGTTGTCCTTTTCCTTCATTTGCCACTCAAACACTTCTCGCAACACAGTCAACAACAATACTGTTTCTTCCGGGGCTACATCTTAGCCTTCTTCCCGTCATCAACATCCTGTGCTAACAACTTCATTCTTCCCGGTCAACCGCCTCTATTCAGGCCAACAGCCGCCTTGAGCTATTCCTGCCTCCTTGCACCATCCTGCAACCGACGATTTCTGCTCTATCCGGCTCTGCTCCGACTCTATCGTAATCGATCCATATACACTCGTTTCTCACCCAACGTAGAATTCGATTACTTGATTCGAAACCATCCATCCTCATCCAAGTGGTCAAAACTTCATCCTCGTCAACCGACTCTGACTCTAACTCCCAACATGTCAGCCACTCCAACCATGCAGACCAATTGGGCCGACGTCAGCACCCTTGACCTTGACACCGAAAATATGCTTAACAACTTTCTCGCCGACTCGGCCAACCCTCATACACGCGACGGCGCCATCAACGCCGCGATCCAATCAAATAACAACTTTGCTGGCGCTTGGCCAGGTCATGATCAGCGTTCTCTCAGCGCCAGCGCCCCCTTCTTTGGCCTCTCGCCTTCCACAGTCATGGGCGTCTCGCCTGATCTAGCTGGCTTCTACCACGATCAAGCTGACCTAAGCAAGCCCTCGAATAGCTGGTCGCTCCCCTCTGACTACGCACCCAACGTGCCCACTCCTACCTCGACTCTCTCGAGCATGTATTGCTCACTCTCGGATGCCATGCCACCTAGCCTTTCCAACGATGGCTCTTACACTGCCTCGGATGCTCAGAGCATCCAGTGCGATATGGTTCACCCTCTCAGCACCATCCCTCCCAGCAGCGTGCCTTTCGACGACATGCTCGAGTTCAACGACCAAAAGGTGATTGGCTCTACACCGCACTTGAGCCCCGCCAGCCTCATGTCCCGACCTTCGCCTTGTGTTGCCAACAATACTCTCGATGGCTATCACAGCAACATCGCTTCCGACCACGCTCATCATCTTGCTGACCTCGTAAAGACCAGCACCATCCTCAACGCTGGTCACCCAGGCCCACGATCCATGGCCACCAGCTTGAGCCGATCCGTCCTCAATGTCGAATCTGTCGGCCGCCCCGACGCCTCGCTCAACGCTCAAATCAAGGGTCTCACCATTCAGCAGCGACGTCGTTTGAACTACATGAACCGCTCTTCCACCGGAGCCCATGCCGCTGTTAATGACAGTCACATCACTCCTACTGCTCAACCGGAAGTAAATGGTCGTCTTCGTCAGAACTCGGCCCCCGATCCGATCTTGCCACCTCTTGGCTCATCACCAGAGATGCCCAACACTCCTCTTCAGAGGCAGCGCCGACCACACCGTGGCTCCATCAGCAGCACCACCGATACGCCTTTGTCTCAGTGCGCGAGTCTGTCCGCAGTTGCTGACGATGCCATTTGTTGGAGTGACGCCATCGTCAACAATTCGCATGACCTTGTCTTTGTGCTTTCGCTCAAGGGCACTGTGCTGTACATGTCGCCTTCGGTGCAGCGCATCTTAGGCTTCCACCCGGAAGAGATCATTGGCCGTCCTCTCGTCGACTTTAGTCACCCAGCTGACATCGGTCCTTTCTCGCGCGAGCTCAAGGAAGCCATCACTTTACCCAATGGTGACGATGAAGGCTCGGATGCCGAGAACACCACCGCAGTCAAGGTCAACCGTCGTGTCGATCTGATTATGCGCATGGCTTGCAAGGATGGTACCTTCAGTCTCATCGCCATTACCGGACGTGTTTCCGTTGACCCTCCCAAGCACCGCAAGGTGGTTGTGTGCTCTGGTCGTCCTCACTCTGTACCCATGCTTCCGTGGAACGATGTTCGACAGGACTTTTTGACATCAGAGTTGTCGGCATGGTTGAAGATCTCGCACAACGGTATCTTCCTCGGTGCAACGGGTCCCATTCAGCAGATCCTCGGTATCGAAGACATCAACCTCCTTGGTCGTCATGTGCGCGATTTGCCTATGGTCACTAGCTCTTCCGATCTACTCGACGCTTTGCGCTCTGGCCGATGCATCTCGGTACAAGACCACTATGAAGCACCCAACTCGGCTCAGAAGAAACCCGTCAGACTCACCGTCTACCCATGGACATCCAACGGTCGATCCAATGCTGTTTCTTTCGTTCACGTTCAACAGCAAGCTGTCAGCGCCCTTGCCGAGCAGGGAAGTGCTGCGCAACCACCAACCCTAGCGAAGAGGAAAATGTCGGATCGCGAACAGCAAGGGTCCCAAGAAGGTTCCGGGTCCTTGTCGGGCTCCGCGATGCAGGCTAATGGTACGAGTCTGCCGATTATGACGGCTGGTGATGCTGCCAATACGGTATTTAGCGAATTGACTGGTTTCTACTGTGGAAGTTGGTTGATCGAGATGCAGAAGTTGCATAACGCGAATAGACGATTAAGACACGAGTTGACAGCGTTGAGGAAAAGGTCTGCTCCAACAGCTACTGCTACCGCCGCTGCTTGCTAAATGTCCCCGCCCCTCTTCCTAATCGTCATCACTGTTTGGGGTCAGGCTCAAGCTCGAGCTCGCAACGTGCGCGGACACATTCGTTTACTTTTACTTTTATTTTATTTTTTTGGTTTAGGATTTCTCGTCTCTTGTCTGTAGGTTTTCAGTCTTCAGTCTCTTTTATTCCGGAACAAGTGCGGAACTATATACATGTTATAAAAGAGTAAGGGCAGAGGAAAGAACTAAGGTCCGTCTGGGGAGGTATGAGCAGCCCGTTTCCTTCCAAATCTCCTCTACTCCCTTCCCTAGAAGCATACTCTGAGGCTACTTGAACCACTGGGTAAGTCTGTGCTGCTTTGGATCCAACGCTTTCTTTTTTAGTGCCGCCTTGCCCTCTGGTGGCGTCTTCCGTGTCTGTTTCCTTTTGTTGCGCCTATTGTGTGCTCTGCTCGTCACAGAGTCTGCGCAGACCCTGGGCACATGTGGAGACGCATTGCGCAGAAAGTGCGAGATGGGTGGGGACATGAGCTTCCGGTCGATTTCAGCAAAATCGGTCAGGTGGAGCACATCCAATGGATCTCATTGATCACACTGCAAGGAGGGGTTACTGATGCATCCGGAGCCAAAACGGCCTGATGGGATAGGAGGGATGGCCGTAGCAGGCTTTTCACCGTTGCCGGTAGCAAAGGAAAACATATGGGAGGGGGAATGCAAGGTGGGTCCCAACACAAAAGAGATCATAAGTCACTCTCTCAATCAACTCTCTCAATCAACTCTCGTCTCCTCTGCCTCTTGATCGCGCCCTCGTCGCCGTCCCACCAACCGTCGGGCCTGTTCGTGATAGTCAGCCGAAACCCGCCAGAAGTCAGTCTCCCAGTGTATCAGTTAAATTTAGATGCGCTGGTCCAGAGGCCACAGTCAGGCACTCTCACAGTCGGGTGATCTGGTTGAAGATATACAAGTCCTGTACACTAAGTTGGGCTACTGACAAGCACCTAACATGAGTGTATAGTTTTTCATGTAAAAGTCTTAAAATTTCAAACTGTATGCTACTATGTATATGGTTACATATATATACCTGATGATCACCTCCAAAGTTCATCAATCCATGATGAGTCACCTCTTATTGTTGCCCCTGAGTTGTGATTTCCTGTGTGTCACTATGACAATGTATGTGCATCCCACATGTGTTGCCACTCATGCACATCTCCTCTTAATCGAGAACTAGCTCGTTGTCATAGGCCTGGATGCTCAAGAAGCAGGAGGGTCACTGGTTCATATGGAAGGAGCACAGGTATCGAAGATCTAGTCGATACCAGTAGAGAGCATGGTCGTAGTACAGTCTCCATGGAGACCATGGACTCCTATGGACTCACATGCAAAGGAGGACATGAGCCACATGTGAGGAGGGCCAGGCACAGCCACGAGGAGGACCAAGCTCAAGGAGCAGGCACAGCCACAAAGAGGACCAAGCTCAGATGGTTTCCACTCAGGGGCTCGAGAGACAAGAGTCAAAGGAACTGTCACTGGTCAAAGGAGAAGGAGCAGTGTCGAAGGAGTCGACACCAGGTCATGAGGAGGAGGAGCAGTGTCGAAGGAGTCGACACCAGGTCATGAGGAGGAGGAGCAGTGTCAAAGGAGTCGACACCACTCAAGAGGCACAGGGGTGCCAAGCAGGAGAGGCCCCTGAGCAGTACTCGATGAAGAAGGTACTCTCTGGAGAGAGAGCAGGAGCAGCATCGCTGGTGATGCTGTGAAGAGGTATATAACCATGCTTTCTCATCATCATAGGTCAAGTGGATCCTCATCCACTCTACTCACCATATAACTAGTTATCACTTCAGCATAAGTATACATTAGTTTCAGTCAGCATAGCAGCAATCTATCAAGGTTGCTCCTCATCGTAGTGTGTGTGTTGTATCACCACTACCTGACATCCGAAGGTGCCCATAGCAGGTTAGCAGTCCAGATATAGATAGAACCGAAGGCAGTAGTCCACTGCGGTCCAGGGGTCACTTCAAGCATCAAGTCAACACACTGGACACTTGTGTTGACACCACCAACCTTATCACCAACATCATCAACCTCATCATCATCAACACTAATGCCAGACCTTGGTGTCATCATAACTGAAGCATTGATATTGATCGTGCTGAGCTACCCCTGAACAGAGTGTCCACAGAGGTCAGCCAAAACCTATGATAGTATATACAACGAACGCCACCTGCTGTCACTGTGCAACTTGATAGTCACCGATACCGAGACAATAGCTGTTGCACAGTTTGATAGTCACCGAGTATCTCGACAGACCGACCTGGGTTTCAGGCGCGAGACCCCTGACACTCGTGTTCCACAGACTCCGTATTATTCTGTGAACCCCGTTGGGATGCCGACGCATCTTTAACTGATCTAAGTAAAAAAGCTTGTAATTTTTAAGATGCGAGATGCTACGAAACACAGTGTATATATACCTTAACAGTAGCATGTTTATTCCTCAAGTCACACCTTGTACCACCATCAGGTGGGTTGCCTTCAAGATCATTGTCTTGTCAACACTTCATAACCAGTTGTCATACCCACATACCTGCTGTGTGCTCTATTGTCAAGCCTCGAGCATAAGCTGCATGTGCTTTCTTGAGCTTCGCGTCCATCTCGTCTTTACTTGCATTTTGTGTCGCTCCAGCTTCCCAGTATTCAATGCTCCGATCTGACACTTGGTTCCCTGGAAATGCTGTAGTTTCTTCAACTGTATCTCACTGAGATTTGCCAGACGGAGCTCACTCGACCCATCTCGCTGATATTCGCTGGAACAAGCTGTCAGGGGTCTCGCGCCTGAAACCCAGGTCGGTCTGTCGAGATACTCAGTGACTATCAAACTGTGTGACAGCTATTGTCTTGGTATCGATCTCGATGAGCTAGTTGCTCAGCAACTATCAAGTTGTGTGATGACAGTGGGTGGTGTTCATTGTATATACTATCATAGGTTTTGGCTGACCTCTGTGGACACTCCATTCAGGGGTAGCTCAGCACGATCAATATCAATACATAGGTTATGATGACACCAAGGTCTGGTGTGAGTGTTGGTGATGATGAGATTGATGGTGTTGGTGATAAGGTTGGTGAGTGTTGATGATAATGAGGTTGATGGTGTTGGTGATAAGGTTGGTGGCATCAACACGAGTGTCCAGTGTGTTGACTGATGCTTGGAGTGATCCCCGGACCGCAGTGGACTACTGCCTTCGGTTCTATCTTGATCCAGACTGCTAACCTGCTATGGGCACCTTTGGACGTCAGGTAGTGGTGATACAACACACACACTATGATGAGGAGCAACCTTGATAGATTGCTGCTATGCTGACTGTAACTAATGAGTACTTATGTTTCTAAAGTATTGACTAGTTGTATGATGAGTAGAGTGGATGCAGATCCACTCGACCTATGATGATGAGAAAGCATGGTTATATACCTCTTCACAGCATCGCCAGCAACACTGCTCCTGCTCTCTCTCTCCAGAGAGTACCTTCTTCATCGAGTACTGTACAGGGGGCCACTCTAGCACCACTCCTGTCCTCCTCCTTGCTATCCTGCTTGCTTGGCACCCCTGTGCCTCTTGAGCTGTGTTGACTCCTTCGACACTGCTCCTCCTCCTCAGGACCTGCTTGCTGGTTTCCTATACACTGCTCCTTCTCCTTTGACTGGTGATGGTTTCTTTGGCTCTTGTCTCTCAAGCCCCTGAGTGGTAACCATCTGTATGCTTCTTTGAGCTTGGTCCTCCTTGTGGCTGTGCCTGCTCCTTGAGCTTGGTCCTCTTCATGGCTGTGCCTGGTCCTCCTCGCATATGGGCCCAGTCCTCCTTTGCATGTGAGTCCGTAGGAGTCCATGGTCTCCATGGAGACTGCACTATGACCATGCTCTCTACTGGTATCGACTAGATCTCCGATACCTGTGCTCCTTCCATATGAACCAGTGACCCTCCTGCTTCTTGAGCATTCAGGCCCATGACACAAGCTTATTCAGCAGATTTCGGGTTACAGGCATGCAACCTTTGTTATCCTGTCCATCAAGCTCAATGTCTGTGATCCAGTTTGTCATCAAGCTCAATGTCTGTGATCCAGTTTGTGATTGAGCCAAGACATTGCCTTTTCTGTGGCTGCTCCTTGCTATCCCTCTTGTCACCTGTCTTGTTCCTTATCAGAACTTGCTTATGTCTGCCATTCGCCACTGTATTAGGACAGTCTTTGCATGGTCCTCTTGACATTTTTCACCTTCTTGCCAGTATTTGGTGTAAAGCATCTGAAGCAGTAATTTGTGCCCTAGTGATGACAAGGCTTGATTATTTTGCAGCAGGGGCACAGTGATTTAGCTTTTTCCCACCACTGTGTGCACAATGGCTTGATGCCACAATTGTTGCATCCTGTCATTTGACCTGCTCCTTCTGGGATTGCTATGCTATTATCAACCGCTTCCTAGCCTGTAACAGCAACAAAGCATAAGTTACAGAGCCCTATGAAGGACTTGAAGGTGCTCACCAATTGTTGGCAGCATCTGCATCTCCTTGAGGCCCTTTTGCCAGCATTAGGGGGTTTCAGTTTTGTTTTTTGTTTTTTTTTGGAAACTCATGTTTTTTTTTGAGTTTTCACTTGTGTTGAATATTCATTTCTTATGTAAGCTCTGCCATTTTGGAAAACACTCTAATTTTTGAAAACACTGCTTCAGCTGGACAGTTGTGGCAGAGTTTTCAGAATTGGACCTGAGTCTTCACTCACATGATGTTGCATGTGATGCTGCACATGATTTACTTGCACAAATACCTCCATGTTTCCTGTGCAGCTTTCTTTGCATGAACCCTTTTGTCTGTGCAAAACCCTTTCACTTGACTCCTCTCCTTGTCCCTTTCCACACAGAGTAGAAGTCTCTTTTTGTTTAGCCACCACCTCACAACCTCTCTCTCCAGCCTCAACTGAATCATGTCCACTAATTGTTGCCTGTCCACCAGTCATTGCCACAACACCAGATATGTCGATCTGTACCTCTTGGAGATGGACCTTACCATTGGAGAAGGTTTAGCGAATCTGTCTCAGACATCTGAGCTGCCCAGCACATCTACAATCTCAAATTGTGCAAGCCCAGCCACTAGAATGGATCTGTCTCAGACACCCAAGCTGTCATGGGCCTGGATGCTCAAGAAGCAGGAGGGTCACTGGTTCATACAGAAGGAGCACAGGTATCGAAGATCTAGTTGATACCAGTAGAGAGCATGGTCGTAGTGCAGTCTCCATGGAGACCATGGACTCCTATGGACTCACATGCAAAGGAGGACCGAGCCATATGCGAGGAGGGCCAGGCACAGCCACGAGGAGGACCAAGCTCAAGGAGCAGGCACAGCCATGAAGAGGACCAAGCTCAGATGGTTACCACTCAGGGGCTCGAGAGACAAGAGTCAAGGGAACTGTCACCGGTCAAAGGAGAAGGAGCAGTGTATAGGACACCGGCAAGCAGGTCCTGAGGAAGAGGAGCAGTGTCGAAGGAGTTGACACCAGGTTCTGAGGAGGAGGAGCAGTGTCAAAGGAGTCGACACCACTCAGGAGGCACAGGGGTGCCAAACAAGCAGCAGGATAGCAAGGAGGAGGAGCAGTGTGTCAGGGGTCTCGCGCCTGAAACCCAGGTCGGTCTGTCGAGATACTCGGTGACTATCAAACTGTGTGACAGCTATTGTCTCAGTATCAGTGACTATCAAGTTGCACAGTGACAGCAGGTGGCGTTTGTTGTATATACTATTGTAGGTTTCGGCTGACCTCTGTGGACACTCCATTCAGGGGTAGCTCGGCATGATCAATATCAATGCATAGGTTATGATGACACCAAGGTCTGGTGTGAGTGTTGATGATGATGAGGTTGATGGTGTTGGTGATAAGGTTGGTGGCGTCAACACGAGTGTCCAGTGTGTTGACTTTGATGCTTGAAGTGATCCCCGGACCACAGTGGACTACTGCCTTCGGTTCTATCTATATCCGGACTGCTAACCTGCTATGGGGCGCCTATGGATGTCAGGTAGTGGTGATACAACACACACACTAAGATGAGGAGCAACCTTGATAGATTGCTGCTATGCTGACTGTAACTAATGAGTACTTATGTTTCTAAAGTATTGACTAGTTGTATGGTGAGTAGAGTGGATGAGGATCCACTCGACCTATGATGATGAGAAAGCATGGTTATATACCTCTTCACAGCATTGCCAGCGATGCTGCTCCTGCTCTCTCTCCAGAGAGTACCTTCTTCATCGAGTACTGCTCAGGGGCCTCTCCTGCTTGGCACCCCTGTGCCTCTTGAGTGGTGTCAACTCCTTTGACACTGCTCCTCCTCCTCATGACCTGGTGTCGACTCCTTCAACACTGCTCCTCTTCCTCATGACCTGGTGTCGACTCCTTCGACACTGCTCCTCTTCCTCAGGACCTGCCTGCTAGTGTCCTATACACTGCTCCTTCTCCTTTGACCGGTGACAGTTCCTTTGACTCTTGTCTCTCAAGCCCCTGAGTGGTAACCATCTGAGCTTGGTCCTCTTCGTGGCTGTGCCTGCTCCTTGAGCTTGGTCCTCCTCGTGGCTGTGCCTGGCCCTCCTCACATGTGACTTGTGTCCTCCTTTGCATGTGAGTCCATAGGAGTCCATGGTCTCCATGGAGACTGCACTACGACCATGCTCTCTCCTGGTATCGACTAGATCTTCAATACCTGTGCTCCTTCCATATGAACCCGTGACCCTCCTGCTTCTTGAGCATCCAGGCCCATGACACTTGGCACAATCAATATCAATATGAAGGTTAACCATGTAATGGTTTGTCTGGACAAACAAAGTTGATAGTGTTGTAGCCAGTAGGCTGAAGCTTCAGTAGCCAAAGTATAAGAATTCTTGCTAATTCCTCTGGTGAGTAATGCCTGTTGGCACGAGGAGAGGAGGAGGGGCCTCCCAGGGGTCCTTTTCACATATTCACTCTCTGGTACCCATTTTGCCAGTTCAGCAATGCTGGATTTGTTGATAGACAGTTTAGTTGCTATCTCCCTTGTTGAGAAACCTGCTTGGAGCAGCTCTTTGACCTGTAATAGGTGAGTGGTGGTGTATTTAGTCCTCCCCATATCGATTTTTTGCCCTCCTTGCCATGTTGACAGCAGTATTGCCATATGATGTCCTAAGCTCATCAAAACACCCCAAAACATCTTTGTTTATATCATACTACAATTATATGAAGCTTTGAGCATGGTCTATTAGCTCAATTCTGTGCAAAGCAATAAGTTACACAAGGTACAGAATTAATTGAGGAGGAGGAGGGGCTTCAAAGAGTGCCAACCTAAATTACAGCATATTCTTTGGTGGGACCACCCTTTTTTTCCCACATATTCTGATAGCAGGCTATCCAAGCTTTGCAACCATACCACACAAAGTGGGTGTTGTCAAAGAGAACAAAGAGTACTGGTCATCATCATGAAAAGGACCTGAGAACACCATATCAAATTAATTAGATTCCGGGCAATTTTGAACGCGACTGTACCTTCTTTTGTTATAGTGAAAGCATGTGAGCCATAGTTTGATCTCACACGTTCGCCAACTTCGCTCATTTGGATATGCATTATATTACCCGGATCGACTGTTGCGATAGGCATTGGCATACCAGCTATCAGACATCCGACATAGTTTCCCCATTATGTTTCAGTCTCACCACTCTTGTATCATAGACGCATACATAGAATGCTGGAGGATGTATATATACATTTGAATCATCCTGTACTTAGTTGATGCTCACCATCACAATTGATACTTGTGATCAACGATAATTGACATACGTACTTCAACAGTTATCGTTCTCTCTTTGTATTGTATCATTTGTTCTTGTTGTTGGATATATCCCAAAATTGATTACGTTCCATTACTCTTTGCTTTGTTGGTGTCTGATCTTCCGACTCAGCTGGATATCATCTTTGGGGTGAATGTCATAGCGACCGACCGTCTGGTTTTCACTGTGTATAGGGAATTGATGCGTGTCAATCAAGGCCGGAGCAGGATGGCATATGTCTCGCAAGTCGCACCAGTCTCACATAGGAGGCTTGGACAGATGATGGTGGAAGAACAAGGCAAAGTGGCGGCAGAGTGGAAGGAACATCGGAAATGCGCCTTCGGTTCAGGTTTAGGAAAGGTGGAGTGACACAGTCAGGCACACAGATAATGGTGGTCAAAGAGTACAGATTTGCAGAGATGTGGGTTGCATTTCAAGTCGCTGCGAAGTATAGATTACAAAGCGATGTTCTCTTCCCCAGTTGTGTCGAAGCTGGGCTTTACAGACCATCATCCCAAACACCTCTAGTCGATCTATTTTCCGCAAACTGTGCCCTCAACACCGCCAACCTTGACCTATAATCATCATGATTCACATACGCTCCACACAATCTCCTATTCCCAACAAATGCTGATCTACCATGCAGTACTCTATGATTGTCAAAGATCAACGCGATCCCTGGTTTCAACTGCACCCAATACTCTCCTTCTGGGTTGGTCAAGATTTCGTTCCATTTACGTAAAGCGTCGTAAAAAGGTTCTACTTCATCAGCTTCAACGCGGAGGACTGAGCGATCATCGTTGTTGTACCGCACCGAAACCAGTTCTCCGGTTGCTTCATCGTGTTGGAGGATGGGATAGCCTCCGTCGAGGAGAGGACGGATCATTGTGTTTTCGTCACCGGCGGAATGGGTTCGGATGCGAACGCGGGAGAGGGTTTCGTAGGCTTCTGGATGGACGTCTTTTAGGACTGCGGCTGCGAGGAAGCCGTCCACTAGGAGGGATTCGCCTCCGCTTGGGCCTTTTGAAGCTGTACTGGAAGAAGTAGATGAGGAGGAAGAAGATGGATTGTTGGAGGAAGAGGAGGAGTTGGAGCTGCTACCTTTGGCAGATGCTGTTTTGCTAGCCGTGTGACTTAGAAGATGGAACATCTGTAGACCAGCGGGATCGGTAAAGTAGGTCGTGTCTGTGTGAGCTTGAAGTGCGAGATCTGTGTATGCTGTATCTCCGTGTGCAAGGTCAGAGGTGAAGTCCCAGAATGCGCCGTAGTGCGTTTCTCGGATGAAAGCGATGCGTCGAATGAGCGCTTCTGTGTCGGTCGGTGTTGGTGGAACGCCAGATACGAATGCAAAGCCGTACTGTGCGATCTTTGTGACCCATTTCAATACACCTTCTTCACTCTGCATGACTTGGTCGAATTTGACTGTAGGTGGTGCTGAGCCGATGCCTTTGCCCCAAAGCACCTTTTCGATCGCTTTGAGACCTGTATCGTCGTTCGAAGCAGTGACGGGATCGGAAAGGACCGGAGAGTAGGAGTTGCGCATAAGCCATCGCCATGGGTACAAAGAGGGGTGTGATGGTCCAGGTGATGGTGCGGCTGCGTTTGCATTGGCTGCGTCTGGCGAGGCCTCGACAGGCGGAGATGGAGTCGAGCGTGTATCGCTACGTTCAGATGGCAGCAAAGGCCAGTAAACTAGCAATCCTTCCGTCGTCGCCTCTACTGATACAGGCTGAGTATCAGGTGCGATTTCGAACGTGTTTAGCAGACGCTGCTTTGTCGTTGGGTGGTAGCATTGCGGACAACGACAGTGGTCACGAAGCCAGATGTTGTGGAACTTGCTTGTAATGCCACTTGCCCAAGTGATGTATGTAGATCGTGATTTGGCATCCGTCGTTACTCCAGGTGTAGCAGGTCCACCGTCAGAGTAGCTGCTCGATGTTGATGAGGTTGTGGTGGTAGATGTGGCAGCCTTGGCTTTTATCGATGTGGAAGGTTGGAGGCTGAGTTTTGAGCGTGTGTGGAATGAGGCGTGGGAATGAGGCGTGGGCTGGGCAGTAGTCACACGCTTGGCTAAAGCCACAGGGCGCGGTAATGATGTGACAATCGAGAGAGACCGACTTGAGCCAAATTGCTTCGGAAGAGCCGGGCGGGAAGCCAAGCCGAGGCTCGGGAGCTGCCGATACATTCGTGATAGACTGTGACAAGCCAAACGAGTCGGCTGTGCAGTGTTCAAAGGGGTCGTAGAGACAGTGAAAACGAATGTTGTGGTGCTGAGCAAAGTGTTGCAATGAAGACGACGTGTCAACATGGAATCGGCTCTCAGAAAGTAGAAGGCCAGACTCGCTCTGCCGTCAGCAACGTCACAAAGCCCAGCTGAATGCAGGAATGCATCTCCGCATCTCTACTGCGTTGAGCTCGATCTGGATAATTGTGTTGGAAATTGAGGCTCAGAAAAGGCACACGAAATTGCGAGATCCTTTTCTGCATCGACTTCAAGTGTCCCTCGATGGCGCCATCAGCGACTCAAACCGCCTCATCGACACAAGGCATGTCTTGGTCCTAATCTTGAGACGTGGGCGAGAAGATGTCTTTCATTCAAATTGCTGTAGGTTGGCTAATAGCACCTTTCGTTGTTCTGTAAAGGATGTCGAAGAAATCGGGCAGAGCATTCGTTAGCGTCAGTTCGACATGTCACTGTTCCGAATGCCATTATCGACCCTGATGAACTCACTCTGTACATCTTTGAGCGCCGAATTTGCGTCCAGGTTGGGAAAGAGTGCCTTCTGACCGTGAGCATGAGAGATCAAAGGCGCTTTGAGCGAGGTAGGGATCGCGTTGTAGACCTTCTGTGGAAGCAGTAGGTAGAATCGGCAGGCGTAAGGGTCAGTCATTTCAGACTTGATATCTGCTGGTACTTTGCTTATGCAACTAACTCACGGCATCTGGCTTGAGCGACTTGAGCTCGGCCTCGAGCACGTTTAGTGTCTGGAGCTGTTCACAAAAGGAGCATGAAAGCACGTGTGAGCGATATTCCTGCATCCAAAGGGCTTCAATACTGGCATGGGAACGTACCTGATGCTGCAGCTCTTCCTTCTTGCTATCGTTTCTGCTCATAGCATCTTCAGCTGCCCGTCGATAGCTGTAGTGAAGCAAGTGGCCTGTAAAGGTGAACCAAGCTCTTCTTTGCTCCACCTTACCTCGGCTTCCGGAAGCCGATTCTCTCAAACGTGATCCGCGGAGAATTATTTCTCTCACCTCTTGACACACGCTCTCTCCACCATCTTGTCCAGCTGAGGTCGTGTGATGTAGTGGTAAAAGCATTCCAGATTTTGACACCCCCTTGAGCACTCTTCTGCATATCCAAGGGACACATTCAAAGGTTCTGGCTACCTGGGTTCGAATCCCAGCATGACCCGGCTTTTTCCCGTTTCATTGTCAGCGCCATCAAAGACAATGTATAAGCTCAAGAATGGGATGTGACTTATGAGAGAGAGAGAGAGAGAGAGAGAGAGAGAGAGAGAGAGGCGAGAAGAAAGTGATGTCGTAGAGAAACTTGAACCGCCTTTCTGCATCACGTGATCAGTCATGAAGGCGTGAGCGTCTCGGTTCGACTCAGCAATCGAAAATAGTCCGCTTTGTGAAGAGCGGAGCGGAGACGCTATCATCATCTCCACCAAAAGCCAGGCATACGATTAGCTTGTTCGTGTTAGGTTTATACTTTCTCGGTTTTATTTCGTGCGATTGAGTCCAGAGGGGATGCCACTTTTCTACTGCTGCAGAACACGTGCCCGCGCGTCCACATCATATTGCACGCCGAACAGCCCGCTCCACATAGCCAACTTTATGTAGCCAAACGGGCCGTGTGTAATTAAGCATGAAGAGTGCGTTTGGCCTCTGGCTTGGCTTGGTGCCGGCCGACGGAAAGGTCATATGAGCCGGGGGAGTCTCAGGATGCTGTCCCGAGCGTGTGACAGCTTGCAGAGGTCAGGTTGTGTCTATGTGAGAAGTAAGAAATAAGAAGTGTGTCGGCTGAACAACGTCAGGGTCCAAGATGCAGGAGCTGTGAAGAGTAAGCAGCAGCAAAATTGGATGTGGATTTCCTCGTAGCACTGCACGGTCCTGAGTTGCTCGCGACTCTCCGATTTCCGTCCTGTTGCTGTTGCTGATATTTCTTGCTTATTCTTGATCTTCTCAACTCGTATCTTCTCCTCCATCAACCTATCTTCTCCATCCCTCTCCAATTCTCCATCCCCCTCCAATCCTCTATCCCTCTCCAATTCTCCATCTTTTCACTCCTTACCGTTGACCGTGCTCCTGTTTATCACTCTAGCTGCATTCTATCAGCTTATACCCATCTATTGTCAAGCAAAAGACCGCTTCTGACATCGGCTATTCACTTAAACAGTCTCATCACTCCAGAATCAACCCTAGGAACAACGAGGAGCATCACCTCATCGACACAGTGACGCAACCGACTCCGACATGACCACCTCCAGTACTCGATAGTCTCGTGTTTCCGAGTAGCTCCTCAGCCTCGACCTCTTTGACTGGCTAACCCACCGCTGCTCCACCAAATCTGACAGCACGACAATCACTGGAACCACATTCCCAAAATGGCGACCGCCATTCACCAACCAATAGAGGCAACCGCAACGTCTGGCTTTGCAAGTTCGTGGAGGGTACTCTGGGCCTTCCTAATCGGCCTACTGGCGACGGCCATCTTCTTTCGCTCCCTCTTACCGCGTCTTCCACGCGTCCTCTTCCGCGGCAAACTACGTATCAGGAGAGTAGGCATTCGCGGTATTCGTGGCATCGAGTATCGCTCCAAGGGCTTCCACAACGACTCGGCCGCCTTCTCAAGGAATGGAAATCAGCTCGAAGTCAAGATTCAGCGAGTCTATGCCTCCTATCACCTTCCGTATTTCCTCTGCAAGGAGAAAGATCAGCCATGCGTAGTACCTCGAAAAAGTGGTGCCATCATCACCATTCACGTTCAAGGCGTAGGTGTTCGTCTTCCTAGATCTCAACAGGATGGCGACAAGTCCCAGGGAGCGGCCTCAACCTGCACCGCCAATCAAGATACCTCTTCCAACAACTTGACATTGGAGCAACAGGAGGAGCTTAGACTGCAAGAACTGATGAGCAGCCCTTCCATGTCCCCCAGCGCGGAGAACAGGCCCCTCTTTCCCAACGCACTGGGCTCACAACCATCACCGTTCGTCGCATCTCCTAGACCGATCGAGAGCATCCAACGAGCCCAGTCCGACTTGCAACAACATCATGACAAGTCGGGAATCTATCGCACCTGCCACCAAGCTGGCCTCACGTCTCTCTACTCGGCACTCAGTCTCGCAAAATGGATTCGTGGCTCTGCCATTCCAGCACTGCAAGCCTTTCTCCTTCGAGCCTTCCGAGCTGCCCTCTTCATCCTCACATCCAGTTTGCCCGTTCTCACATCACTTGTGTCGGTCGAGATCGATCGAATCGAAATCTACGTCCAAGAAGCAGAAGCAGTCGCTCGTATCGGAAGAGCCGGTGTCACCTTCGCCATGTCGCCTGACGCGCTTCCTTCTCACGAGCGTCTTGCTAAAACACGGCAGAAAGGCCAAGATGAGGATCAAGCCTCCAATTACTTCCGAGCGCCAACATGGAGTCAGTTCTTCGATGCGATGCGCATGATGCCAACCAGGATGGGCTCCGGTGCCCGTGGTGCAGCAAGCTACCTGGTTGCTGGCATGTCTCCCAGTAACGTCACAGCACATCTTCGCGTTGACAGTATCGACGTGTTTGAGGCAACCTTCAAGCCAGACGCCAAGCTGAAACGCGCCTTCGAACACGGATCGCGGCAAAGCAGCGTCGCGCCTTCTTCACGACCAGCGACGCCGCTTTCATCGCATCCGCGTGCAGATCGAGATATTCTATCTCCTACTCAGTCAGAAATCGACCTGGACGCGGCTCACCATCAATCCTCCACTTTTGACGAGAGCTTCGAGTGGTCGTCTCGCCCAACACGCCCAAAGTGTCAACGAAGCAACAGTGCATCTCGCCTCTCCAAGATGTCTGTGGGCTCATTGCGTGGCTTTGCCGACCGCTGGGCCGACTGGGCTCTCGAGCCATTGGTTGAGTCCGACTTTCGCGCTGATTCTGGCTGGACACGCCGTTACCTAGACGACGGCTATTGGCCACAACAGTTGCAGACCATCCCAGCAAGCGCAAGAATTGTTTCGGTCAGCGGCGTTACTGAGCTGACAGCGAGTCTGCTCATTGGGTCCAGCTTTGCTCTCGGAGGTGATAGTACCTTGGCCACCAAGCTGGTTCTCGGAAGCACCACGCTTGGACTCGATGCGGCGCATCGCATCATGTGTATCTTGGAGGAGCGCAAAGCGAGGAGAAGCGGATGGGCGCCGACGCAGCGTGGAAGCACCGAGAACCAGCGCTCTGTTCTGTCAAAGCATCTCATTCAGCAAAAGCCCTCTGCCTTGGCTGATGCGCTCCGGATGGTATCTTCGCTTTCTCTCTCATTGCCTTCCGTACGCGTGAGGACCACCTCGGACGCCGTCTTGTCGGCTGCGTCCTCCTGCAACACAGAGGCAGAAGAGGCCGAGACAGCTGGTCCGACCCAAGCACCACTTCCATCGAGAGAGTTGGCCGTCGCTCTGTCCGGCTTTCACTTCGAGCTCCAGCACAGCGATCCCAAGGATGATCTCCATCGTCGTTGGCTTGGCACGTGCGGCCTTTCAAAGAAAAGTATCAAGAGCAATCGCAAGAGAGATGAAAGTGATCGCAAACCACGTCCTCGCTCATGGCACAGTGACAAAGCTGTGGAGCATCGCCGCACTTTCCTTGCCGAGTCGAGCTTCGCCAGCTTCGATGTCCGTTGCCGCTCCCCCAATGCGAACAAAGGTTCCCGTCTGCTCTTCGTCGGCGACTTTTCGCTTGTTGCCCGGTCTTCTTGGACACCCTTCGGCCTCTTCCCGAACTGCCCTGACATGACGCGTCTCCTCCTGGCTGGCGACCCCAACGAGCACGCTGCTTTCCTTGAGGCTTCCATCGGTGGTGTTGAGACAGACGTCTCGATGCAAGACCTCTCTGCATTGCTACCGATAACGAACGAGTTCAGCCGCAGAAGAAGGAAGAAGAGACAGAATGTTGGCATTGACGAGCCACCGCGACCCAAGACGGACCTCGAGCGTCTCCGCCGTCTGCCAAGGGTTTCAGCTGGTTTCCACATCCAGCGGATCTCTCTCCTTTTGGATGCTAGCCGTGATAGAAGCGACGATGTCACCAACTGCAAGCAGCAAGGCAACCCTAGCAGCACGACCGGCCCGAGCCCCAGAAAGTTGACACTGTCCGTACCGAATGTCGACTTTGTCTTCTTCGGCGAGTATCGGGACGAGTACGTGAAGCGTCCTTTAGCTGAAAAGAGAGCCGCCTACAAGGCGCTGAGGGACGACAACCTCGAGTGGCCCATTAGCGGCAAAGATCTTTGCTGTGGTGCAGCACGACAAATGAATGCGCTGGATCAGATTCACGCTCAACAATTCTCTACGGACAGTGCTATCGCTCCAGGTGAAGTTGACTCTGCGAATCAGTCACGCAGGTCGGCAGCATCCCCGCAACGATACACTGAATCTCGTCTAAGCATCGAGGAGACGATCAAACGCGCGCAAGAACTCGAGCAGACGCATGACGCCGATGTCGAGAGGCCCGTTATCACCGCAAAACGTCCATCCATCCGTGAAACAATGTCCAAAACGGGAAAGGTGCGACTGCCCGGCTACACACGCAAATCTTCAATGGCAGCCGAGACTTGCTTCAGCATTCGCTATCAGTTCGAGACCCACTTCCGCGTCGATGCAGTCGAGTCTTTCCTTTCCCTCAGCTCTTGCCCGAAAGACTCGACCAGGTGCTTCCTCCGAAGTCCAACAACCGAGAGCAATCCGAGCGTTGGTTACTCACAGCACCATTTGCTTGCGATGCACAGCTTCGAAGTGAATGGGTCAGGTCGTATCCCCGGCAACGTCGAGCCTCGAAGTTCCGCGCTGTGCGACGACGTGCCACGCCTTTCTGCGTCGGACACTGTTGCCGAGTTCAGAGCCAGCATCGAAGACATCGACATCGAAGCATGGCAACCTTGCGCTCTCGACACGTACACCGACATTGCACTCGCCGTTTTCCAGGCCAAAGAAGCCCATACCGCTCAGAGCGACGATGCGTCAACCAAAAGCGTCGAAGATGAGCCAAAATCGGATGTCAGCAGGGACGACAGTGAGGATGGCCAAGCTGCACTGGAGCCAAAGACGCTAGTCAAGCGTCTTCCTGGAGGTCTCTCAGTCTATCTGTCCATCGGTCATACGATCGCGCATCTCGGCGGGCCAGATCGCCGCATCGAGGACCAGATTGCTCGCGGTGTCGGTTTCGAAGCCGAGCGCATCGTTCTTGAGTATGCTGGCGTCACAGACACCAAGACGAACGCTCTGCCGCTGAAGACCAACTGGGGCGCGCGTACCGCTCTGGAGCTGACTGAGGATGTACAACTGCAGGCAGCTACGCTTGCCACGAGACATGGTCGGGTTGGTCTCGCGCGCGTCGCAATGCATCAAGCTGGCTTCTTTCCGATCCTCGATGCGACACTGGCCACCCAGCAGCACACTGAAGGCACTGCTCCCGAGACTTTCGCCCACGCGAAGGCACCTCATGGCGAGGTGTGGCCCAAGGGCGCCGCCGAGGAAGACGAGTCTCTTGATCGTCCAGCTACCTCCCTGCTCGCCGACAGCGTATGGACGTTCAACAAGGAAGACGACTGCGTCCACAAATCGAAACAGCATCGTCCGCGCTTCCGACAGCAAGACCGAAGCAACTTTATCTTCTTCATGCCTTACGCTGCCTTCAAAACCGTGGTGCGACCCCCACAAGCGGAGAAGAAGACAGGTGTGGCCGGTCCATCTGAGGACGAAGTGTTCATCACTTCCGAGGGTACCAATCTTCTCGCCTTCAAGATTGACCTTCTTCACACCTACTGCATCCTCTTGGCTTTCTCGACCTTCAAAAACCTGGCTCAGCGGGCGAGAGGCGGCTTTCCAGCTTCTAAAAACAAGCCGTCTAGCTCGACAAATCACGTCCAGCCGATTCCGAAGTATCCCCGTCCCAGCGTGTCGTGCCGCTTCGACATCAAAGAGGTGCACACATTCGTGACGTTGCCCAAGTCAGTGCGTGTCTTCGTGCGTATCCGTAGACTAGAGGTGCGAAGCAGCCCGAAGGACGGTCTGTCCGTCTCCACCGAGACCATCATGGGTGCCGTGGAAAGTCCCAAGCAAGGCAAGGGCGATCTCTGGGAAGAGGCGGTGCGATTGCGCGATTGGAAGGTCACTTTGCTGCCCAAGGCTAAAGACAAGAAGCGTCAGATCGATGTCAATGGCGATGCTGGTCTGATCCGCATCCCATATGGCTACGCTGTCAACCCGATCATCGACAACACCTCTGTCGCCATCAAGGCCACAAAGCAAGTGGTGCACCAATTCCTCTCGGGCCGGGAAGACTCGGTCATCGTGCCAGAAGCAGAGGATTTTAAGCTGCTGCCCAACATCAGCATCACTCTCCGAGTCTTGACACTGGAAGCAGAAGACGATCCCTTCGAAACCAAGCTCAATCTGATCTGGCGAGCAGGTCTGGCAGAGAACGCGGTTCGCGAGGAGAGAAACGTTGCTTTTGCAGCCAAAGTAGAAGCCATCTCTGCAATGAAGGCGGCATACAGCGCCCCTTCTTTTCACTCGTACCGAAGCAACACCTCGTCAGATTCAGATGACAGTGACGAGGGGCAGCACAATATCAGCACAAGCTCGCACGACAGCCGCGGACGCAAATCAGAGCACGAGCACGTCAGTTATGACAAAGCCAAGGCGGCATTGGATGCTTACAACTCATCCAGCTGGGTCCGCCGTTACACGAATGCAAAGTCAGAGCAGACTAGACGCCAGGAAGGCGTACTGAAGAACATCTACGGCCGCTTCACTTTGTCTCGAAGCCTTGATGACCTGCCAATCAAAATGCTGCCCATTGGCAAGGCCGCCCCGCTGGCTCGCTCGACAATGTATCGCATCCGCTTGCAGGTCGAACAAGCTCACTTCCCGATCGAGCAGTTGCGCGACTTTATTCACGAGAAGGGTGCAGGTATGCCCAAGGACACGCCTTACTCCCTTGTAGTGCCTATGCACATTAAATGGGAGATGGAAGAGTGGCGCGTCATCCTGCGAGACTATCCGATGCCTCTGCTGCATGTACCTCCAACTCATCGTCATGAGACGGATTCGCGCAAGGCATGGACGTTCGAGGGTGATATTGTCGTTGCCGAGCAGCTGGGCGGACCAGAATCGATCAGGCACGTTCCTGCTGTGATCGTTCCAGCAGCGACCGGACATCCTGATGCGATCGAGTACGGCATCGTCATCTCAAAAGTGGCCATGACGGTCAAGATGTACGGCACACCGACGGTAAAGTTGCGCACCCCCTTCCCGACCCGACTGGTCTGGGGTCAGTCGATTCAGCCGACCATTCAGGACGTGATGCGTGTCATTGACGGCATCACACCTCCGCCGCATGATCCCTCGCCAAAGCTCGGATTCTGGGACAAGCTCCCGCTCATCCTTCACGGTCACATCAATTTCAAGTTCGAGGACGAAGGTGGTTTCAACATCCACATGAAGGGTAGCCGCGATCCGTACAGCATCGAGGGTCAGGCAGCTGGTTGGGTCAAGTCCTGGAAGGGAGGTGTCGAGCTTCTTATCGGCTATGACAATCCGGAGAGAGAGTTTTTCCAGATCCTCAGTCACGAGTATATCCTGGCCATTCCAGACCTGTGTGACTACGTGGATCACGCTGCAGCGGGTGTCTTGGGCGGAACCGAGCGGCATCAGCAGAATGAGCAACAGCGTGATCATGACGGCGAAGGCAGTTACCACGACTCGTACGATCGCAAGTCTGCCGACGCGTCCTTCACCTCCAGCATGCATCGGTACATGAAGGATCCCACTTTCCGCAAGATTGTCATCAAGCTGACTAACGGTGTGCGGTGGGGTGCGGGCCTGCATGGCGAACGCACTTGCGATGACGAGACATGTCCACGCCATCCCAAGTGCAGCGGAGAGCCCTTCTATCGAGAGTGCCGTAACTTCGAACGCATCAATCACTGGGAGGTGGTCCCGAAGACTCGCGAACACTTCGACTCAATCCCAGAAAGCGAGCGACTTGACTCGTTCCGCGGATGGAGATCTCACCACTTGCACTTCTCGCTATCGGTATACTCGCCCAAGAATGGTCTTCATGGTTATGGTGGAGGCAAGCACGTCTCGCATCGTGATGCTGTCAATAACTTCTACTTCACGCCGTTGGCATGGCAGCACTTCTGGGCTTGGATGCGGCTGTTCAGCAGCGCAATGTCTTTACCTATTCGAGCTGGCCGCCTCTTCCCCGAGAGTCCGCCACCGTCGCCCAAATTTGGCCGCTTCCTTGGTACCATCAAGTATAGGATCGATCTCGAGCCTCTGTTCATCACGCACCAATACCGACAATTCAGCAAGGAAGACTGGGCCAGAGGCTTGCGCACGCACGTCGGTATCAAGGCTCGCATCGACTTTTTCTCTCTCGACATGCATCAGAGGCAGCAGGAGACGATCAAAGATCGACCTGAGCCCGGCGGACCTCGCATCGTCTTCCACAAGCCTTTCTATGAGGCAGAGGTGAAGGCTGAGACCATCGAACTCAAGACGATCGCAGCTCGTTGTCGAGAAGACAGCGAGATGCCTGCTGCCATGGAAGACCACGATCTAGGTGAAAATATGTTCGACGATCTCTTTGCTGAGGATTGTGTCATTTCTGACGACCAGTTGGTCTGGATCGACATGAACGACCTCGTCGAGCTCGACGCACAGCCAATCAAGGATCCGAATCCAAGGATCCGCATGTTCCCAGCTCTGGCTTGCCCTCAGTTCCACTACTACCGGAAAGTGGACTCGAAGAGGGAGCGACGCGCTAGAGAGATGCAAGATCGTGTGGCCAAGGGCGAAAGTCATCGCGAAGGCGGCAACGATATCGAAGAGCTGCTCAGCCGGCTCGAACGCAGCAAATTCGGCAACGAGCACAGTCACGTCTGCATGGTAGGTCACAACGACAAACCCATCATCGTGCAACGCAAGCTCGCTCAGGAGAGACTGCGAACCGTCCGTCGAGAGATCGATCGGGTCCTTGCCTCGAGCGACGATGACAGCATTGCCTCGGAAGGTGACAATGAAGCATCAGGAGATTCTTCAGAGCAGCTCAACGATCTGCATAGCCGCGAGCGCATTCTGGGCGGCTTTATTGCACATCTTGGACGCTTAGCGGAACACACGGAGCGTGTCGAGCGGGCAAATGCCGAGGGAAAGCCTGCACCCAAGCGATCTGGTACAGTGGATCGCAACTACGGTTTCAACGCTACTGATCTTGCCTCGATGTACCATGATCTCGGTACCTTTGACAATCGCTACGTCGCCCACAACCCGACCCTCTTCTTCAGCAATGTCACACGCACGCTGTTGCTCAAGTACTACTACAGCTCGCGACTGCGACGTGGGTATGCGCACCACATGACGGCTACTGCTGTCCGCTACATTCGAGATCTGCTCAAGAAGAAGGACGAGAACGGCCGCGCTGCCAATGGTGCCGGGCCTCGATCTCACAGCGACTATGGACGGACGCCGCAGCACATGTCGCCGAGCAATGAGACCACGAATGGTCTTGACATCTTGCACGAGATGCTGGAAGACACTGTCAACCACATGTCTGGCAAGGATGGGTATAGTCGGTCCGGCTGGGGCTGCAAACCTGACGACGACCGGGCAGATGGTTTGGAGACAGAGATGCGTCCAGAAGACGGCATCTCGGACTACTTCAATGTGGCCAAGAGCAACGTCTGTCTGCTTCTCAAGCCTCAAGTGGTGCTGCGCAGCGATGTGGATGATAAGTCCACCGTTATTGTCACTGCTCTCCGCACACGCCTGCAGAACTACACGGTCGAGGATGAGAGCTGTGCAGAAGACTCAGTCAATGCCATCGTGCTACGACGTAACTTCTTCGCCCTCGACAGTCTACAATGCTACCACCCAAGCGCCAACGTTCTCAGCAACGCCCTCAAACATCGTCTCGTCTCTCTACCACTTGAAGCTTTCGTCGACATGCACGGTCACACAAGCAACTTTGAGCGCATCGTGCCGCACACCAATGCCACGATGTACTACGATAAGTTTAACAAGCTTCGTCTCTCGGACTCGTCTCGATCCGTCGCTACGTTCCGCAAGGATGGTAAGCCGGTGCAAGATCATCTTCACCATCACATGGACATGATTGTGCTCAACTGCCCAAGGTTCTCGGTGTCGGCAAATGGCGAGCATTTCGCTGCGCTGTACAACGTTGTCACCGACTTGATTCTGTATCGCGATCCAGTGCACAGAGATCACGCGAAGCGACTAGAGGAGATGATGTTCAGCTACGACTTTACGGATGTTTCTGGGCTGGCCGATATCGTTACTGCTCTGCAAGTGCGGATCAGGGAGGCAGCGTCGCTCGTCGAGCAGTATCAAGCTGTATCGGATCGACTCAATGACCGAGGTCGAGCTGACTACATCGCATTGCTTGGCGAAACACTGGAGCTGATCGAAGAGCTCAATCTGATCATGGACGCTATCACCACTTCACAAGACAGCAAGGGTGGTGCGGACCGCGAGAAGAAGTCAGCACTGCGCTTCATGGCGCAAGCCCAGGAAGTGGCATGGAACATGATCGGTGATGAGGCTGGTCAACTTGTCGCCAAGCTAGCGCTGCGAGGCATCAGCTTCTCTTGGCTCAACAAAGCAGACAACTCCGCCGCGAACACTCTTTCGATTCAGGACCTGCAGGCTCTCAGCGTCGATCCGAACGCCATGTTCGCAGAGATCATTACCAAGCATACTCGTGCAGTGGACCATCCGATGGCCAAGGAAGGTCGATTCTTGGATGCAATGTGGAGTGTCCTGCCTCCCGTCGGAGGTATTTCGATCGTTGATATGTTCGAGTTCAATCTGCACCCGGTCAAGATCCAGATCGAGCTTATGGTTGGTCGCAAGATCATGGACTACATTTTCGGTACTAAGCGACAGAGGGAGAAGCAGGAGGAAGAGCAGAAGAGGTTAGAGATGGAGATCAGTAGACCCGAGAATGCGGTGACGAAGAAGTCTCCGTTTGCCAGATTGCTAGGAAGGCAGAAGCATCTGTTGCCCACCTCTGCCTCAGTTTTGGGCGCGGCCTCTTCGCAAACTTCACGCAGGCCAAGTACGAACGAGAGCTCGTTGAATGTTTCCAATGCGAATTTGCGGTCGAGAAGCGCTTCTTCGACTGATCTGCTGTCCGTTGGTAGACCATCGTCAGGTGGGTCAAGGGATGATGGTGATGCAGACAGTGTTTCCGAGCGTGCTTCTACCAAGGCTACCTCTGCGAGAACCGCACCTGCTACCGCAAAGACCTCCCCCAAATCTCGACCTGGCACTCCAGGCAGTAACAGCGCGAAAGACAACTCCAATGGCAGGAACGACCCCAATCATCGGGCAGGTGTCCAATTTGCTATCGCCCAACGCAACGCAGCAGAAATGCGGTCCCGCGCCTCAGCCTATCGAACTTTCGTCTACGTCAAGATCTCCGAAACCATCTTCTGTCTCTCCTACAAGGGCGAGAAAGAGAAGTCGTTTACTGATCTCTACGACCTCGAGTTCCGTACACCCAAGTTCGAGTATCACAACAGTACTTTTGGGTACGTCGACTTGGCGGATAGCTTCAAGAAGGATGTGTTTAGGGCAGCTTGGAATCAGAAGAGTACCTTGCTGAAAGACATCATCACTCACAGGCCAAATAGAAAGAGGAATGCGATCGAGAGCATCAGGGCGATTCGGCAGGCGAGTAGGGTGAGAGGAGATTTGGCGGTGGATGTGATGATGGGACAGGGCAAGGGGGAGGATATGGGTGCAGATAGGAGCAGCTTCGGTGATGGCGATAGTAGAAGTTCGGTGCTTGTCCAGAGTCCGACTGATGGTGGTGAGGATGAGGATGATGGCGTAGGGTTTGGTGAGGAGAATTCGGTGATGACCGGGGAGCAAAGGGGTAGTGCGAGCGATGATGAGGCTGGAGAGGCTGAACAAGAAGGCGCAAAGTATGGTCACGAGCGCAGTGGAACAGGTCAGACTCTAGCCGGTCAGATCAGAGACGCTTGGGGACGAGAAAACGAGATCGCTTCCTTCAAAGTCGGTGTTGATGACAGCTCCACCCCAAGTTCCACTTCGAATTCGACTCCAGCTCGACACTTCACAAGCGAAGTCGAAGATCTCCTCTCCAACAACACCCATTCCACCCCTCAACAGCCTCACCATCATCGACGAGACACTCTCACACTCGAAAGCCTCCGTCGCTTCCCCACCTCCTTCATCTCCCGCTCTCTCCACAACCCCAACGAAGATTCGCCCTCAACCGAACGCTCCGATTCAGTAACACTGCACTCTACCACCTCAGGTCATTCCTCTCCCTACCTTCAACTCCCACCCTCGACACCTTCGCCAATGGGGACGATAAAAAGAGGCAGTGGAAGTCGATCGCCAAGCTTTAATCTCAATAAGCTCATTCCGAAACCGTTCAGAGGCAGAACAGGATCGAATGCGACGAATGGTGGAGCAAGGAGAGCGAGTCTTGGTGCGAACGGGAATGGGAATGGGAGCATCGTGGAAAGAACGAACAGCGGTGATGGTATGGGAGCGGTAACGACAAGGTCTGAGAATAGTGATTTTTCGGGTAGTACGAGTAGTCATCACTAGCTCGTTGTATGTAACGTTATATTGCGAATTGCTCTAATCTTGATTCTGCTTTTACGATCGTATCACAGAGTGGTACCTGTTTGGGAGTGATTAGGCAAGGGCTGTCTCAGATCGGGAGTAAACTTGAAGTGAGGCCGAACTTTGATCCGTACGGACCATCGAAGACCGTTTACGCTCTGCATCACGTGATCAGTTATTATGGCGTGCGCGTCTGGGCTGGACTCAAAACAATCGAATTTTTTTTGTTCCGCTTTGTGAAGAGCGGAGCAAAGAAGCTCTCCGCTCCTCTCTTCACTACCATCATCTCCATCATCTTCACCAAGGCCAGGCGCATTGTTAGCAGCCTGGTTCGTCGATTAAATTGCCCTCCCTGTACACCCTGCCTTGCCGCTCGTTTCTGCGCTCGACCGGCCCCTGTTACAGCGGGCCGGGAGCCTGCTTGTCGAGGTTCGAGGACCTCACTGGTCTTTGTCTGCAATCCACTTAGTTTAGTTCGTCTGGTTTTTCGTGCGATTGAGTTCAGACGGGACTCGTGAAATTACGAACGCCCCGCGACGGACACTTTTGCTCAAGACTCAGGAGACAGATGATGCGAGTAGATTCTAACGAGAATAAGTTGAGAGAGAAAAGGAAGCTAGAAATACAGTAAACGAGAAGACGAGCTTCTCAGGAGTGTGATAAGATAGGATAGTGCGAGCTCAGATGCTGGTCTCCCCAGCCTCACCAGCAGCCGATGTCATGCCTTGATGCTGAGCTGTCCTGCCTAGCAAAGCCTGCTGGTTCAAGAGGGTATAGATCTCAGCCTCGACTCTGCTGCGGTGAGATTCGATATCGTCTGCATCAAAAATCTCGTGCTTTGTCCATGTCGAAAGTGGCTCTCCGTCCGGTTGAGGTGTCATGAGCAGACCACTGTCTTCAACAGTTGCTGATGCGGAAGTATTTTCCCCGTGCCCTTCGCCATTGGCAGGATTGGGGCCGATGTGAAACTGGAACTTGGCCGAATCTTTGCCCTTTGCGAGAACGTCTAGAAGCGATGCAAGCTGTGCGTCGTTATGGTAGACAATCTGAGTCGGAGATGCTGCTTTGCGCAGATTTGCCGCATCGGTGTCCGCACCTTGCTCGGAAGTGTGATTGTCAATACCATCTCCATTGGCCAGAGGAGGGTTTGCGATCTCAAACACGTCCTGTCTGACCCCAGCACTGCGCGGAAGCTCAGGCACCAGCTCCGTCCGGTCGAAAGAGAACGACTTCTTATGAGCCCCACCTCGAGGACGAGTGAAGAACGATCTTGAGTCTTCATCTGTCAATCCAGCCGGGGTGTGGAATACTCCATTCAAGGTTTCTTCTTGTTCACCAGCGCCCAGCATGTCTCCTATAATGGAATCGCGCGAGAAGTTGGTATCGACAGCAGACCCACTCGCATCGCTAAAATGTCTACTGTGACGAGGGTCAAAGTCCGAATATACACTGCCTCGGTCAGCTAAGCCTGCAATGACTTGCCAGACTACACTACCGTCCGCACGCTCTGTCACCTCGATGTGACGACGTGTTTCGGGCATACGAGAAGCTCGACCGGGTGCCAGAGACCTGCGTGCTCCTGAACCAAGCTCTTGAACATCAGATCCAGGACTGCCGAACTCGACGTTCTCGCCGCCGATGTACATGTCGTACAGACTTCCAGCATAGGAGCTTTCCACTCGACTGGCGCGGTTGGATCGAAAAATGCCGCCGAGGCTTGCGCCTGGGTGGAGAGTCTGCTTTGAGTTGAAGGTCGACATGGATTCTTCTTGCGGCTGGGGCTGGTCAGTGATTTTGGTGTCGTTGACGGGCATGTCGACATCCATTGTGATCGGTGAGGATTCTGCTTCACTTTTGGGTTCGAGCGACTTGGAAGTGTGGCCACTGTCAGGTACTGGTTCGTCTTCGGCAGAGGCAAAGCGACGAGATTTGCGGCTGGCGGAGGCGAAAAAGGAGCGTCGCTGCTCGTTGAAGTCGATACCAGCGGGGATGATGATGGTGCGGCGGACGATGGTGTCGCGTAGAGACTTGCGGGCAGCGGCTTTGGGATCGGTGTCTGTGGAGTTGCTCTTGCTGGTCAGCTCAGCTGCCTCTGCCACTTCCTGCGGAGCATCCTGCTGACGGACAGCTGGAATGGTCGCGTCGGCAGCATCGTTGACGGTCGCATCCCCTTCATCGACCTGTGCTTTCTCAGCGGGCGGCGGCGAAGTAGGCCTTGGCGTCAGTGCCTCTTCATCATCTTTAACATTGGCCACAGGCGCCAAGGTATCAGATTTCTCGCCTTGCGAATAGTTCATCCTTTCCGCAGGCTCCAGTGCCGTATCCGTTGATTGCTCGAGCAAGCCATTCGACTGCAGCGCTTCGTCTCGCGTCACCGGCTCTGACACATCCTGACTTCGCTGCTGCCAATGCACTGGAGCGTTGGGCATCTCAGCAAGCTCCCTAGCGCGATCTTCAGTCGATCTACCAATGATGGTGGTAGGAATGTAGCCAGGATCACCAGGCAAGATCACCTCGGACTCGCGCTTGAGGACGATGGGAGTGCGTTTCTTCTTGGACTTGTTGCGTGGCGTCGAAGTCGAGTCGATCGGCAAGATGTACATCGGGGACGTTGGAGAACGGATGCTGCTGCCGCGGTCGCTCGAAACGGAAGAAGGCATTCTAGACAGAGTCCAAGGGGTCGTGCGCTCTACCGGCGGCAAACTGGGCAGCTCTGGGGTCTTTGGCACCTGCTGCGAGACATGCTCGGTCGCATGTGCGTTTGCAATCAGCTCAGGAGGGAAGGGTTCAATGGTGGCACCTCCGTAACCCTGATCAGTGCTCTTCTTGCGGTTGATCTTAGAGAAGAGTCGCGACAGACTTCCGCCATTGACGCCGCCGTTCATGTAGGGGTGATTCGGGTGGACGTCAGAGGATCGCTCGCCGTTGCTCTGCTCGCCAGCCGCGGAAGGAGTGCCTGCACCTTCAGTGCTAAGACCAAAGCTATCGTTGGGACTGGCTTCGTGACCGAATGAGCTTGATCTTCTGCGGTGGAAGTAGCCACTGTTCTTGCTCGTGCTGTCGCTGTGCGACGCTCCAGAAGGGCTTGCCTTGGCATGGCTTCGCAAGTTGTCGGTGCCAAAGTTGCCAATGCTACCCCAACCTGGTGAGCGGTTGGACCGCTTGCTCGCCTTGTTAGATGTACTCGTCTCGAGAGTGGGAGGGATCTGCGTTGTGTGATCCAGCTTCTGTGTGGTCGAGATGAGTTGAGGCGAAGAGATCTGCTTGCTGACCTTCTTGAATGACTTTTTGCGCGAGATGCTCTTGGTTCGGAAAGGCGGTGTAGGTACGGAGCCATCATCGGTTCCCTTGAGTGCTCGAGTTGCTGCACTGGTCTGCGCGGCGATGTCGTCGTGCAGGCTGGTTGGATCAGCTCCGGTGGAGGCCAAGGGAGAGCCTGGGCTCGAGACTTTGAAGATGTCTGGTGTGATACCTCCATGCTGAGGACCGTAGCGATCCCAAACGTCCTCGGGAGGAAATTGCTGGTGTTGACTTCGAGGCGAATGATCGATATGGTCCAGGATCTGAATATCTTTCCTGGGAAAGGTGAAGTTGTTGCCGCTACGAGGACCGGTCGAGGTCGAAGGGCTCGTGTATCCTACATTGAAAGGATGCTCTTGCACTTGATTCGCCACGGCGTACTGCGACTCGAGGTCTGTAGTCAAGTCTGGATCTTCCGCGATGGAGGAAGACGTCAGCGTCGGTTGCCGCGTCATGCGTGATGCCTGATCGACTGCTTGCGACAAGGAGAAGGATTCCCGGTTGCGATGGCCAGTCGAGCTGTTGAGCTCGAGTAAGCTGGGCAAACCAGTCAAAGAGCCGCTGCGACTGTGAAGAGGGGGTGACGTGGGTCGATGGCTGGTTGTCACATCGTACATGACAGCTCTTGGCGACAGAGGATCATGCGAGTACGTGCTAGACGTGTTTCTCAACATGGGAGCATTGCGATTTGTGTCAATCGACTCTCCATTGGAGCGTTCTAGACCAAGACTATTGCTCGCCTGAACATTCGGGGTCGGCTGCGACCAATTTGAGCCAGTGCCGAAGACCATGTTTGGAGAGGCGAGACCTTTCGACTTGGCCTCAGTGAACTCCTGCTGCTGATGGTTGTACTGATGGTCAGCCTGGATGCGAGGAAGAGGTGGGATGACCTCGCTGCCATTGGCTGTCTGGATCAGGCGGGACTGCATGTCCGCAATCTGGTCAAATGTGATACCAGTGCCTGCCAGACGCTCTTCAGCAATGCTAGGTGCGAAGTTGGAAACCGGACGCTGGGTACCATTTTGCTCGGGTGCCGATGCCATTTTGGCCCACAAGTCTTCCTCCTCATTAGGATCAGCGGTAACATCCTCGGAAGAAGCTCGAAGGCTAGCAGCGTCGGCAGCTTTGATCCCATAGATTGCTCTCCATCTCTCTGCCTGCTCTGGGTCCGAAGGTGGGTTCGGCATCAGTCCCTGCTCGTTGATAGTTGGCTGAGCTGAAGCATGCTGTGGTGCCTGCGAAGCGACTTCTGGCATTGGCGCTGGCCTGGGAGCATACATGGATGAAGAGACGCCATCCTCGACTGTCGAGACGCGCGTTGACTGGGACTGTGGCTGCTGCTTGTTGCTGGAAAGAGAAGCGTTCCGCTGGTGAAGGCTGACGCTGGTGGTTCCGGACTCTGGAGAGCTGGTCGCTGCTGCACGGTCAGTGCCCGAAGCGAAAGCGGCAAAGCTCGGGACGTGGGGCGAAGCGATGCTCTGATTGATCGAAGCCGAGTTCCGCATGCTTTGGGCGCTCTTGAGAGCGTTGGATGCGTCCATGACAAAGCTCTGCATCGGCTGAGGACTCTGGTTAGGCTGGTTGACCATGGACTGCAAGGCAGCAGCGGCAGCTGGAGAGACGGCGGAGGGTGGCTTGAAGCCAGAGGCGTAGTCGTGCATCGAAACACTCGAAGAAGGTGGAGGGAAGTAGTTGGGCGAGCGAGCGCTGCGGCTGAGAACAGGAGGTGGGCTCATTGCACCTGACGACCTTCGCGAAGCGTGACCGCCAAGGAGACTGCCCTCAGACGAGCCAGTCTGGGAACGAACATGTTGTCTGTAGTTTCGACGGATACTGGATAGCGAGGGTTGCTCTCGGAGGTGAGGATGAGGCGCCATCGACCTGGCGAGCGCCAGTCTATCGGCCGATGACTTGCGGCTGTGACTGCCTTGATACGATTGATACGACGCAGACGGTCCTGTGAGACTGGATCGCATCGAACCTGCGCTGACGATAGAGTCGCCTCGTGACAAGGTCGATCGCGCGGGACTGCCGGAAAGTGCTCTCGTGGGCATATCTGGTGTGGGATCTGGACGTGCGATCGGTTGTTGGCCGTTTGCAAACGTATATGGGCGTGTGGCTTCCTTAAGCTGATGCTGACTTGTCTGAGGTTCCGGTTTGACCGCGCTGGGTTCTGGCGCGCCACCGTTAGAGTTCAAAGATGCGCCCCCATCAGCCGGCCTGTAACCCTCGATGGTAGATGCTGTGGAGACTATACGTGGAGTATGGTCCGGCACTTCTGTGGCAGTGGCGGTTGAGCTGCGGTCAGAAGGGCGGGTCAGAGAGGAACCAGTCACGGAATGGCCAGAAACGGAGAGGTGCTGCGAGGAAGAAGCATAATGTTGTGGTGAGACTAGACCAGCTTGCGATTCTCCGACGTCCCTGCTGGTGCCAATTACGGTCTGAACACTGTCCGATGTGGTCAGTGTTGAGGGCTGAGATGCAGCCTGACTTTCCGGGCTGTCATTGACAGAGTCTGAACGCTCGGCGGGTAATGAGCCCGGCAAGGGTCCAGGTAGTGGCGAGGCGACAGCGAGCCTTCCTTGTTCGATGTACGCAGCATCTAAGGTTGGCTGCAGGCCTGCGGTGGCGCGGTCGGCAGTGTCTTCGTTGTCACTGGCTGCTGGTTCCTCATTGGGTTGACGTGTGCTCAGTGAAGCCTCTACTTCCCACTCGGTCTGCTTGGCCTCGGTACGGCGAACGTAGTCCAACGTGGAGGCAAAGGGATTGGCTTCGCTTTCCATCGAGGATCTCTGAGGTCTGTGATTTAAGGCAGCGGGAGATGCTGCTTCGATACGAGCAGGCGAGGGACCGCGTTCGGAGACAATGAGGCCGAACACCTCGTCGAGTGCAGTGCTGACACGTTTGAAAGCTTCCGGAGAAAGAGTGGTGAGCAGGTTGGAAACTTGCGAGGTGCGAGTGCGCGAAGTGTCGCTGATGCCTGAAACGTCCAGCAAAGGCTTTGCGCTTGAAGCATCCGCACTTCTCTCTTTCATGACTGGGGCTGAAGTCGAATCATTGCCGTTGGTCGGGAGGAAGCTCCCTGGCATTGGATGCTCTTCCGTATCAGATGCTTCGACTTGCGAGGTACTCGATTTAGGCGCGTATGAGTTCGCCGTCGCGCTCTCAGTGGGAGTGTCGCGCGAAAATTCCATGGCTGAATCCGTTTTGGGTGGAGATCGGGGCTCGTCGGCCTTGGTACTGCTGCACTCCTTGTTTGCACTGCGAAAGTAGGCCTGGTCTCGCTCAGCAGTGCGACCAGTGAAAGAACTACCCCCTGCTTTGCGTGCTGGAAACCATGCAGACGACGATTGACCATCTTCAGCAACAGAAGAGTGACCATTATTGGATGACAGCTCACCAAGCGTCTGTGCAAGAGTGGAAAGCTGATTCGAGCCGTTGGTGGTAGTGGGAACCCAAGAGCCGAACCCATCAGTACCGGCAGCATACCCGTTGCGCCAAGAGTCCACAGCAGCGGCAGTGGAAGATTTCTCGAGATCAAAGTCGCGTCCTTCTACCCGTGCTTGTGCCTTGAGCTGCTCGATGATCTCGTTTTCTTCGTCTTCGGTGAGAAAGTTGACGTGGTTATCCGTGCCGGTGCCAACGGCGATGTTGGCAGCTCGTGCACGAGCTCGTTGGGCGCGTAAGTGAGCACGCATTGCATCAGGAGAGACGAGCGAGCCATCTGGTGCGCGAAGAAGTGTGAATCTGCGGGTGAGGTGGGGCATGATCAGCGACTGGCGGTAGTCCGAAGTTGGCGGTAAAACATGATCTAAGCTCTGCTGTGTTGACGACGTTGGTAGCGGTGAGGATGGCGAGTGCTGCTGTTCTAGCTCGTGCCGACGCTGCGATTGTCGAGAATGATACGATGAGCGTGGCGAAGCTGGGCCACTTGCGATAAAGATAGCAGGTCGAGGCGGTAGTCGAGAGGTGGAAGGGAAAGAGGAATAGTCTGTGGGCGGTGGACTAGAGGGATAGGCTTGAGCCGCGGCAGCTTTTTTCTGCTGCCGCCTCTTGAACGGGTTCATCATGCTAGGCGTTTTCCTCTGTCCTGGCGTTGTCGGGAGGTGCTAGAAGGAAAATGATTCGCGATCGGAAGTCGACCGAATTGAAAAGCGTCACAAGTGGCTACGACTTTGCATTTGAGCTGAGGAGGTTGAAAGCTCTCGTGGTGACTAAATGGTATAGCGAGCGATCGGATGGCCCGCAAAGGTCTGGTTGGGATCACTGAGCGTTCCTGAGCGTGAGGAAAGAAAGTCTTGGTTGGAGTCGGCTGCTCCGTCTAAGTGTGTCGTACCAGACGGATGGATCCGCAAAGCCTTCGAATTCTCGTTGTTGGGAGGATGATGATGTCGGATCTACCGAAGGATTCCAAAGGTCAGCTAAGGATCGTAACCTGTCAGCAGAATACGATATGATACGGCGTTGGTGGTGGCTGAAACGTGTGCTGTACAAAGACCCTGTGGTTGCAAGTCTCACAAGCTTGTCTGTCTGTGAATTCAGTTGTCCGAAGCGCCGATAACCCACATGCACACGGGGCAACAGCTGCCCGACTCTCATGCTGCACGTGACATGGCGTGCGCATCTGAGCTGGACCACACGCGTCGCAACCCGCTCAATCTCGGTTTTGCTTGCTTTGCTTTGCTCCTCACTCCTCTCACCTTGGAGACCCGATCTCAACACATCGGGTTACTGCAATTTCGACAACCCGATGCTCAACGGTAAAATGACATGGCGCTCCTGTCTGTCCAACACGGCAACATAATGCAGCCATGACAGTTCCCCCTGAGCTCGCTTGATGTTCGCCCACACAGTCGAGCCTGTCCGTTGGACACCTGTCACTGCTGTCAAGGTGTTCGATATGAGACACAGCTTGATGTTTCGCTTCATGTGCATCCTCTACTGCACCCGCCATTTGCCAAGCCTGCATCGACCGCGCATTGCCGTCATCACCCTGACTGATGCGATCGTGTAGAATCTTGTCTCTCCCTTTCCACGCAGCGATCTCGATGGTCTGTCGCGAATGTTGGATCATCATCCTCTCTCGGTGTCTCTCCAGCCACACAAGGCACGATAGAGCCATGTATGCACCGTCTGAGACCAACACTAAATCATGTCAAACACATCAGGGTGCCGAGTGGCCCCGGGAAACACATGTTCGGTCAAGCCACACATTGTAACTATTAAAAGGACTCTTAGCCACGGTTTCTACGTAGAATACTGAACAGATACTGGCCTGAGAACGCTGAGAGATATGTGCGATGCCGCACTTACCATCAAAGTAGAGATGAGGTAGAGACTATACACTGTCTGCTAGCTACAGGCCGGCTGACCAACACCTGCTGCTTCGAGCTGCACTCTGGATTACCTTCTGCACAATTGAGCAAGAGGCTTGGTACCACAAAGCTGGGAGGTCGCTCAGCGTGCGTTACGTTGGATAAAGAACGGATCTGGCTCGATCCTCGGGCCTAAATCGAAGCGTGGCTTTCGTTTGCACATCTGCGTTCCGGCTGCACCCACTACCTCGCTTCCACCGTTACCGTATTGAGCATACTCCCACAGACTACTGATTTCAAAGGCTCAGTCGTATGGTTGAACTACACACCTACTCATAGTTTCTCTCCGAACTACAGATCTGGCTCCCATACCGTCTCTTTGTGACAAACGCCCATCTTACGGGCTCTGGTGCCGCCTCAGTATTTGCCGTGGATCTCACGATCTCTGAAAGTCTGTTAACGAATTCCTAATCCGCGTGTGCCAGCCTCACTTTCTTAAGATACTTAAAGGACATCGTCGTCCCCCTCCTTCTCCCTTCCTTTCCTCCAGCCTTGTCTCAGTATCTTTTGCTTTCTCTTGCTCTTGCTTTCGCTTCTCCAGCTCCTCTTTCCCGCTCTCTACCCAACTTCGTAATATCCTTTTCCCTTTGTGTACCCTGGCGGTCACTCCTTACTCTTTCCCCATCAGCAGAAAACACATTCTCTCTTTCTTCATCTCTTTCGCTCACTGTTTCTTTGCACTTTCCCCCAACTATCGGCGTATCAAGCTTCCTTTGCCAACGCTCAACAGCGAAAGCCTTCCTGCGGAAGACTCAACCTTTTCGAACAAAGATATCAGCTTCTTTCATTTCTAGCCAGTCTAGTAGTTCAAGCTTCTCTCCCCAGCCTCAGTCCCAACTCTCGACCCCTCAGCTCTACAAATCTCCTTCCCCTCAGGTCTCCCCACAACAAATTCTACATCCTCTAGCCATGCATTTCTCTCAGGTTCTTACCCTTGCCCTTTCCCTTTCGGCTGCTGCCGTCAAAGCTGCTCCCGTTCCTATCGTGAGAGGCAGCCAGCAAGACTCGTCCAAGCTCATGCTTGGCTCTGTTCACGAGAGCCAGATCGCGGCTCGCGGCGTCGGCAACGACGCTGTCAGCTCCACCCCTCTCCAGGCTCGAGGCCTCGATTCGGTCGGCCGCCTTCGCAGGGCCATGGACCTCCACTACCAGAACCTCGACCCTCAAGCTCGCGAGCTTGCCTTGGTCACTGAGCTCCATCGTCGAGGTCTCCTTGACCAGATCGTTGCTGCCATCCGCGACCTTATCATCACCCTTCTTGGTAAGGGGGGGTGGCATGATGTCCCGTCGTCAGGACAACCCTGCCCAGCTCGAGCAGGCCATTCAACAGGTCACCTGCATCCTTGATGCTCTCTTCGGCAACGCCGATGACTCTTGCTCCGAGATTCTCGGCAGCTCTGCCAACTCGACCAATGCTACTAGCACCCTCACCAACTCGACCACTTCGCCTCTCGAGAAGAAGCTCGTTGCCCTCGGTGCCAAGCTACGCAACGGCACCAGCATCACTCAAGTCGTCAACGACATGATGGAAAATAATGCCGAGACTGCTGCCGCTGCTCCCGTCAGCAAGAAGGCTGATGCCAAGAAGGCAGACAAGAAGGCAGACAAGAAAGACGAGAAAGGTCAGGAGGACAAACACCACTCTGCCAAGAACGCCACTTCGGCTGCCGAAACCAAGACGGCCACCGCCGCTCAGAAGAAGAAGCGCTCCTTCGAGCTGCTCGAGGCTCGTCAGGACTCTGGCGTCCAGGGCCTTCTAGTCGCACTCCGCGATGTCGTCGACACCATCCTCAACACGCTCCTGCCAATAGCTTCGCGTGGTGAGAATGACGACACCTCGACTACGGACCGTTACCCTCCTAAGCCTTGCCCTCCCCCCGGCACTCCCAACGACGGCATGTACCGATCTGGATGCCCCGGTTACGGTCGACGTGACCTCGCTGTCCGCCGCAGCATGCAGGATCTTGGCGAGCGCGATGCCAACATCCTCCAGACCATGCTTCCCATGATCGAGATGTTGCTTCGTCAGCTCCCTGCTCTGTTCCAATCAATGGCTGCGTCGCCTGCTTCCGCTGCATCCGGCGCTGCGGCCACCGCTACTTTAGTCGGTGGTGCCAAGGCTGCTTCGCCTACCAACAGTGTGGACGATGCCTTCTCGCAGATCATTTCTGCCCTTAGCGGCAGCCGTAGCAAGAGCTCTTCCTCTGGCAGCAAGGCTGCTAGCAGTGCTTCAGCCTCTGCTGCCAAGGCTCAGGCTACTGGTGCTGCCGCTGACAGTGCCGCCTCTGCTGCGCGAAGTGCTGCCAACCTCAGCCAGAACTTCGCCCGCGATCTCCTCAACGGTGACGGCATGAACCTTGGCAAACGCCAGGCTACCGGTACTAATGACGACGATGGTATCGGCAGCGAAAACTGCGACGCTAGCGGCAACAGCGGTGGTGTTAATGTCAGCTTGCTCAACAACCTGCTCAACGGTCTGCTGAGCGGCTTTTCGCGACGAAGGGAAGAGTACGTTCCCCTGGAATTCTTCAAGAGGCAGACCGACGGCACCGATGGTGACACCATCGGCAGCGGCAACTGCGCCTCCAGCAACAACACGGGAGGTATCAACTTGAGCCTCCTCGACAACCTTCTTAACGGACTTTTGTCCGGATTCAGTCGTAGAGACGTCGGTATGGTTCCGGTTGAGGTGTTGCAGCGCGACGTCGCCACCGGACCCCTTTCTGCACGATTCGCTCCTGAATCGGTCCTCCAGGAACGCGCCGACTTTGCGCCCGTCTGGCAAGAGATCAAGAAGATTGGTAACGAGCACTTCCACAATGCCCGTGACCTTACTCACACCGCCACTGACAACAAATCGACGGCCTCTGCCGCTAAGCGCGCCGCCTCTGACAACGACGCCCCAGACTTCACCCCTGTCTGGGAAGCCTTCCGTGATCTCGTTGACAGTGGATACGACCAGGCTGCCGCCAACGTCGGTGCTCAGCGTCGCGACGCCAGTGCTCCACTCAAGCTTGATTACAAGCCTCTCATGAAGGCCGGTATCAACTTTGGCAAGCAGATGTTCAAGTCGTTCACCTCTGGCCACGCTAAGCGATCCGCTGACTACAAACCCTTCGTTGACGCTGCCAGCAACTTTGCTGCCACCGCGATCAAGGAGATGTTTGTCAAGTCCAACTAAACTTCCCCCCCACCCCCCACGACGATAGAGATGTAAGATTCTCGATTGTTGTGATTGTTGTTGTAGCCTGAAACAACATCCCCCCTCCCCCTCCTCATGTACGATTTCTGGTAGGAAGAAAACACGATCCTCGGGAAGGTTCGAGCGAAGCGAATTCATGGAATGCAAAGCAAGGGCATCCAGAGCAACCCTTTTCAGTAGTCTGTGTCTTTTTGTGCGTATGTGTGATTCAAACTTGCATGACAGGTCTAGACAAGGCAAGCTTCCCCCTCAGCGATGTGAAGCTTCGGTTGCCATATCCGACATCGTTCGGCATCATCCATGGCATGTTGAGTGGCTGTACTTCTCTCTGGCTCAACAACCTCGCCGACGCCGGACGTCTCACATCGGAATGTACAAATGCTGTGGACTGCAAAGGACAGGAAGTTGCGTGCTGACACGAATTGTCAAGATGTCCGATCGTACATCGTCATTGCATGCATCGGAAGCAGTGAAAGCATGTGAACCCTAGTTCGATCTCACGCTTTCGCCACCTTCGCTCAATCGGATATGCACTATGTTGGCCTGCACCGACTGTCGCGACAGACGTCGTCATATCGGCTGCACGATATCCCGTTACCTTTCAACCGTAGCATACCTCTGTATCATACTGTACAGTACACGCATACGCAGAGTGCTGGGAGACGCAAATATATACTGTTGTTCATCGTCTTGTACTTAGCTCTTACATATTATCGCAATTGATACTTGTGATCAACGCCCTTTGCCGCACGCCCTACAATAGAACCGACCCATTGGCTTCCCATCATCACAACGTTGGCCGAAATCTGTCCGAAGTAGATCCCCCGGTGCTTGTTAGAGCTGCACCTCCTCAGCTGACCAAGAGACAGGGTGGATGCACCGCTGCCGACATGATAAGAGAATTGAAAGGGGAGGAGATGCACATCTGATTCGGCTACTCATCGGACATGGATCGTGAGCGATTCAGAATCCAATCCGAACGAGCTGCTAGAGATACGTTAGAGAGAGCTACAGAGGACTGTGCCTTCCATTTGCTTTCCATCTTTTCAATTTGCTCCCTGTGATGTGCTCATGAAGAGGCGTGATTGCCTGCGTTGCATCGAACGCCGTTATGAGTTGTGTCGTTGACCGATAGCTTGATCTTGTCATTGCTTAGGAACTGCGTCTTCTCAGCGACCAGCGAGGTCTATCATTTACAATGATATCGGAGCCTGAACAAGAACAAGGAAGCGAAAGAGCGAGCACCTCTGAGCATCGGCAAGACCGAACATTTTCCAAATCTTCTCTCGTTCCATGCAGAATCTCTCCCTCTCCTCTTCTTCTGCTCCTCTTCTTCTGCTCCTCTTCTTCTACTCCGCTTCTTCTTGGCATTGCTTCATGGCTTGTGCTCCTCCGATGTTTTTCCGTCTCGCTTTGTTTCAGCGGTTCCTGAACTGACAACCAACGCCACATCGTTGTTGCTCTTGCTGCTCTTCTCGTCGTGGCCTTGTGTGGTTCCAACGTCTTGCGGCCAACGTAGCGGCTGCTTTTCAAGCCTCACTCGGCCTCTCTTTCTTTGACAGCTGTATATCTGGTCTCATGCGACGCCCTTTTTCTCTTGCTAAAATTCGCCCACACTCATTAGTTAGCCGATGTTGAAGCGTGGGAGTGAATAACAAGCGGGCGGATCTTTTGATATCGCATGTTCCTTTGCTTTGCCATCCCGTGTTGCCGGTGTTCCTTCTTTTCGGGTTCCCTCACTGTGATTTGTCGATGCTGGGTTCCTCTCGTCTCACCACCACCATCATCATCAAGAGCAGTCAAGCACAAGGTTGGCACGATAAAGTCCTCCCACTTCTCGATACCGAGCTGCTCTCCTCAGAGCAGACCTTCCTCCCGATAGCCTAGACCCTGTCGCCCTTGACTATCGAGGAACTCAAGCATCTGGACAAGACATGAGCTGATGGGCCTTTATCCGTTAAGGCAAGCAACGTCGAGCTCCTTCCAAGCTTCTTGACGACACACTTCCTGCAACCGGGACTTCCGATATTGCTGACTGCAGACTCGGACCCGAAGCCATATTGTCACACAGCAACCGGTGTCGGCCCTTCCGTACTCCGACGGACACCATAGTACATAGTATATTCGTAGCCAAGATGAAGGAAGCTCGCGTCGTAATCATGGGAGGTAAGTATACAGCCATGGTTCTCAAGACCAGGGAACACATTTGATTGACCAGTGCTGACCCGCTCCGTGCTTCTGATGCTCTTTCTCTCTCTTTTCACAGGCGGAGGCGTCGGCAAATCAGCCCTGACAGTCCAATTTGTCCGCAATGTCTTCGTCAGCACCTACGACCCTACCATCGAGGACACATATCGCAAACTTCTTGTCATCGACGGGCAACAATGCATGGTCGAAATCCTCGATACAGCAGGCACAGAACAGTTCCTCGCACTCAAGGAACTATACATCAAATCAGGTCAAGGCTTCATCCTCGTCTTCTCCCTCACATCGTTAGCAAGCGTCAACGAACTTGGCCCGCTACGCGAGGCCATTGTTCGTATCAAAGACACAACCGGCATCCCACTTGTGTTGGTGGGTAACAAGTCGGATTTGCGCACCGATCGGCAGGTGCCAAGAGAAGTGGGCACTAGCTTGTCCAAAGCGTGGGGGAACGTGCCGTACTACGAGGCCTCAGCGAGAAAGCGCATCAACGTGGACGAGATCTTTGCGGATGTTGTAAGGCAGATTCGAGCTTTCGATACGCTGAATGGTCGGCCAGGGACGGCAGGCAGTGGTGGGAGGCATGGCTCTTGGGGCAACGGTGGAATGAATGGCTCAAAAGACAGCAAGATGGCCGGAAGTAGCTTTGGTACCTCGCGGTCGAAGAATCGAAAGAAGTGCGTTATCATGTGAACGATATTGACTTTGCATCTACAGCACGACCAGGACACAGCATCATGGACGACCGATCCGTCTGCAGCACAATCTTCGGACAACATCGTTGGGGGAGCTGTACTTCCAATTGGAGGTCCACACCTCGTTATCCTGATCCACATCACATACACGATACCCTGCGAGTCAGACGCAAAGATGACTTATCCCTCTCCGTCTTCACACGGAACCACCTTCCCGGAGTGCAAGACCCACTTCCTATAGATACCCCTTGTTCTCTTTCCCTGGAAGCCACTCTTTCGTTAGATAGTAGATCCTTACATCTCTCGCGGTATTTCTGGCCTGATGTGATTTAAGCCCTGCTTGTCTGTGACTGTCATGTGCACGAATGACTTAAGCTAGTGTGTGCTCGGCCTGGTTGTTGACAAAGAGCCTCAGGCAGGGCAGATGGAGGGCTTGATTTCGGAAGCTTTTCCGCGGTTCAACATGGCGTTCAGGTGACCAAACCTCCACTCGAAAAAAGATTGTGAGGCCGGCGTGTCTTGACACTGCCATTTTGACGCCGCTCAAATGTAGCTGTGCAACGCGTGCTGAAGAGAGAGTGATCGAGCCACTCTGAAATGCCCAGACGCCCAACTTACGCAGCGGCTGCGTAGTCCAACACTTCCAACGCTTCACTTCGACTCTTCCCGACACAGCTTTCACCATCATCCATCTGCCCACTACGCCTCAATCCCTCCTCACACATTCAATCGTTACGGACTTCTGCACTCGCTGTGGCCACTATCTAGTCTAGCAAATCCAGCACGGGACGATCCATTCAGCGTCTTTAACTGTCATACGCATTGAGGCCACACTTCTTCTTGCTTATCGATCCGCATCCCATCTTACATCAAAAGGTGACCAGCAGGGGCAAAAGTCACAATGTCGCGAAGGTACGATTCTCGAACAACCACGTTCTCACCAGAAGGACGACTTTACCAAGTCGAGTATGCCATGGAGGCCATCTCGCACGCTGGTACCGTCATCGGCATTCTCGCCAAGGACGGTATCGTCCTTGCTGCTGAGAAGAAAGTCACTTCCAAGCTCCTCGAACAGGACCAGTCTTCCGAAAAGATCTTCGCCGTCTCCGATAACGTCATGGCCGGTGTTGCAGGATACACCGCCGATGCCAATTCTCTGGTCAACTACGCCCGTAATGCAGCACAACGTTACCTTGCCAGCTACGACGATGACATGCCTGTAGAGCAACTTGCTCAAAACCTCTGCGACTACAAGCAAGGCTACACTCAGTTCGGTGGTTTGCGTCCATTCGGTGTCTCGATCCTCTATGCTGGTTACGATGACCACCACCACTTCCAACTTTACCACTCTGACCCTTCAGGCAACTACTCTGGCTGGAAGGCAACCTGTATCGGCAATAACAACGGCACCGCGACTTCGCTGTTGAAGCAGGACTACAAGGATGACATCGGTATTCAAGAGGCGATGGGTATGGCGGTGATGATTCTTAGCAAGACTATGGACAGCACTTCCTTGGACAGTGAGAAGTTGGAGTTCGCTACTTTGACATTGAGCGCGAAGTCGGGGAAGCCACAGACGAACATCTTCAAACCCAATGATATCGATAGGTTGTTGCAGAGGCATGGATTGGCTAAGCCAAAGGATGCGGAGGAGGCTGCTGCCCAGGCGACAGTAGAGTCGAGCGGTACCACTGCTATGGCTGTTGACTCGTAGAGCTCACGGCCTGCAGGAACGTAGTTGAGACTTGGCGCTTTGTACCATCATCGTCAATACATAACAAATGAAACCGAAGCGTCTAGAATGCTTGCATGTTGCTGCCAACTCTTTGCTATAATATGCAGAAGCCCCAGTACACGGGCGTTGCAGGTGGTCTTTCACGTCACAATGTACAAGGAGGCGGTACAACGGTAACTCATCAGCTTTCGCAAAACAGCATATGCTTGCTCTTCCAAACACGACGAGTTTTAAACTTGCGGCGTAATGTTACATTGCATGCTCCATTCTATAGTGTGCGGTTGATTCTTCACTCTTTCTTTCCACCTTCTCCCTCGCCGCCTTCGCCCTTGAACAAGTCCTTCTGACTGTTCATGATAGCCTGCAGCCTTGCTGGCGAGACATCTACACCCGCGTTCTTCAGTTCTTCCATCGCTGTTGTCCGAATTTAGCGTAGCGGACGAAGTTACGATCAGCATCTGTCCTACTTGCAATGGTGAGATTTATTAATGAGCAGCACTTACCTTTGGTTATAGCATCACGAACCTCCTGATTTTTGGCAAGCTTGACCATTTGCCACATCGAGGGCTTCTCGCCTGTGTGCAGATCAACCCCATTTTGCTTCATCACTTCGAGCAAGTTGGAGATAGCTGACAGAGCCGAAGGTGAGTGGGCAAGCTTTTCGAATCCTGGAGGAAGCTGTGGGAATGAGTTTGGTGATGCGGATGACGCATAGCGGTTTCCGACGACAGGGCTGATTTGGAAGGCGGCAGATCGGGCGCCGAGGGTTGCGGACCTGAAAGAGGGAGTGAATGATCGAGCTAGTAGGCGGTTGGTTGACATCTTTGCTGTTCTTCTTTTTGTGGGCGGTCGATGGTTGATTGGAAGTGAGGCGTTGGGGAAGGCTGACTGAAGGACGACACCTTTATGAGCTTCTGAGCCTCCACCTTTGAAAGTTGCGTTCCGACTTCCGAGGGATCCGGCATTCAATGTCTGACTGCCAGGAGCACGCACCACACGCGGCAACAGAGACTGGAACATGAGAAATGTGAGATTGCCTAACTCATGCGGGAGTCGCTTGCGAGCTCCCAGCCGTGGCCGTAAGGGCCGCAGATCGAGCGTCGCATGATAGCAGGGTGGAGCGTGCGTGAGACCTAACTACATGACAGAACGAGATCATTAAGAGAACGAGAGCAAGAAGGGACGGGGGTGAGCTTGAAGAAGCGCTGCGCGGAGCCAGCGTGAGAGTAAGATGATGGTGAGAAGGGAGGAGAGGTGAGAAGAGACAGGTGAGTGATAAACTTGCTCACCTGCTGTGCAGCGACTTGCACGAGCGTGCACAGGTCACGTGCTCCGTGCTCCGATCACTGATATTCGCGTACCAGACAAGACTCTAAACTTTTTACTGGACCTGATGTCACGCCTGGGTACTCTATCGTGCGAATACTAGCCGCACGAGAACGCTCGATCGATATCCTCTCGCGCGAATACACGTCGCACAGGAAAGTTCGATACTATCTTGCAAATCTTTGATCATACTACCTTGCTGTACGGAAGCTAGTACTTAAGCTAGCTTTACTAGCTTCCGTCTAGATCTCCTTCCTTTCTGAAATCCATCTAGTTACACCATTACACCGCGCATACAGTTTGCGCACGTAATAACGTAACACCTGATTACACAAAAGCTTCCAACTTTGCTCCATACACATCGTTCCTCAGCTTCTTTTACAGCCAGACCCTACACGTAGCACGGAGCCCTTGGAAAGCATGCTGGCGTCATTACGAGCCTTTCCATTGGCAAGGCGATCACTGCTGAGCTCTGCCGGGTCTATTACGTACCAGCAGTCTCCGAGGATTCGAGCATTACGGTCGACACCGGCAGTCTCCAGCTCACGTTCGAGGACCTTCGCCTCCAACGGCACCGACTCTGATTCATCGGCAAAAGCTACTGGTAGCCCCGACCTGAAGCCGTACTTTGCCACAACACCAATCTTCTATGCCAACGCAGATCCGCACATCGGGCACCTTTATTCCGACATCATCGCCGACGTTCTTGCTCGATATCATGGCTACATGCGATCCGGGTACTCTGCCTACTCTCGCACGGGAGAGCCCGTCGACCTCGCTTCAATACCAACAGTAGAGCCAGTGAAGTCTCTATTAAGCACAGGAACAGACGAACATGGCCTGAAGATTCAAAAAGTCGCCGAGGCCTCCAACGAAGATCCTCGAGCGCTCGGCGACCGCATTTCTCAACGGTTCAAGCAGCTCGCAGACGCAGCCAACATCAATTATAGTCGCTTCATTCGCACCACTGATTCGGAACACAAAGCCTCAGTCGAGCATCTCTGGCGTACGCTGCGGGAGAAAGGCTGGATCTACCAGGGCAGCCATGAAGGATGGTACGCGGTTTCTGATGAGGCTTTCTACCCAGAAACGCAGGTGCACGAGGTCACAGTAGACGGACAAAAGCAGATGCAAAGCATCGAGACAGGAGCAAAAGTTGAGTGGAGTCAGGAAGTGAACTACAAATTCAAGCTATCCGCTTTTCAAGAGCCTTTGATGAAGTGGTTGAAAGACAATCCTCAGGCTATCCAGCCAGCACAGAAATATGCGGAGGTGTTGCAAGAGATCGAGTCAGGTTTGAGTGACTTATCGATATCTCGGCCGAGGTCGAGGCTGCAATGGGGTATCCCGGTACCTGACGATCCGGAGCATACCATCTACGTCTGGGTAGACGCTCTCACCAATTACCTCACTGTTGCCGGCTATCCGGGCTGGGTAACAGACCCTTCTTCTGTTGCAAAATCGACAAACGCATGGCCAGCAGACGTCCACGTTGTCGGCAAAGACATTCTTCGATTCCACGCCATCTACTGGCCCGCCCTTCTCCTCGCCGCTGGCCTACCCCCACCGAAAACGGTCCTGGCTCACTCGCACTGGACAATGAACAAAGCCAAGATGTCCAAGTCTTGTGGCAACGTTGCAAACCCATTCGAAGCTATCTCTCAGTTTGGACTGGACCCGTTGCGTTTCTTCCTCATGCGAGTAGGTGGTAACTTTGGCTCTGACTCGGATTACAATCCGGAAGTGCTGGTGGAGTATCAAAGGAAGTACCTGCATGGACAGCTGGGTAACCTTGTATCTAGGATATGTGCTCCGAAGATTCACGCCCGGTTGTCCGACTTTCCCCGTGATGAGGAGACACAGGTTTTGAAACGACCCAGTAGGAAGGAAGTAACAGCGCATCTGGTGAAGACGCTACCGGACAGTGACACAAACAAGATGTGCCAGAAATTGGAGTACGATCTCATTAATTTGCCAGGGACGGTGGATGCTCTGATGCAACAATTTGAAGTAGCAAAAGCCCTTGAGGTGATCCTAGAGACTGTCATTGGAGGTACGAACAAAGTCTTGCAGCGGTTGAAACCTTGGGCGCCGTCCACTCATCCAATCGTCGCACTCGAAAGCGTGGTCCTTGTGACCGAGAGTCTGCGCATCTCAGCATTGCTGTTGCAGCCGTTCATGCCGGATAAGATGAACACTTTGCTGGATACGCTAAAGATTCCTGCGTCGAAGAGGACTCATCCAAAGGACCTGGTGGTGACGGACGAGGAAGGGAGGTTGGTCTCGCATGCTGTACAGAGGTTGGAGGGTGAGGATAAGCCTGAACCGCTGTTCCCTAGAATTGATGTACTGGAGCCTAAAATTGATGTACTGGAGCCCAAAATGGATGTACTGGAGCCTAAAATTGATGTACTGGAGCCTAAAATTGATGTACTGGAGCCTAAAATTGATGTACTGGAGTCGTAATGCAAAGACAGGTTCTAGCTGAGCCATTAGTGACGCATGCCTTAAGGACTATGAACAGAGGTATTGTGGGCATCTAACACGAAGCTTGGACGATGACTCCGAGACCAGCAGCATAGTCTCATCGGGAGCTTTTCTAAAGGCATTGCCTTTCCTGCCGTACGCGACCTCATCTATAGTGCTCGATCGACTCGGAATCAAGGAGCGAGCAGTTACGATTTGAAACGTCAGGGTCACTCCATCTGTGCGTAGCTTGAAGGCCACCACGTCATTTGCTTTCGCTAGAAGATGTATCTGCAGCTTAAACGCACGACCCTACAGAGCGCTGCTTGCCCATTCACAGGGTCACGGACATCAGACCTGTGAGAGCTATCATTGAAGCGGACGAGCATTCTGGCAGTGTCGCCTTCCTCGCTTCACTTCAGCGCGTATGCTTGTTGACACAGACACAAACAAGTACCGCAGATAGTCAAATGCGGAAGACACGACGCTACGGCAATGAAAAGCATGATTCCATCTCCGTAGTGTGCGATCAGTCTCATTGCTGTTGTCGAATGGCAGTTCGGTGGAGGGAGTTGCCGAAAGCCGGTCAGACGCTGCCTCAACGCTCACGCACAAGCCTGGGTTCGGAATACTTTCAGAGAGCCTATGAGCATGTTGACGTCAAGTGCGTCCATAAACTTTGGATTGTCCTACAGGCTTTTAGCCTCGCCAAACTTCGCTCTGATTGATCTGCATGGGAGTCTGTATTGCGAGTCCAGCAGACATGTAGAGAAGACAAGGAGTGTTCCGGCGGCCCAAAATTCTCGAAGCCGTTGCCAAACGGACAGCGACATGCATTATAAGGGAGCGAAACGAAACAGAATGCCATCTTTTTGAGCTTCGAGTCAAGTCTAGTGTCCATGTTGTATTAGAGAACGAGGAAAGCACCAAAGAGGGCAGCGGCCGAAGCAGCGGTGACAACAACCATGGCAGGAACGATCGAGTTAGCTCTCGACGAGGATCCACCGCTGCTGCTACCACTACCACTACCGCTGCTGCTACCGCTGCCGCTATTGCTCGAGCCAGCAACTAGCGAAGGGTTGGAAGTAGCAACACCTCTGGATGCCGAGGGGACAGGAAGGCTTCCTCCACCAAAGATGCCAGTGCCAGTAGCCTGAGTAGCGAAAGAGGTAAGAGTGGGCAAACCACCTCCGCCGCCGCCACCGCCAAGAGAACTCATGCTGGAATCTGAGCCAGCAGAAGTAGCCTGTGGGGTTTGCGAAGAAACAGCTCCAGCAGTGAGGGAAGCCACCTGAGCCTCGCTGCCCTTGAGACTAGCGAAGCCAACCCTTCCAGTGCCATCGTAGACGGAGAAAACGTTCTTGAGGAAAGAATCACCAACAATCCACTGAGGCACACCGTATTGCGTGGAGCCGAGGTCGATCTCGAAAAGAGCACCGAGACAAGTCTGCGAGTTGGTGTAAGGGAAAGAACCGAGGTTGAAGTCTTGCGAGTTCATGGGCCAGCTCTTGCCACCGAAAGTGAGCTGGATGTTGAGGTTGGTGGTGCATGGGAAGAGGTAGTACCCGGGCATACCGGCGGAGGCAGCTGAGCGAGCACCGCTGATCTGCGAGTAGAAGGCTCGGATGGAGGAAGCGGGACCACCAATGAGAGTCGTACCGGTGTCGATGGCAGCAAGGGGGTTGTTACCGATGTTGGCCGAGTTGCCGTTGACGGTGATACCAGCCATTGGGATGGTCCAGTATCCGAGACCCTGCTGGTTCTGAAGGTTGTTGGGAATGCTGGTGTAGGTGATGTCGCCACTGTACTGATTTGAGTCGAGTTGGCCAAGAGTGAAGACACCTCCTGGGCTCTCAATGTCGTTGATGTTAGGGTCGTTGGGGTTGATGTTGTCAATGTTTCGTGCAAGCTGGAAGGTGAACAGGTTCTGGGAAAGAACACCCTGCTTCTCAAGGACCTGCCAGAAGGGAGTAGCACCGCTAGTGGAGAGAGATTGGAAGCCCATACCCATAATACCGGATGTGGGATACTCGACGGTGTTGGAGGCAACGGCAGATGCTTCAGCAAAAGTGAGATTGTTGACCGTGTAGCCTGCTAACGAGACTTTGTCGGCGGCAAGGGTGCCACGAACCGCCCCTGTTCCATACTCGATTGTGAATGGGGTGCTAGAACCGATGTTGGTGGACGAAGCACCGGCGTTGTACTTATTGAGATCAGAGTCACAGTTCTGAGCAGCGCCGCAATCTGAGTCAACGAGCCAGAAATCGGACGATCCGGTGTCGAGAACAATATTGAAGTTCTGTGCGGGTGTTCCGACCGAGAGCTGAGCGTAATAGTAGCTGTTGTGTGTGGAATCGAGGAGTGAAGTGACAGGGTGGGGCAAAGATGAAGGTGGTCAGACGCCGGAATGAGGTTGGTGGGTGCTTATTTCGAATCTTCTATGTAGTATGTACGTACCTGTCAGGACCCACATCGGTCAAGCCGATGGTTTGACGCTTCTGATGTGTGCTGGATGCGCCGAACTTGGTCCTCATGATCTCGCCCTGACGCAGAGCCCAGTTCATGGTCTTTTCGGGATCACGCTTGCCGATATCGGGGTGGAGTGCGCCATGCCTCTTGTAGACGGGCACCGAGATGGAACCTTGCTGGTCGTAGAGGGATCGCCCGAACAGTTGGAATGCCTGAGCATCGGCGAGGTCTCCCTTGTGGTCAGCATTTGCTTGGAAGGGCAGCACGTACGCTTGGATGGACGATGCGCTCACCAACGCCGCTGTGACTGTAGAGAGAAGGGCCTGGAAAGCCATCTTGTCGAAACCTTTGTAGTGATGAGGGAAGAGGGCGAATGAGGATGTCCCGACGAGGATCGGTCTGGGAGTCGGAGGCGCCGCTGTTGGTGGTCACAGAGGCAAGTGGGTGGTTGTGGTGGAAGGTGAAGAGGATGCTGCGAATACAGTCAGAGCATACAGAATGCGATTCGAAGATCAGACGTCACTCCTGTTGCGAAGCTGATTCCGCATATTCTCAAGATCGCAGCAGCGCATTGTGTGAAGGCTAAGACCAAGGCGGGGGTGAATCCAGCAAAAATTGCATTTCTAAGATCGCAAGCGTGGAGGTTGGCAACCGTGCAGAAACGGGGGGGGAAAGAAGCGAGTCAACGAGGGCCGCGGCAACGCAGGAAGGCATGAAGGCGCACTGAAGCACGGGGGGGTTTAAGCAACGGCGCAGTGGAGCCGCGAGAGCAGGAAAGCAGAATGATTTGAGAGTCGCAGGGTCCAAGAGACAGGCAAAGGTGAGCTGACGAAATCGTCCACATGCCGAATCGGCAAACGGAAGCTGAAGTTGAGGAGCAGCACAGCATCAGATGGAATTCCCGAGGGTTGCCAAGTGAGACAAACTGAGCAAGATTCTCCTTGTCTCTCTTGCCCTGCTTACCACTGCAGGGCAATTTCAGCATCAAAGACCGGCTGAGACTTAGGCTCTTATTGCTTCTCCTGAAAAAGAAGCTCTTTCAGGTGAGTGAAAGCAAGGAAAGAGCTAAGCAGCTGCATTGGATTGACTCTGTGCGCTTCACAGCTCTTTTTCATGTCCCATCAACATCGCCAGTCCGGGCTTCCTTTGCTACTCCGAACCACTTGACAGCTGACGCAATGCTCTCGCACACTTGTAATGGTTCGCAACTAGATAAGCTCAATCGTCGGTGCTTACTCGTTCAGTATCTCTTGCCAGTGCTGCCGCTCAAACTTCGACAGAGCAGCAGAGCGGCAAGGCCATGACGATCTGCATTCAGTTTCTCTCTGGTGGTGGGCGCGTCAGCGATGTGCCTTGTGCCTTGTGCCTGCAGCTTGACCGCTCTGACCTTTTGTCTGCTCGTGTCACATGCGCATGCTATATGCGCGTTGTAATGGTGTAACTAAGTGGATTGCAGGAAGGAGGAGATCTAGATGAAAGACAAGCAAAGATTTGCAAGATAGCTATCGGACTTTCTTGTCCGGCGTGAATTAGCGCGAGAAGATATCAATCGAGCATTCTCGTGCGGCTACTATTCGCACGAGAGAGTACCCAGGCGTGACAACTCGCCAAACATATCGTGAATAGCTCGCGCAACTTCTTTGGACTGCGCTTTGACGGACATCGCTATTAAGGCTCACGCTGATCTACGTGTGCTTGTGAAGACCCTTTTCCCTTGAGTAGCAAGTTATTCAGCACCAACTTTGCAGAGAGTGTCCTTGCAGACACCCATTGCTCGGTTGGCTGAGAAGATCCCCATCTTGGCAAAAGCTTGGCTTGGCCTTCTTGGCATACCAAGCGAGCGCAGGAGCGAAGCCCGGCTTTTTTGGCATCAAGACTCGTTTGTCATTTTGAAGAAGAGGAGGAAATCCGCGCCACATCAAAACAATGCGATGGATTCTCGTTTGCGATTCAACGACAACCTGCATATAGTACACTGAGGCAGCTTTGACCGTCTACGCATGCGGTGCTGCCTTGACATCCGATCCTCCGGTCTTTGACTTGGGTTGCTCTGGCGTCACCATAAAGCAACAAGAAAGGGCGCCAGTCATGACGCAAGAGCGTCAAGGCTGCGCCCGCGAAGCCATTCAGACGCAACACCGCGCCGCACATTAAGGCAATTTTCGATGCTGAATCCTTCGCTCAGCATTCGCTACACCCTCTGCACGCGAGGCCTCGCAATGAGGACATGCCAGGGCTCTCTTGCAGTGTAGAGACCATGCTGATGGCCGCGACAGGTCAGCGATCACATTAACTCATCCTTGTAGATTCTGATGGCCTTCCACTGAGCTCAAAGACGATCAGGACAACGTCGTGCTACACTAGTCGCACTGATAAACCAAGATAAATGTTTCAAGTATAGATTGAGATGCTCTGGGAATGAACTCCAGCAGTCATGGTATCGATGCCGCATACGGCTCATGAGAGCCATCCATCCTTACGTGATCGAACCAGTTCCTCTTCTGCTCATTCCGCTTCATCTTCCATTGCCAAAGGCGCTGCATCTGCCGTTCTGTCGGCAATGCATCCTCTCCAAGCCAATCGACAAGCCACCCCTCCAGCACTTCCATTTGTCTCGTGGCAACCGCCGGTAGGAGGTTCTCTTCGATCTCCAGGATTGTCAGCCCCAAGTGCGTTGTAGAAGGCCTGAGATTCAACTCTTTCATCCAACCGAGTACATTGATCAACTCTTCCCTTGAGAAGCGAGCATCCGCCAATTGTCCAGGAGAATGCTGAAGGTGCAATATCAGTCGCACGTAGCTCTCCAACACTTTCGATGTGAAGACCAGCCCACTCGAGTCGCCGGGTGCAACGGGCGATTTGGTGTCCTGTGGCCTAAAGACAGATGCGAACCAATTCTCCACCTTGGATCCCACCGTGTCGTCAGAGAAGATCCAGCCAACAGTCCCGTGCGTCTCAAGCAAGAGCTTGAGAGGATTGCGGTATTCTGCCAGTTCTGGATGCTTGCCGAAGAGAAGCGAACGGAAGACTTGCCAGCCAAATCGAGCGCTGATTCTTGACTTTCTGTCATCTTGACAAGATACTTTGAGCAACAAGCTGAGGATGTATGCATCGGGAAAAAGCCGAATCGTCTGCTGATACGCATTCCAGAGCCCTTCAATGCCAACTGACCCGCACGTGTACAAGCCGCTAAGTACGACAGACGCCAGAATTGGGTCCGGTGTTATTGTGTACCGCGAGACCTCTGGTGCTGCCGATGGCAGATCATGCTGTTGTGACGATTCTCCGGCGGAAATTTGCGTTGCTTGCGATACCTCTTGCAGCTTGTTGCGGATATCTGGCACTCCTTCTTCGCACCAAAGGTGCAGCTGACGCATCGCTTCCCCCGTTTTTTTCATCTTGAACAAATTCTGCAGGTATACCGAAAGGCAGGCGACGTTAGGCAGCAAGTCTCGCTGACGCATCGTCTGCCAGACGAGCACTGCGTATTCCGGCTGTTGACGAGCCAGACATCCTTGCATCACCATCGTGAAGGCGACTAGAGCCACCCTTGGCCGATGCGTTGTCTTAGAGAGAGCATTGGCCATCTTGACAGACGCAATGTCATGTTCATGCTTGACCGGATCCGCAATACCCAGCAGCGACAGCACGCTCTCGAGTCGCACATCTGCACTCATAGCCATCACTTCGAGCAGTTCGATGCACGTGTTGTCGAGATCTTCCTTTGCTGCCGTAGCAGAAGTGCTGTGGCTAGGCATGTACTTCTCTGCATCTAAAAAGACACGCCATGCCTCGTGCCGACCATACTTACTACGGACCAAGGCTTTGGCGAGAACGAGGTAGTCCGATATTGTTGTGTTGGCGTTGTGATTCTGATTGTACTGTTGCAGACGATTAAACCAACTCCATGCCCGTATGTCATCTCGATGGTGGCCAGCTACGTGTACAGCGCATCGGAGCGCCCGCTGCTGAGCATTGGCATGCGAGGAAAACTCTTGCTGAAGCAGTTTCTCCATCAGGTCGAGGTTAACAAATTGTTCTGAAGAAGCAGTCTTTCGTCCAGCCTTCTTCATCGAGACTTCAATGCTGTCAAGGCAGTGGGAGACGATCCGTTGACGGATGAACTGGAAGCTGTCCGCGTCGCTGCTGGTGCTTTGCAGCCCGTCGAGAAGGTTGCTCACTGCGTGTCGAGCCCTCTCATCTACAACCGCAGTACAACAACAGGTAAAATCAACGAATAGCAGCGTTGACGATCTCATCAGGTCTGGAAAGACTTCGATCAATCCCAACAGTACGTCCGTCAACCTGGGAATGAGGTGTACAGCACTCCCGTCCGGTTTCAGAATCTTGAATATGAGTGTAGAGACGCAATAACGAAGAGTTTTGAAATAGACAGAAGCATCTGAGTCCAGCTGCTTCGAAGCGTGTTGCAAGGTGGAGTTGAGGATTGCCAGCGAATCCGACATCTCGGAAGGCGTGGCGACTGTATGAATGGTGCGTTGGAGAACAAACCCTGGCCATTTGGCATCGTCAGTGTTAATCATGTGCCTGCGAGCATCTAGCCAGCTTTCGGCGAGCATGGCGTTCCGAACCGAGAGCCAGTACTCCTCTCGCACGCCATAGATGCACAGATGCTGTTCAAGCGCAGTTTGTAGTTCCTTTGGCTTTGAGGCAAGGCGAGCTAATTTCGTAGGTACCCAATTGGCAGCACCGGCCAACGCTTCCTGCAAATTGCGCGCCTCGCGATGGGCGCCGCTGTACGTCTCTGGGGCCAGCAAACGTATCGCTGTATCAAAGTGAGCTTCATGCAGGATCTTGGCGCGAGCCCGCTGCCTAGCCCGTCTGAGAGTTTCAGCCTTGGGGTCAGACCATTGTTTTCTGTTGAAATCTTTGTCTGTCCACTTACTGTACAGCCTGTCGGGCGACACTGAGCGGTTTGGCAGCGTTAGTGTCGGCTGTGCAAGTCGCCGAGGTCGCACTGTTGCACCGAGACCGTTGCTGACTGCGTGGCTCGCCGCGACGAAGGCCGTCTTTGGGGCGGCGAGGGATCTCGCCGTCATATTTCCGACATTTGAAGCTGTTGAATCATGCTCTAGCGCTGCAGTACGACCGATGGTTTGTGGTGCTGAAGGTGCGTATTGAGTGATTTGCGAAGATAGGAAGAACAAGTTTCAGTGAAAGAGTTTCTCTTGAACGCCTACATCTCCGAGTCCCGAGGTCGGAAATTGCTCAGAAGTGCCTGCACCCAAGACACACCGAAGAAGAGTGAAGGAAACTGATTGTCAAGCCTGGGTGACTCTCAGTTGAAGATTTGATGGAATTACCAGGATTTCTAGCCGAGATGCATAAAGGCCGAGTTGCCAAGAGTTCGAAGAACAAACCTGCATGATCAACATGTGGCAACCAATCAGGAGGTGCTAGAGAAAGAACAACACCATGGCAATGCATGGTATGCTCAGTCAGGTGGGTGATGGAAGGGACTCATAACAGTGGGCTAAAGGTATATATACAATTGATACTGTAGGCATAGTTCATGAGAAATCTTAAGCATTGCATCTACTATACACCTGTGCAAGAGGAGCTAGTATGTAGCCCAAACGAAGTGGTGTATTGCATAGACTTCAACTGATTAAGAGTCTGAAGCTCTACCCAAAGACTAACCATGGCAGAAGACACCGAACCCCAAGCTGGCACTAGCAACACCACCAAGAGGCAGAAGAGAGGAAGAAAAGTCATAACCATCTGACAAATGCCAGTTGACAACACAGCCATCAATGACAACAAGGCCGAAGAAGAGTCTGACATTGACCCTGATGATGATGACAGGTGATATGACTTTTGTACCCTAGCAAAGCTCCTTGAACCAGTACCAAAGCTCACTTCACAGAACTACTACAGTTGGAGCACACACATCAAGTCATTCCTCCAATCCATTCCCCATGCCATAGAACATCTCAAAGAAACTTATGATGACAATCACCTGAGATGGAGGTGATCTTTTGATGATGCTTTAACCAACGCTGTACGAGGAACTATCTGTCAGGGGTCTCGCGCCTGAAACCCAGGTCAGTCTGTCGAGATACTCGGTGACTATCAAACTGTGTGACAGCTATTGTCTCAGTATTGGTCTCGACGAGCTAGTTGTTCAGTGACTATCAAGTTGCACAATGACAGCAGGTGGCGTTCATTGTATATACTATCGTAGGTTTCGGCTGACCTCTGTGGACACTCCGTTCAGGGGTAGCTCGGCATGATCAATATCAATGTTATGATGACACCAAGGTCTGGTGTGAGTGTTGATGATGATGAGGTTGATGGTGTTGGTGATAAGGTTGGTGGCATCAACACGAGTGTCCAGTGTGTTGACTGATGCTTGAGGTGATCCCCGGACCGCAGTGGACTACTGCCTTCGGTTCTATCTTGATCCGGACCGCTAACCTGCTATGGGCACCTACGGATGTCAGGTAGTGGTGATACAACACACACACTATGATGAGGAGCAACCTTGATAGATTGCTGCTATGCTGACTGAAACTAATGTATACTTATGCTGAAGTGATAACTAGTTATATGGTGAGTAGAGTGGATGAGGATCCACTCGACCTATGATGATGAGAAAGCATGGTTATATACCTCTACTCAGCATCGCCAGCGATGCTGCTCCTGCTCTCTCTCTCCAGAGAGTACCTTCTTCATCGAGTACTGCTCAGGGGCCTCTCCTGCTTGGCACCCCTGTGCCTCTTGAGCTGTGTCGACTCCTTCGACACTGCTCCTCCTCCTCATGACCTGATGTCAACTCCTTCGACACTGCTCCTCCTCCTCATGACCTGGTGTCGACTCCTTTGACACTGCTCCTCCTCCTTTGATCAGTGACAGTTCCTTTGGCTCTTGTCTCTCGAGCCCCTGAGTGGTAACCATCTGCATGCTCCTTGAGCTTGGTCCTCTTCATGGCTGTGCCTGCTCCTTGAGCTTGGTCCTCCTCGTGGCTGTGCTTGGCCCTCCTTTGCATGTGAGTCCATAGGAGTCCATGGTCTCCATGGAGACTGCACTATGACCATGCTCTCTACTGATCTCGACTAGATCTTCGATACCTGTGCTCCTTCCATATGAACCCGTGACCCTCCTGCTTCTTGAGCATCCAGGCCCATGACACTTCCCACCAGCTTGCATTAATCACCCAGCTGGGTGACATCAGAATGTTCCATTCAGATGCCAGAAAGCAGATCCAGGAAATCAGTTCAATCCAGGCAGAAGGCAGCATCCTAGGAAGGCCCTTTGCAGATGATATGCTATTCTCAACACTTCAAAAATGTATGATCCAACATCTGGTGTACAGGGAGACAGTTGCTACAGTCCACAAACTCAGTTTTGATGCTCTTGCCACAGCCCTCAGTGCATGACAGTCAGCCCTAGAGAGTGTTCCTAGCCAGAAGCTCAACACACAACAGGCTAATGCTAGGTTTGCTGGAAATAACAACTGGGACAAAGCCTACAGAAAGACTGACAACAATGGTGGCGAAGATCCAAGGAATGAAAACAGACCCAGAAGAATCCGATGTTTCATATGCAGATGTTTCAGACATGGGGCAAGACAATGTGATGCATCAGTCAGCATCCCAAAGGATTCTCCTCTCTCCAAATCCAACTAGGAAACCTGGTGCTCACTGACTCTGGGTTGGTGGAAGATCTCAAATCCAAAGGAAATGACATGCTGGATCTTGGATTTGGGAGCTAGCTTCCACATGGTCAATAGATATAACTCACTCACTCACCCAAGAACCTACCAAAAGTGCATCTTCACCACCAGTAGCAAGGTCTTGGAGGCAACTGCTGTGGGAGATGCTAACATAGCAACTGAGTACAGAGACATACTGCTCTGGAATGTATTGTATGTTAGAGAACTCAATAATAATCTTTTATCAACCATCTCTCTAACAGATGAAGGAGCATGGGTGACCTTAGATCATATGGGCAGCCAGATACACATGGCAAATGGAACAATACTCAAAATATCAAAGAACAGTAAACATGGATTACTAGAGTTTTGGGGCAAGACATGGCAAGACAGTGCAATGATGGCATTGATGGAACTGTTTGAAGACATTGATGAAGAGCTTGAACTGGCTGTTAAGAAACACAGAACATCCACAGAACAACTCTGGCATAAATGCCTGGGACACCCAGGGCGAGATAAAGCCAAAGCTATCATAAAAGGAATAGGAAAGGACCCTATAATACAGATGGACCAAGATACAGCTCTGACATGTGAGCAGTGTATATGGTCCAAGAGCACAACTACATGGATGGGGTGAGGCAGTGGAGAAAGGTCTACAGCCCCCCTCAATCTCATACATGTAGACCTGATGATTGATACATCACATGCAACAGAGCACACATGCATATTGGTGCTAGTCAATGATTACAGCAAGTATGTATATGTGCAACCATTGGTATGGAAAAGTCAGGCATTTATGCAATTGAAAAGAGCAGTCACATACCTCAAAACACAGATGAACAGAAGCTTGAAGGCAATTAGGTCTGATCAAGGAGGAGAGTGGAAGAGCCATGAAGCATTAGAATGGTCAAAGGACAAAGGAATAGAGTGGCAAACCACAGTAGGACACAACAGCAAGCAGAATGGATGGGTGGAAAGGATGAATAGAAGTCTAAGTGAAAAGATGAGAGCACTGCTGATGCAGAGGGGGCTACCAAAGACCTTTTGGCCCTATGCAATCTGAGCCACCACCTTCAAGATGAACCTCATGCTGAACATGGACAACAAGCTGCCATATCAAGTAATGTTCAAGAAATCACCAGATCACCCCACCTGACTCCTATGAGTGTTCGGATGTCTCGCATGGGTGATGTCAGGGGTCGCATGCCTGAAACCTGAGATCGGTAGTAGTATCAATACTATTACCGATTCTGTCAAGTTATGTGACAGCACTTGTGTTATTGTGATTCTTAATGAGATATGCAGTAGAGCTGTTTCCATTACTTTTCTTGCTCGAATCTGTGATTGTGATAATGCTATTGCAGATTTCGACTGACCACTGTTGGACACTCCATCCAGAGGTAGCTTGGCATGATCAATAATGCTGTGGACTTGCTGATGACACCAAGGGTCTGGTGTGAGTATGGATTGGTGATGTCAACATGAGTGTCCAGTGTGTTGACTAATGCTTGAGGTGATCCCCAGACCACAGTGGACAACTGCCTTCAGTTCTATCGTTATCCAGATGGCTGGTTTGCTAAGAACCACCTTTGGATGTCAGGAAATGGTGATACAACACATGTACTTTGATGGGGAGCAATCTATTGATTACTACTTGCTGACTGAAACTAATGTATACTTGTGCTTAGAAGTGATAACTAGTTTATATGGTGTAGAGTGGATGGGAATCCACTCGACCATTTGTGATGAGAAGGTATGGTTATATACCTCTTCGCAGCATCACCAGTGACACTGCTCCAACTCTCTCTCCAGAGAGTACCTTCGCTGCCAAGTACTGTGCTAGAGTCTCCACTGAGACTCCTCCCCCTTGACGAACCTCGTCGCTCCTGTCTTTCCTGCACTGTATCAACTCCATCGACACCACTCCTCCTCCTCATGACTTGTTTGCCAGTGTCTGCCACACAGCTCCTCTTCCTTCAACTGGCAATGGTTCTCTTGTCTGCATATCTCCTGAGCCCCTGAGCAGTAACCGTCTGCATGCTTTGTGAGCTCGGTCCCTGTCTTGGCAGTGCTTGATCCTCCTTGCTTGCGAACATAGTCCCTCTTGCATGTGAAATTGTCATATGAATGTCATTGTCACTGATCTCAGCAAAATCTGCCATACTATCATACTTACTGCAGATTCTGGTAGGATCTGTGATATCAACTTTGTTTGTGCAGATCCCAATGAGATCTGTCATAGAACTGGGTCTCCTACTGATTCCACTGAATTCTTCTGTAAATCCACCAATCCACCTGATCCTTCGATTCCTGTGCTACCTTCATATGAACTGTCGGGTCTTCCTGCTTCCTGCGCCGTCAAGCCCATGACAGGTGAATGTCCCAAAAGTGAAATGATATGATAAGAGATTAGATCAGCAGGTGATCCCCACCATATTCATAGGATACAGCCTAGAGAGAAAAGGAAGGCTGTTTTACAGCCCAGACTACAGGCCAAACATTTTTTGGAGCAATTCAGCAAAGTTTTTGGAGGACAAAAGCTGGTCAGATCGCACTGAATGGCAACCAATAGACACAAGGCCCCCACCAGCACTAGGAGACGAAGAAGAACTTGATGACCTTGGATACACAGAGAGGGACCTGTTTGATGAGAAAGATCAAGATTCATTGCAAGAATATACTGACATGAAAGGAACAGCCGAAATCGCCAAGCGAGAGATGCCACCAGATGACGAGGACGAAACAATGAAAGAAGCCATGGAGGAGGCAACTGACATCACCTTTGGATTCAAAGCCGCAAGTGCCAAGGAAGAGAAGAATCTAAACCCCACAGTCCAGGAAGCATTGGCCAGAATGGATAGAAGGTTCTGGTTGGAGGCAATGCAGAAGGAACTGGAAGGGTTAGAAGCAATGGGCACATGGGAGATTGCCAACCTCCCACCTGGCATGAATGCCATCAATACATGCTGGGTGCTCAAGATAAAGACAGATGCAAACATGGTGCCCACAAAATTCAAAGCGAGGTTGGTAGCTAGGGGATTCACACAGAGAGAAGGAGTTGACTATATGGAGATATTTGTGCCAGTGGTGCCAATCCAATCCATTAGAGGAGTACTGGCAGTGGTGGCAATATGAGACTGGGAAGTAGACACTGTCAATGTAAAGCAAGCATACTTAAATTCAAACTTGCACCATGATGTCTATCTGAAACCACCAGTCAGAACAGAAATGCCCTTGGGAAAGGTATTGAGATTGATTAAGGGACTGTATGGTTTAAAACAGTCTGGTAGAGAATGGAACACCAAACTGGACTCTCATCTATGGAAGATAGGATTTCATTGCATGCCAAGCACACCTTGCTTGTACATGAGAGGTTCAGGAAAGCAAATCATGGTCATCACAGCATATGTGGATGACATGTTGATTGCATCGCCAAGCAGAGAAGAAGTAAACTGCACCAAGGTGGAGATAATGGTGAAGTGGGGGACCGAGGATAACAGACCAATCAAGGAGTTCCTCAGAATCAATATCACCTGAGACTGGAGTTGGAAGCAGATCTCATTGGACTTGACAGCATACATCCAAGTGATGGCAAGTAGGTGGTTAGAAAAGATGATGCAAAAGTCTTGGATACCTATGTTGAGTATAGCAGCAATCACTGATAGTGACAAATGTGACCCAGAACAAGCAAAACGTTATCAGGAACTTGTGGGACAACTACTCTGGATATCAAATATGGCAAGGCCCAACATCTTGTTTGCTGTTGGGATTTTGGCATGCCACATGTTGATGCCAACAACTGGTGCCTGGAGTGCAGCAATACACTTACTGAAATATCTCAACCAAACAACTGACTACCATTTACAATTAGGAGGACAGTCGACCAAACATGTGGGTAACCTGGTAGTCATGTACACCAATGCCAAATGGGCATCAGACCCCACAAATGGGTGTAGAAGCACATCTGGCACAGTCACATACATTTTTGGGTGTCCAGTGAGTTGGAGATCACATGTCCAGAAATGTATAGCACTGTCAGCAGTGGAGGCAGAATTTGTTGCTGCATCAGAAGCCATGCGAGAAGCCCTTTTCTTCTCATACTTGCTCAGAGACTTAGGAGAACAGTGTCATGGGTTTGAATGCTCAAGAAGCAGGAGGGTCACTGGTTCATATGGAAGGAGCACAGGTATTGGAGATCTAGTCAGTTCATATGGAAGGAGCACAGGTATCGGAGATCTAGTTGATACCAGTAGAGAGCATGGTCATAGTGCAGTCTCCATGGAGACCATGGACTCCTATGGACTCACATGCAAAGGAGGACCGAGCCCATATGCAAGGAGGGCCAGGCACAGCCATGAAGAGGACCAAGCTCAAGGAGCATGCAGATGGTTACCACTCAGGGGCTTGAGAGACAAGAGTCAAAGGAACCATCACCAGTCAAAGGAGAAGGAGCAGTGTATAGGAAACCGGCAAGCAGGTCCTGAGGAGGAGGAGCAGTGTTGAAGGAGTTGACACCACTCAGGAGGCACAGGGGTGCCAAACAAGCAGGAAAGCAAGGAGAAGGAGCAGTGTCGAAGGAGTCGACACAGCTCAAGAGGCACAAGGGTACATAGCAAGGAGGAGGAGCAGTGTCGAAGGAGTCGATAGCTCAAGGAGGACAGGAGTGGTGCCAGAGGGGCCCCCTGTACAGTACTCGATGAAGAAGGTACTCTCTGTAGAGAGAGCAGGAGCAGCATCACTGGTGACGCTGTGAAGAGGTATATAACCATGCTTTCTCATCATCAAAGGTCGAGTGGATCCTCATCCACTCTACACACCCATCATAACTAGTTATCACTTCAGCATAAGTATACATTAGTTTCAGTCAGCATAGCAGCAATCTATCAAGGTTGCTCCTCATCATAGTGCATGTGTTGTATCACCACTACCTGACATCCAAAGGTGACCCATAGCAGGTTAGCAGTCTGGATATAGATAGAACCGAAGGCAGTAGTCCACTGCAGTCCGGGGATCACCTCAAGCATCAGTCAACACACTGGACACTCATGTTGATGCCACCAACCTTATCACCAACACCCTCAACCTCATTATCATCGACATTCACCAACCTTATCACTAACACCATCAACCTCATCATCATCAACACCCACACCAGACCTTGGTGTCATCATAACCTACACATTGATATTGATTGTGCCGAGCTACCCCTGAATGGAGTGTCCACAGAGGTCAGCCGAAACCTATGATAGTATATACACAAATGCCACCTATCACGCAACTTGATAGTCGCTGAGCGATAAGCTCATCGAGACCGATACCAAGACAATAGCTGTTGCACAGTTTGATAGTCACCGAGTATCTCGACAGACCGACCTGGGTTTCAGGCGCGAGACCCCTGACAAACAGAACATTAAGCTGGTGCTTCATACAGACAGTCAAGGATGCATGCAGGTTAGCAAGGACCTGGCAAAACACTGGAAGCTAAAGCACATTGACACCAGATATTATTTCATTAGGGACCACATGCAGGATGGGGACATAATGATAGAATACATTTGAACAGCCAAAAACATTGCAGATGTTCTAACAAAGCCACTCAAGGGGGTAGACACATCATGGCTAGCAAACCTAATTGGCCTGGGAACACCATCAAGGGGGGGAGTTGAAGATTTGACAGAATTACCAGGATTTCTAGCTGAGATGCATAAAGGCCAAGTTGCCAAGAGTTCGAAGAACAAACCTGCATGATCAACATGTGGTGACCAATCAGGAGGTGCTAGAGAAGGAACAATGCTGTGGCAACACATGGTATGCTCAGTCAGGTGGGTGATGGAAGGGACTCATAACAGTGGGCTAAAGGTATATATACAATTGATACTGTAGGCATAGTTCATGAGAAATCTTAAGCATTGCATCTACTATACACCTGTGTGAGAGGAGCTAGTATGTAGCCCGAACAAAGTGGTGTATTGCATAGACTTCAACTCTCACTCGTGCGAATACTAGCCGCACGAGAACGCTCGATCGATATCTTCTCGCGCAACACATGCCGCAGCAGGAAAGTTCGGTATCTCGCATACGAAGGTTCGATAGCTATCTTGCAAATCTTGCTTGTCTTTCATCTAGATCTCTTCCTTCATGCAATCCACTTAGTTACACCGTTACACCGCGCATATATCCAGCGCATGTAACACTGAGGTTCCGAAAAGCACTTGGAAATCCTCACCTGGACGCACCTCAAGCCAGGTCTCCCACAGACCGCCGTTGTAATGACGTTCCCCTCTTGGCAAGACACAAACTACATGTGGCAGCAAAGCGTTGAAGTTGTTTTACATTGGTACAGGAGGAGTGGCTACTTAGAAACTAGTTGAGCAGCCTGGTCAGCGACGATCATGGCAAACTCAGCGCTATTGATGTGATGTTCGAACGCTTCGATGGTGACAGGACTTTGCAGATTGCTTTGGGAAGCCTTGCTCTTCAGCGCCTCTCGAATGCTCCCATGCAAGGCTGTCCTTGCCTCTGGATTGTTCCACACACCTTCTGCACCGTCCATTGCCGAGAGACCCTCGCGGGGGAACAGAATGCGGACAGGTGCGGCGTTCCGACCCTTCTGCAGACGACTCAGGCCTGTCGTTAATTTTTCAACGATGTACTCCCCAATCTCCTTGCACTGTGCTGCTGATGTTCGAACCAAGGTTACTTGACTGTTGTGTTCGTAAACTGGTGTTCCGTCCTCAGTGTAGTGCATTGGCCCATCGTCCTTGCTATTCTGGAGCTTGATCCTGGAGGGCAAGGATGAAAGTGAGCCAAAGTTGATCATGTCAAGAGCACCGACAGACACGACCTGCGGAACACCACATTCAGCTGCAGCAGTGAGACGATCAGGCCCTGCAGATAGAACTCCGTTGTAGAGATGGTCGCAGACTTCTGTGGTTGTAAGATCGACGAGACCTGCAAAGAAGCCCTCTCGAATGAGCCTCTCCATGCTTCGACCCCCTGAACCCGTTGCGTGGAATGCCACTGGTTCGTATCCTCGCTCTTTCAGAAGATCCGAGATTTGATTGACAGCTACTGTAGTGACGCCGAACATGCTGATTGCGATCATCGGCTTGTGGTCCTTTTCCTCAGCTGGTGAGCTCGATTTGTCTTGCTTCGCGCCATGATGCATATGTGCCATTCCGGAGATGGCTGCCAGGGCGGATTGTAGTGTCGTGAGCGTGATATCGTTCATAGAGCCAGAGATGTCTGCCACCGAAGGCATGATACAGATGTCGCTCTCACCTAGGTATTCGCTCACATCACCACTTGCCATCGTCGTCAGCATGAACTTGGGCAGGCCGATCGGGAATGTAGGACTGCGCATGATTGATGTAGCGAACGCCGTGTTCTGACTGCCGCCAAATGAGGCGATGGAATTGAGCTCTCCTCTTGCTTGCAAGCTGGTCAACTCGTCAAGACAAGCTTCTCTTAAAAGTTGGCGAACTTTGGATCGCTCGGCATCTTCGGCGAATGCGTGTGTCCCCAGCAGGTCCTTTGGTCGATGCAATTTGGATGACGCTCCCAGATCGAAAGATAATGGGCCTTCAAATGGTGACCGGGTGCTTGCGTCGAGGAGGACTACGTTACAGTTATGCTTTTCCAACCATGAGGTTGCAAATTGGTACTCGGCTTGCTTGGTGTCGAGAGTGCCTATCAAAGCCACGAGGGGTTTGCTTCCTCTGGCAGTCATTTTGACCACTGGTGCAGTGCAACGGTGGCCGCTATTGTGTTGAAGCTTGGTGTTGCGACCTGACGGAAGGGTAGTGCTCTGCTAGGCTGGGATTGCAATCCTGGATGAAGGATAGTCTCGGTTGTCTGATTCCGGAAAGATGCCGAAGGCCACGATGCATGCCCAACTGCAGGTTTGCATGTGGAGGAAAAGCACGCACGGGACAGGGTGTCAATTTTGTCATACTGCGCCAAACAAATGTCCAACCGACGGTCGAAAGCCTCCTGATATTTCACCTCCAGCATTCTTCTCGACAGTCAACACACGACGTCCTCGACCAAGCTGCAAGATCACAATGTCATATTCGGAACCGCCGAAAGATGGCAGGGAAGCAGCAGAAAGGCTTCAGGCCACTGTCAAAAGCGGCAAGCCCATCATTGGTTCTGGTGCCGGTATTGGCCTGTAAGTGAACGACGTGGAGAGGACATGAAGACATGGCAAAAATGTCGAGCAGGTGGCTGACTGTCCACCTACTTGCATGGTTACCACAGTACCGCCAAGTTTGTCGAAAAAGGTGGAGTGAGTATGCCTGACGTCGATGCTCACCACGTGTAGAAGTGAATGACTACTTAGCTGATTGTGACGCTTTCCTTTCGGCATCTTCCGATACTCACAGGCGGATTTGATCATGTCAGTCGGACTACGAAAGATGTGCTCGGATGGTTGATCATTCACTGCTGACAAGTTGATCATCTAATCTATTCCTTCAGCCTTTATAACTCCGGCAGGTATCGCATGGCTGGGCGCGGTTCGCTGGCGGGTCTGATGCCATACGGCGATGCGAATGCCATCGTGGTCGAAATGGCAGCCGAAGTCCTTCCAGTCATCTCGCACACTCCTGTCCTCGCCGGAGTTTGTGCTTCGGATCCATTCCGATCGATTCCCAAGTTTCTTCGCCAACTCAAGGATATCGGCTTCGTAGGCGTGCAAAACTTTCCCACGGTTGGCTTGATTGACGGTAACTTCCGACAGAACCTCGAGGAAACAGGAATGGGCTATAACAGGGAGGTGGAGCTCATGGAGGAAGCCAAGAAGCTCGGGTTGCTCACCACACCATACGTATTTAATGTGGAAGAGGCCGACAAGATGGCAAGTGTCGGGGTCGATGTCTGTGTGGCTCACATGGGTTTGACGACCAGCGGCAGTATCGGAGCTCAGACTGCCATGAGCTTGGACGATGCTGTCAAGCTGACCTCCGAGAGTGAGTTCAGCACAGCGCTTCTTGTATGGGATGCTCAGATTGATGGAGCCTGAAGACTGACGCTACTTTTGCTTCTTCCCCCCCCCCCCCTCCTCCTCCTCCTCCTCCTTATCACCATCTGGCCGGTCTCACGCTGCAATTGACAGTCACCGCCAAAGTTCATTCCATCTCGCCTGATACCATGGTTCTTGTGCATGGCGGACCCGTGGCATCTGCTTCTGACGCTCAGTACGTCCTCGAGCGCGTTCCTGGTCTGGCAGGTTTCTACGGCGCTTCAAGTATGGAAAGACTTCCCGTCGAAGTGGCTTTGGAAGATAGCATGAAGGAGTTTAAAGGCCTCAAGGCCTCATCATCGAAGTGAAGACTCTGCCAACCTCGACTGTAAACAAACTCATCGAAATAAAACGCAGCCTTCCAGCGAACTCAAAGTGCGATTGAAAGAGAGTCCTTGAAATTGCGCAAAAAGTAAGACACAAGATCAGCTTCCCTCTTAGCAAGCACTCGGACGGTCCTTTGCAGGTGTGTGATTCTGTATCAATGGATTAGAAAAACACTGTCATTAAAAGGATGCCTGTATCTGTGGATAAAATGCTACTTGCTAGGAATCGTTGTCACGACAGGAGCCCATAGGGCTCGAAGATCCATAACGATCATCGTGGCTAGGGGCAAAGCGAGTTGAGCCTGCTCCAGCCGAAGTGGAAGGCCGACGCATTAGACCTTCTCGAGTAGAGCCGCGTTGCTCGTGGATCAGCGAACAGCGACGCCCAGACGGATCTTCCTCACCATCGCTAGAAGGGCCATCTCGCGAAGACGGCATGCGACTGTAACCATTACTGCTGCCAAATCGCGGTGCGGGAGCATCGCCCGAGGTGAGCGGACGTGACCAACTGCTCGATCTGCGGCCGGCTCCGCTGTCTTCGCTACCCTGTAGCAGCATAGCGATCGAGCTCGAGCCCGGTCGACTCGGACCAAGGCCAGATTTCAACGGTGGCAACGTCAGCTCGCGCGCGCCAAGAGCGGCACTGCTGCTCGATCCCGGTCGCGAGCTGCTTCCCTCTCCACGAATGCTTGAGCCGAAGCCAAGCGTCGCTCCATTGCTCAAGCCCAGTCTGCGAGAAATGGCATGCGCATCTGGCGCTGTACTAGAGCTGGGTCGGCGCCAATCTTGACCAGAGCCACCGCCAAGACGGTCGATCGATGGTCGCATGGAAGCAGCGCTACTTTCGCGAGGCAGGGGTGGCGGTTGGAACATGAAAGGCGACGCATTGTTGGTCGGGCTCGTCCGGAGATCCGAGCTGTCGGTCTGCAATCTCGTTTGTCCGAGCTCTTCGCGATGACCATAGGAAGAGCCAACTCTGGACCTTCGAGAGTCATTCCCGATGAGCTCGTAGGCTGAGCCACGGCGCGCTTCAGAAGCCCGCGGATCTCTGCGCTCGTCCAAGATGGCCAGCGTCGAAGAGAGTGGGGGCAACTCTTCGGCGCTCGCCTGCATGGAGCCGCGCGGCTTGCCTGCGATGGACGAACCAGACGTAAGCGGTCGACGGTCATTATACCAGGTCATCGACCCGTTGTTGGGTCGATCCACGTGCTCCGAAGCGATCGGCAACCTGGCTTCGCCTCGCAGACTGAAGGATGGGCGCGCCGATCGCAACGAAGAAGGCGGGAGGGATGGCTTGGGCGCCTGAGAGCCATCCGCCGCATTCGCTCCTGCTGGACTGGTGTAAGGGCGATAGTTGCTGCCGTTCTTGGCCTCTTCGGCGCGGTCGAGCTCTGCAGAGGTAGCAAGCAGCTGCTGGTCGATGCTCGGTAGTCTCTGCGAAAGCATGGTGCCAGGTCGACTGCTGCCGCCCAGCGCTGCAGCGGTACCTGGACGACTTGCACTTGGCGTGATGGACGACAAAGGTGGCAGCACAGGGCGATTGTGCGAGGTGAGAGGCCGGGTGCCGTGAGCGCTACCCGGTGGACGTCCATGAGAGCTACCAGGGGGCGGCAGAAGTGGCGCTGAGCCTGCGTCGAAGGATGCCCGGAAACTACCTCGCGAAGGTGGCGGGCTGGATGCTCGAGCACGCTTTGCCAAGGTCGGTGTGCGCATGTGCAAATGAGCTGAGAGAGTCGATTCGAAGTGAGAGCCTTGGTCTGCCTCGCGTGACTCGCCGTCCGCCAAACCACTGTGGTAATGCGATGGGAAGGCGTCTTCGTTCGAAGAGAGCACGCCTGCATTCGAATTGCGCCAGAAGGGATTGGAGAAGGCAGGCCCTTGTATGCCGGCCTCGGAAGTCTGTGGCTCAGGGCCAGCGTATTGGCTGCCGGCAAGCGCTGTTTCCAGGGGCGGACCGTTCGATCGCCAAGCTTGAGCTGCAGCAAGTTGTCCTGATGTACGTCTTTCGGTGGTCCCAGCTAGAGGGCGACCGTAGGCGTCATAGCTGGCCATATAACGGTCTGGATGGCCCTCGGGTAGCGAGCGTGGATCCTGCATGAGGCCACTTTCGGCTTGGAAAGGATTCTGAGAGGCCATGTAGTCCGATGTGGTACCTGCAGCAAGTGAGGCTGAGCCAGGTTCCGACGCGAAGTAGGGCCCGTGCGGTGCCTGCGCCATGTGAGGGGGAGGACCAGCAAAGGACTGACCCGGATGGCCTGCGGCAAAGGGCACAGGTACGCCGCCGTTAAGGCCTTGTTGCGCGTACTGAGGCGCTTGGCCGTTCCATTCCGATATCGCAGCTGGATGACCTGCTGTGGAGAAGGCTGTGCTTCCAGGGGCGGGCACCGAAGGATGGCTAGGATCGAAAGGGGCGTTGTAGACCGGAGCTGGACCATACATGCCTGGCAGGGATGCATCTGATGGATGTGACGGATCCTGCTTAGACATGGTGGGAGATGCGGAACGGTTGCTGTCCGCATTACGTGCTGCTCTGGCAGCCGCGCTGGTCTTGGCGCCTCCTTTGCCTCTGCGTCCAGTGTGGTTGTGACTTGCGATGAGCGCGCCAGGCGAGCTGCTCTTACCCAAAACCTGTGCGTGTGCATGTTGAGCTTGAGCGGCGGATTGAGCTAGAGAGGCATGAAGTGAGGAGAGCTCCTGCATCATGATCTCGTTGCGCTCCGGCGTGTCTGCGTGGACGGTTTGTGCATGTTGACGAAGGTTGTCGAGACGTGAGAAAGCTTTGCCACAGTGGCATCGGAAGGGCCGTTCGCCCGTGTGTTTGCGTACATGACGCGCAAGATGCTCGCTTCTTGTAAAGACCATGCGGCAGTCGCCAAAACCTCTGCATTGGAACATGGTGACGTTGCCACTTCCTTCTGACTTTGTACCATCAGCATCTTCGGGAGAGCCGCCAGCCTGCGTTGCAGATGGACCGGCAGATCTGCCATCGTGATCCGGTGACTCCTTTCTGGCACGTTTAGATCGAGTCACTTGTTGATGCAGCCCATCCACGCTGTCTGGTAGTGGATGTGTCGCAGATACGGCTGGTCCGTGGCCATTGCTGGATGCGGCCATCATGGGCCCAGGTGCGCTAGACAGGTGTGGCGGATAGGCGACATAAATAGCATCGGGGGCGTACGCGGATTGAACTGGGAGGGCTGCCTCAGAGTAAGGGAGACGAGGACCGTCTTGTTGTGGATGCGAGGCGAAACTGAATGGACGACCGTCATCGTAGATGGGATCACGGTAGGGCATCGAGGATGGTTGATGGCTGCGCCCAGCGAAAGATGTAGATGGACCAGCGTGCATGTCCTGCTCGAGTTTGACGGAAGGATGTATGTAAGGCTGATCTGGACGACCGGGTGCAAAGTTGGAGTTCATGGCTGGGTTGGGAGGAGGTTGAGATCGCTGCCGTGGATCATGGTAGAAGAAGTTTTGCTGATGCTGCGAAATGTGAGCGGTCTCCATTCTGTGCTGAGGTGGTAGGGCTGAGTCGTGGTCGTCGACTGGTGGACCGGCGTGTAGAGCAGAGGGATGGTGGTGCTCCATTCAGTAGGGTTTGGCGGAGATACGCCTTTATATCTGATGGGCCATCGACCCGTTACCGCTTCTTGTCAGGACTGAGTGATGGAGTGTGTAAACGTGCGATACCTGTAGGGAGCTGATACTGAGGTGCGGTTGAGACAACGAAGCGCAATTTAACTTCTGCGTAGTGGATCAGCTGAGCTTGAGACAGTGCGGAGGAGCGATGCAATATGGGCGAAGTTGGTCGAGGCTCGGCCCGAACAAGGTGTGGGTCAGGTATGCGCGCCGGGGTCTTGTAGGCAATGGTAATGCTCAGAAAGGCGAGCTGATGCTTCCGTCGGCAAGACGATAGAGGAGCGGACCTGGCTGGAAGATCAGAGGGCTATGGGATGCGCTTGAGATTTGCTGAATGCGTGCGCAAAAGGGCGATGAGGAATATGTGGGTTCTATCGAAGCACGGTGGAACGCAGCCTGTCGAAGCACCTGTGATGACGAGTCGGCAATGCTTTCGGCTTTGCTGCGGCGAGATGCGATTGATACTAAGTTGGATCCGGAGCGAGGATGAGCTTGAGATTGAGCAAGATCCCGCGGATCCTGCGCTTTGTTCTGCGTTGGTCGGCGCTGTGGACGTGAAGCGTTGCAAGTCGGTGAACGTGAGGTGACCGTCGGTCAGCTTCGTTCTGTTCGCTTCGGCACGACGGGGTGTTGATGCCGTTGGCGGGATGATCTCAAGTCGGTCGAAATGGAGAAGCGCAGCAATTTGAAAGTTTGCTCTTCTGCATTCCAAGCGTCGAGCTTGTTCTACGAAACGTCTACAGTGTTGGTGCTTCGGTATCCACCGGCGTTCGGATCCGCAATGCAAGGTCACCTTGCGACAATTCGGTAGGTCCGGACGTGCGAATGTATGTGTCGGATGAGGTGAAGATAGACAAGAAGACTATGGTCGTGAAATGGTAGAGAAAGAGAAGTTATCCTTGCCAAGGGAGAGAGACTGAGCAGTCGGAGAAGCCGAATCGGATGAGCGTGCGAGCGAGCGACTTGACACGAGTCAAAGCGCAGTCGCGGATGTCGGAGGAATCTCTGTGTGTGTGCTCGAAGAGTGTGTGACTGTGAGTGTCACTGTGACTGTGCTGCTTTTCTGCAGCTGCACCTCACGCATCTCATTCACTCACATCCACACTCACACTCGCACACTCAGGAAAATCACATTTCTCCAATTCCACGCTTCACTTGGCTCCAATTTTCAGGTCAAGTCAGGCCAGGCACAAGGCGGCGGCGTAGGCGCCGATCGAATGACAGGCTTACAAAAAGGGCGTGCCTATGGCTCTTCACAATGGTCTCACAGTTCCCTGTCTACGGTAACTTAGCGTGTTGGCGACCCCACTTGGTCTGTTCATGGTTGCCTCAGTGTACCTTTTCAACCCGCCAATCAACACGCAGGTACTGCAGCTGTTTGCTGTCCCTGCTTTGCTCTGTCGTTTTTGGCAATCCAGGGCTGGGCTTTGTTTGACGTTTGGTTTGTATGTGTGTGCAATGAGGTTGAGCAGAATTTGCAATTGCAACTGCGAATGCAAGAATTGCAGGTCAAACTTGTCTGTGGTATCGCAAATCGTGGAAATCGGCTGGCTGGTCAAGATCGAACGCAGATCTACATTCTGCCGCATTCAAGCAGCGACTGATCTTCTTCGCATGCCGTGTGCCTCGCTTTGCGGAGATCAATCTGTTCTCATTCATGCAAAGTTAGCTGGGATCTCACCTGCATCCCGTCCCGATCTCTTGAAATGCTCTCGCATACGGTTGGCACCCTTGCCCATGCAATGCCGCAGATCCTAAATTAGTCAACGCATTCAGTCATCGGACGTTGAGCCATGTGTGCAACGCAGCTACCGACAGATCCGAATCACTTGAGTGTCTAACGCTTGATCGGCTTGAGTGAGACCTTTTTGAACTTGTTTCTGTCCTCGACGTCCTAGCCGAAGCAATGCTGGCAAATGGACTTGCCGGTGACCGGTCCTGACCAACGGTGACCATGCTCGGAGTGCGTTGAGTAGTATCGAGCCGGCAAATCTTCTCCTGGAAGAGATCGCTTCGGATATCCCGGCCCGAATTTGATCTCCATGTCCAGTCCTTGGCACAAGACGAAGCACCTTGTTAGACTCGTCCTACATACAAGGAATACGCTTCAACCTAGGCTGAGCTGTCTCATGTGACACGGAAGAACGAATCCAGCAGCAAGCTTGCAGCAGAAAGTCGTACACGCAAACCTTTCTTGACATCAACGCCACGCGACTGCACGGCAATGGCGCTCCGAGGAGACTCTTCTTGCCCTGTCCCAACTTCATGGTTCGGGCAGACAAGTCGCATGTCGCTGACCAGCCACCGATTCCGTTCGTTGTCGTTTGTTCTACTCCCCTCGTCGATCACGACTTTGGCTGAGCTTACAAAGAGGCTTTGACATTTAAGGCTTTTCCGACCACCGCCCGAGCTTTTTGGGCGCGTCGTGCTAAAGAGGACGATCCAGCACCACCCTGAAAATGATTGGGCAGAACAGATTTCGAACTGAGATCGGGCAAAGTCGATCTGGTCAAACATCGGGCAGTGCCGATACGAGAGAGGGTTCGGGTACAACTACGTCCCACTCGTTGTTGCACATTGTCATTAGGTAGGAAGCACCTACACTTGGGTATGTGCCACACGCTTGTATATATACTTAGCAGGGAGTTCGAGGCTCCCGCCACATCCTTTTCTCATGTCAATCTAGTATAGTGTTTTTGCTCCTTATCTCGAACACCGTACTGAGACTGATATCTCCCGATTTCTATCGCCAAGTGTCATCGTTATTTTAACACGTCGACGGGTAAAAAGCCTTTGCCGCGGATGATCATGACAATACTTGCAAGGGTCGTCAACCCTTCTACATCCGTGCTGACCAACTCAAGGCCGAGAAGTCAAGATGTAAGAGTCGGAGTTGTGCGAATAAGGGTTGTAAGACGCATTGCGGTCTGATACTGTACACTCTGTTCCTGCAAACAGCGGCGTAAGCAGCGAGTCGAACAGCAGACCATATTCTGGGTCCGCCAAAATTCGGAAGCCGGAGACATCATCATAAAGAAAGATGAGGAGGACGCGATAAATGCCTGATCTAGCACTCGCTGGTGCCGATGATCAACGATCGGCGATAGCCGGAGCACAGTACTGCTGCTATTTCAGGGCAGAAACACTTATACTCATTGACTGATCGGACATGGTGAGAGCTTAGAACCATCAGCTCGATATGTATATACATCTGGGTGGCATATGCCAAATGTGGGTGTATCCTTCTTAATGACGAAGTCTGACAACGAGCGGGTAGGTTGTACCCGATCTCTAGTGAGATCGGCTCTGTCCGATTTCTGATCAGATCGACCTTGCCCGATCTCTTTCGTATCCGCTTATGTCAACCAACATCATCATATTGGATCGTTATCTTCAGTACATCACTCCCTGTTTACGCATCGAAACGATCTACTGTTGCCAGCTCGGCGGTGTTCGGTCATACAAATTAAGACCACGTTGCATGATGCCGTGAACTCTCCTACTTGATACAAACTTTCGTCGATCGCCTACAGCCGAGGTCTTCACGTAAAGCGTCTTGCAGAATCGGACATCGTCGGACTGCAACGTTCCTGGACCGTGAATTCAGGGACTTGTTGATGGTCCCCATCGCAACGAGCCTGCAAGGTGGATTGGCGAGATTGTATGGGAAGGCTACGAGAAGCATGCTTGCATCGCCGGTACAAGTCGCCGAAGAGAAGCGACCTTTTGTGGCTTTTGCAATGACAGCAACGCTTCTCAGAAGTTAGGTACAGGTTCATGCCTAATGACGTCAGTAGCTCATGAGGTCAACCTCACGCTTTGGCAAATCAGAACGAAGCACGATTTCAGTCTAAACGCGGAAATCGAATTAAGCATCGAAAATCCGCTGCTGAAGAAATTCTCCGAAAAGAAACAACCCGAAGCATTTTGCTTCACGCTACAGTATGAGGATTTGCCTTGGCTCCCTCAAATTGGCCGTTAAGCAGACCGAAGTGCTTGGTAAGACGCTGGAGCGAACAAATGCAAAGCAATCCCACTCGGCACAAGCTTTCCGGTCAAGTCAAGCGAATGCTCTACCCTCTCTCGTCTACTGTAACTGTTCCTGAGATTCGCTGCGTGGGCATGATCCTTTTGGAGAGGGATGCTTTTTCCTCTCATCGGTCAAAAGCGAGAGTTAGGTTCCTTAGAAGCCCACGGGCTCCACCTGTCAGACCTTCGTGCTCAATCTCAAGCTTCAAAGTCTGTTGTGAGAACAAAGAAGAAGCCAAATAACCTTGATCACGCCAGCACTGCACGCAGTAGGTTTTCGTGGGGTCAAGGCGCAGAGGCTTGCGCAGAAACCAAGCAGATTTGGCCTTGACAAAGGTGCGGAGACGAGGCTCCGGCTCAAGCTTCTCCGCCGCTTATGAACCTAATACTTGTTAAAGTAGGGCTTGTCAGAACAATCACAATAAGGCGTGTAGCACTAGTCGTGCGTCTTGTATCGCAAAAGCCGAGGAAAGCCAGGCATGGTCAACGAACGCAAAGGGAAAAGAGGTTCAATCGCCCACCAAATCCTCTCTTCCCAAAGAAGGGTCACAGGATCACTGCCAAGCCTACGATTGAGACGAAATGTGGAGCGGGATAGCCGAACGTCGAAATCAGCCAAGGCCCAAGCCTTCCGCAAATAAGCAACTCTCTGACTGCCATGCACTGCATGCTGGAACGGAGAATTTCTCTTCAAATTTTCCGAGCTCCGCTGTTGTGATCGTGCAGCTTCTCAGCGGAAAAAGACAGAGAGAGGAGAGAGGAGAGAGGAGAGAGGAGAGAGGAAGAGGAAGAGGCAAAAACAGAGCAATCAGCACATTCATCATCGCAAATCTGCTTGGCAAGGCAGGACAAATCAAAAAGTGAAATCGTCAGAACAAAAGTGACGACAGCAGTTGCATGGCTGCATTTTCGTTGCATCTTGCTGCACTCCTTCCTGTCGTGTGCTTGCACAAGGCAGCAGAATAAGGTCAAGAAAGCCCCTCCACAGCCTCGTCTCCATGCGCCCACGGGGGCCCTCATGGTTCCTTTCCTTTCCTCTCCAAGCTGCCGAAGCGAGGAGATTTTTGTGCTTTGCTTTTGCCTGACCCGAAGACCGACAAGACAGCCAACTCGGGTTCGCAGTGACTGGCTTCAGCCGTGGGCTGGTCGCATGGGCATTGTCGGCACTGCCGACACAGGGCCCCCACCGGAATCGCAGCGATGACGCTCGAAATTTCCATGTCTGCTTCGAGCGTTGATAAAACCCACATCCCGCCAAACGTCAGGTGACGCTCCTTCCCTTAGGTTCCCTAGATCTGAACTCCATCACTTGCTAGCTTTTGTCCACTCCTCCACCACCTAGGTCGACTCCTTCCTATCATACAAGAGTTCACCTGCTTTTATTTGCTTCGGGACGTCCTCCATATCAGAGCTTCGGCATTTCCGACTGGTGACTAACACCAATCGTCACTCTAGACAAACGAGACACCAGCTCCCCTCGTTCACACACACACACACACCAACAACATGGCCTTCCAGATTCGAGGGACGCCAATTGGCGCCCTCACTCTATTCATCGCAATGCTTGCCTCTATGGGTGGTTTCCTTTTCGGCTGGGGTAAGTCTTCTACTTCCAATCAAGCACTCTTCGCTGATCTCGCATTCGCTGACACCTGCTTGTGCGATTCTTGAACCCTCCTATGTTGATACAGACACTGGTCAGATCTCCGGTCTCCTCGAAATGGAGGATTTCCGTGCCCGCTTCGCTACCGTTGACTCTCCCGGCTCTGTTGGAGGAAAGACCTGGAATCCATGGATCGAGGGCGTCGTCGTTTCGCTTCTCAGTGTCGGTACTGCCATTGGCGTTCTCATTGGTGCTCCCCTTGCTGATAAGCTCGGACGACGTCGGGCCATGGTTGTCGAGTGCATCGTTTTCGACATTGGCGTCATCATCCAGGTCACTTCCTTCACCGCTTGGTACCAGGTCGCCATCGGCCGCTTGGTCACCGGATTGGGAGTTGGAGCCTTGTCAGCTGCAGTTCCGCTCTACCAATCCGAGACAGTGCCCCGACAGGTTCGTGGTGCGCTCGTTGGTACCTACCAGCTCTTTATCACCTTGGGTATTCTCTTAGCTTACTGCACAAACATTGGCACCCGAGGCTATGGAAACTCTGGTCAATGGCGTGTTCCCATCGCCCTCGGCATCTTCTTCTCCTCGATCCTTGCTGTCGGCATTCTCTTCTGCCCCGAATCGCCCCGATGGCTTGCTGCTCGTGGCCGCAACGAAGAGGCTTACAGATCGTGCGCTGCCGTTCGTGGTGCCGAGTATGGCGATGGCAACCCTTGGGTTGAGGCCGAGTACCGTGAGATCATCGCCGTTGTCAAGGCTGACGAGAGCCTGCAGGAAGCTGGCTGGATCGACTGCTTCAACCCCCGCAACAAGACTCTCTACCGTACCCTCCTCGGTATGACTCTCCAGGCTGGTCAGCAATTCACCGGCGCCAACTATTTTTTCTATTTCGGTACTGCCATCTTCAGGTCCGTTGGTCTCAGCGACTCGTTCGTAACTCAGATCATTCTCGGTGCTGTCAACTTTGGATGCACTTTCCTCGGTCTCTACATTCTCGAACGATTCGGACGTAGGTGGCCTCTCATTATCGGTGCTGCTTGGCAATCGTTCTGGCTTTTCGTCTTCGCCATTGCCGGTGTTGTCGGTGGTCCTCGCCCCGAAGAGATCTCAGAGGGTGTCGGCAAGCTCCTCATTGTCTCAGCCTGTCTCTTCATTCTCGGATACGCTTCCACCTGGGCTCCCGGTATCTGGATTTGGATCGGTGAGAGTTTCAGCTACCGCACTCGTGCCAAGCAGGCTTCGCTTTCCACCCTTGCCAACTGGATCTCCAACTTCCTCATCTCGTACTTCTCTTCGCCCATCGCCAACACCATCTACTTCTCCTACGGTTTCGTCTTTGCTGGCTGCAACTTGGCCAACTGCCTTATTGCTTTCTTCTTCGTCTACGAGTCGTCTGACTTGACACTCGAAGACGTTGACGCCATGTACAACGACCCCAACTGCAAGGCATGGCACTCGACCAAGTGGGTCCCTGCTGGTTACACCTCGCGAGACCAGATCAAGAAGAAGGATGACACTCAGGCTACCGAGGTCGGCGAATGGAGCAACTCTCCTTCGGCTCTCCCCGGCGAGCAGGAGAAGAACAAGACCAACCCTCTTCAGGTTGCCTAGATCTCTCTTGGTTTATTCGTTTGAACGCATAGCATGACTTCGTATATTACAACCATACCCTTACGAAGGTGCTGTTCACTCTGAACCCTTCGTTTCATCGCGCACCCTTGCTTGTATTGCTCACAGGAAATTGCTAGCGCTTGATCGTAGACTCCTCACAACTTAGCATTACATCTCAATGAACTGACATATCAATCTTGCGTCCCTGATCAAGAAGAATACCATTCAGACTAGCAGAAGTGTGTCAAAGAATGAATCGGTACGTGTGTTCAGAGCATGCCTCCGAAGTGAGCACTGTGCAATGATCGTTGTTATAGTAAGCGCTCAAAGCAGAACCGTTCAAGTGAGGCCTGGCTCGAAAATACCGGAACTCGGCACGTCTTTTTTAGCCCAGCGCGCAACTTGGAAAGCGCTCTGTTCATTTCTCTTGCTTGCCACTTCTTGACCCTCCTTCTCCTTCACCCCGACCTCATCAACCTCCCATATACCGCCCATCATGTCTTTTTTCGGCCTCGGAGGAGGCTCTTCACCCCCCGCGAACAACTCTGCCATCAGCTCGGCTCAGATCGAAGCAGCCACTGCCGAACTCGAGATGGTCACCGACGTTTTCAACCGTCTCGTCTCCTCCTGCCACGCAAAGTGCATCTCCGCAAGATACGCTGAACCCGACCTCAACAAGGGCGAAAGTATCTGCATTGACCGGTAAGTCCTTCATTGCTCCGCTCCCAGAATCAGCCTATAGGAGTCTCGCACCTTAGCTCACAAACCAACTTGCTCGTTGTGGGTCGACTACAGATGTGTAAGCAAGTTCTTCGCTGTCAACGGAAAGGTCAACGAGCTCATGCAGTCCATGGGTCAGGCTGCTCAGGGCGGTGCTCCTGGCGGAGGAGGATCTTTCTTCGGATAGTCGGGTCATGACACACAAAAGCAACACAGCAGTAATACGATTCATTTGTTAAAACCAAACAGTATAACCGAACCACGGCAGTCGCATGTATGTACGCGCAAGCGAAAAACTTTCTAAAACGACGAAGTAGAGCAGGAAGGCTTCGTGAAGCAAGACATGCGGAGGACCGGAAATCAGATCAGCAACCGCCACGTCGCTCCCAGTACCGCAAGAGCCAGGCACTGCTGAACGGTTCGCCATTATGTCCCATGTGAGGGAACCAGCGAAGCCAGGCTCCTGGACCATGCTCGGTGAGGATGCGCTGATCATCTATTTCCAGCGTAAGGGATATGGGTTGGAGGCGAAGTCGTAGACAAGTCAGTGAATGAGGGTCAGCAACGCTTCCATCTCGCTGCACGTTTTGGCCGCTACACGTTGACACTTACCGATTGGGAAGATCGTGTCTTCCTCTCCATTGACCGCAAGGACAAACGCGCCGTCTTGGTCGAGGAGGCCTGATGCGAATGACGGAAGCGAGACTGGTGTCAGCATGGCTGCAAAGCAATCCTTCAGGTCTCGTGTCCGGAACTCACCTTGATGAAGGAGCGAAAATTGCTCAACGTTTTTCTTGAAGGACTCTGGATCAGGGTAACCGAAGGCCTGTCCTAGAGCGCGTTGCAAGCTTGCAGGATAAGCTTGGTTCTCGGCCGCCTCGAGCCAGCTATATAGTCAAAAGTTGGAAGCATGGAAGTATGGTGAGAATGGTGTCAGCCAGCTGATCTAGTCGCGCTTCGCCTGCCAAAAGTGATGGCTGTCGACTTACGCTCTAGTGAACGTGTAGTGGCTCGCCGTTCCTTGGCTCACCGCTCTTCGCACCCTGTCCTTTTCAACGCGAGAAGCTCGCAGTGCCCAGTAGGAGCCAGTGGAGATGCCCCAGAAGCTGATGCAGTTGGCGTTGAACTCTTCGGGCCGAGCTTTGATCCAGTCTAAGATGCTGGACCAATACTCTTGTTTGGCCTGCGGCTCGCGTCCTGTAATGGGAGAATCGGCAGTGCCGGGCATTGGCACAACAACCACAGTGTAGCCGAGAGACACCAGAGCAGAGACCTGTTCGAAGGTGAAAGTGTAGTAATGGTCGAGGCCCGAGATGATGACCACGACGGACTGTGGTCCTTCAGAGTCCTTTGCGCGGAAGACACGGAGCGAGATGGCTGCTTTAGTCAGATGAAAGGTGTCAGTTCTGTTGTGCAAGGGAGAAATATAGCAAGCACAGAACTTGGAACTCACCGGAGTTTTGCTCATCCCCAGCCTCGTTCGGATCTTGTTGCTCGCTCTGACTGTCCTCGTCAACTTGTTTTTCTGTACCGTTCACTCTGCTCTTGTCGTCTTCCTCGTCGCCATCACGGCGATTCAAGTGCGTGTTGCCGCCGTCGCCTCCAGCCAGAGGCGAGGTGGAATCCTCGAAATAGTCGACCGAATCCATCAAACTGTTGCAGTGTGTGTGTGTGAGAGAGAGAGGTCAATTAGGCTTACACAGGCTGTCAACCGTGTCGGATGCTGCAGACTTACTCGAGTGACCGCTTGAACACTTTCTTGTCCATCGACCAGGCAAACAGCTTGGCCTTAGAGCGGCTGGTTTTCTCGTGCACCCAAGGGAAATAGGCGAGCTTGAAGAGATTGGCAGCTCTCCTGCACAGCGAATGAATGGAAATGGTCAACTTTCTTCTTTGTGTCACCAGGTGCTGGAAAGGTGCTAAGTGGACCCTACCTGTAGTAAGTGATGGCCTGCCGGACTCCCGAATTGTCGGTCGTGTTGATGCGAAAGTCGTCGGCAATGTGGGCGAGCGTCATGCCTGTGTAGATGAAGTGCTCAGCCCATTGGTCGTCGCCAATCTCTTTGACTGTCTTGTCTGGGTAAAGGGCTTGAAGCTTCTGGAAGACCGGTTCGAAATCGCTTTCCTCAGCGTATGCATCCACCGGCCATGCTTTGCGCTGCAGCTGTATTACCAGAAATCAAGCAGATTTGAAGAGAGCGAGTTAATTCCCAGCCCTCGCTCTTGTTTTAGGAGGGCCTTTGCCAGTTAGCGTCTAGGAGGATGAAGAGATACTCACGGCAACCTTCAAGAAGGTGCTGTACCAAGCAGAGATCGACTTGTGGTATGGATAGGGCGAGGTATCGTTCATAGCGGGCTGCCCAAAGGTGATGAAGACATCGCTGGAGGGATCAATGTTGTCGTTTGTGTCTGCGCTGTTGCAGCTAGACAGGATCAACAGCGAAATCAAGCCAATACGAAGCACTGCCTTGAGGCACTTCATTGTGCCGACCACTGCCACTCGAAGCGTTGGCAGCTCTTTGATGGATCAGTGTCGAGAAAGGGAGGGCGCTGCGAAGAGGTAAAAACTCTTAAGATGGGTGAAGCAGACTCTATGAAGCTCAGCAAGCGGCTCACCGTTCGAGGTTTATGTATGCGATGCCCAAGCTACGAAGAGATGAACTCTCTCAGACATTCAACGGGCGACACCTGGATGCCAGGCCAAATCCCTTCTCGCTGAATGCACTGTTGAAGTCCGGCTGTGCGCAGAGAAGCGCAAGCTCAAAAGCAAAGCTGCGAGGCGAGACATAGTGGCTTTCGGCATGCTTCCGAAAAGCAAATGTGCAGCAGATGAAGAGGAGTGGACAAAGGATGCCAAAGCCTCTCTCCATCGCGGCTGATATAGCCTCTCTGAGTGCCATTGCCAAGTCGAGAGTGGCATGAGCAGATTGCACTCACAGTCTTGGCTAAGCTCTCACAATTTCTCCACTTGCAAATGTAGGTCTGGGAAAATCTGAGCGTCGGCTAAAAAGAAGGTTCGAGGTGGAAAGCGTTCCGACGAGCGCGGCTTCAAGTTCCTCTTGGACGTTGCATCCTGACCCTCTTCTCCAACATCACAGTCACTTTCGGCACGCCCGATAACACACTTGCCACCAGCGCACTGGCTCGTTCAATCAAAATTGATTCCGATCAGACGCATCTCGGTTACAAGGAAACAGTTGCCGCAATGCCGTCCACGCCAGAACCAGCGCCAGCACCGAAAAGAGACGAGCGCAAAGCATGTTGGTCGCATCGAGATCGTTACTTTGCCTGCTTGACACAGAAGGGCGTCACCGTACCGCCTGGAACTGATATGAGCGATGGCAGAGGACCCGTCGGCAAGGCCGCAAAGGAAGAGCAGGAAAGATTGGAAAGGGAGAAGAAGGTGACCGCAGAGAAAGTACGCAAGCAAGATCCTTGCCTCGAGGAAAGGCAAGGCTACGAGACAAATTGCGCAAGAAGCTGGGTAAGCTCGAGCTCAAGACACGGTGGACGTTCCGAATGATGACCAAACAACTGACCTCCTTCTATTACACCGCCTCTGCTCATGATTTGTTTCTGACTAGGTCGACTACTTCAACAAACGACGAGTCCTGGAAGAACGCCAGAAGATGATGTACGCACAGGCCGAGTCAGATCGATCAAAACGCTAGATGATGCGACATTCCAAACGCCACACATTCGTGGATCAGCAAATCATCCGGCTTTCCCGATCATGCGACTCAGACCAAGTGGCGTGCCGAACTCTCATCGGACTCACCAGCAGCTTTGCTTGTCCAGCTGTCTTCGGCACGCCTCAAGGTCAGTGCTATTACCACTGTTGCCGATCGATGCCTACATTCAGGCTTGGCGACCAGAGATCACACACCATTGGCGATGCTCGCAAGCACATCTCAGCTTCAAAGTCGATTCTCAACACCTTTCTTTTACAGCACTTTTTCTTGTACACTATGTTGCTTAATTGACATTGCCAACAACCAGAACAAAACATGCTCCATGCTTACTGAGGTTCCGGAAAAGCGATGCATGGTGCACGTTCACCAGTCGATGGAGCGAGTCTCTCAGTCTGTGTGCTCAAACTTGATCAAGTAGGAGTGGTGCGAGAAATTCGGAAGTCGGGCGATTGCTTGAGGTGGACAAGATTTTTCAGGAGAGTTGCTTCTCCAACACCGCACTACGGGAAACTGCAGAGTCGTGCTTAGGACGCGCGCTTCTGCTTCAGTATGCAATCTTGAATCTCTGGGTCGAACTCAGCGACATCTGCTCATCCGACAGTTCTGTCATCGTGTCACTACATACCATCACGAGCTCCATCTTCACCTTCATCCCGAGTCAAGCGAGAGATGACCTGCGTTTGCTAATCTCGCTCAGCAACCGTACGCGCTCGAAGCGGGTTTTCCGGCCATCACTGCTGCCATCCACCAAACACCAGTTCTTGTGTAGTTTCTCGCAGACTCGCATCATCCGACAATATGCCATCTCGGAATCGCTCTCCAGATAGTCGCTCCGGCAGTGAGAGCGACCCATCAAGATCACCCTCGCCAGAACCTGGCGCAGCTCTGAAACGAAAGAGATGCACCAGCCGTTCACTGTCAACAGTGGCCAGCTCCTCTTCTCCTTCTCTCTCGCGGTCCAGATCACCACCGCCAAGGTCCAGAAGGAGAAAGTCCAGCAGAGATCGCTCACCCCCATTCAGCAGCGGCGAGGACAAGGTCAGCAGAAGGAAGGCCGCTCGCGCACGTGACGCGTTGGAAGAGGAGGCAAAGGCAAACGAGGTTGCAGCCAAGGGTGAAGCGCTGCGCTCAACTTTGGCTCAACTTTCGGCTACAAAGGCCGGAGGCGCTTACATTCCACCAGCTCGCCTGAAGGCACTGATGGCGGAGGCTGCCGCTGCAGATCCTGGCAGTGTAGAGTATCAACGTATGAGTTGGGACGCCCTCAACAAAAGCATTACCGGTCTCGTCAACAAGGTTGCGGCGGAAAACATCAAGAGCATTGTGCCAGAGCTCTTCGGAGGAGCCAATCTCATTCGTGGTCGAGGTCTCTATTGTCGCTCCATCATGCGAGCACAAGCACTGTCTCTCTCCTTCACACCCGTCTTTGCCGCGCTCACAGCCATCGTCAACACCAAGCTTCCCATGATCGGCGAGCTGCTTGTCATCCGCCTCGTATCACAATTCCGACGCTCATTCAAACGCAACGACAAGACAGTTTGCAATTCGACAGCCATGTTCATTGCACATCTCGTCAACCAAAGGGTAGTGCACGAAGTGTTGGCTCTTGAAATCCTCGTTCTCTTACTGGACAAGCCAACGGACGACAGTGTCGAAATCGCCGTGGGATTTATGCGCGAGGTCGGCGCCTTTCTTGCTGAAGAGGTTCCGAAGGCCAACAACAGCATCTTTGACCGCTTTCGAGCCGTGCTTTACGAAGGCGAGATCAGTAAGCGTGTGCAGTATATGATCGAAGTTCTTTCACAAGTGCGTCGCGACAGTTTCAAAGACAACCCGCACATCCCGGAGGCACTTGACCTGGTGGAAGAGGATGATCAGATCACACACAGAGTCAGCCTGGACGACCACTTGAACGTTGAGGAAGGGCTCAACGTCTTCAAGAAAGACCCTGACTTCATCGAAAACGAGGAGCGATACCGCTCCATCAAAGCCGAGATCCTCGGGGAAGACGAGGATAGTGACGACAGTGGTTCAGATGCTGATAGCGAGTCTGGCTCTAGCACAGACGATAGCGAAGATGGCGGCGAGGATGATGCGCAACGCCAACTCGAGATCCACGACAGAACCGAGACCAACCTCATCAACCTTCGAAGGACCATCTACCTCACTATCATGTCATCTCTCGACTTCGAGGAGAGTGTTCACAAACTCCTGAAGCTTGAAATCCCCGATGGGCAGGATATCGAGCTGTGCAATATGATCGTCGAGTGCTGCTCGCAAGAGCGAACTTATAGCAAGTTCTACGGCAATATGGGAGAGCGCTTCTGCAAACTCCACCGCAAGTGGTCAGATAACTTCGAGCAAAGTTTCCGCAATTACTACGATACCATTCACCGGTACGAAACCAACCGCCTCCGCAATATCGCTCGCTTCTTCGGCCATCTCTTCTCCACTGATAGCATCAGCTGGGCATCGCTCTCGGTCGTGCATATGAATGAGGAGGATACCACCAGTAGCTCGAGAATCTTTGTCAAGATCCTGTTCCAAGAGATGCAGCAACAGCTCGGCCTCAAGGTGCTTGCAGAACGTTTCAAGGAGCCCAGTCTTCAGGAAGCCTGGCAAGGCCTCTTCCCCAAAGACAACCCCAAAAGCACGCGTTTCTCGGTCAACTACTTCACCTCGATCGGCTTGGGTATTCTCACCGAGGACATGCGAGAGCATCTCAAGAACGCACCCAAGATCTTGCTCGCCCAGAGGCAGGCAGCATTGGCAGCGAGAGGATCAGATGACAGTGATACCGACTCTTCCAGTGTTCTGAGCAGTAGCTCGGGCTCCCGCAGTCGCAGCTCCTACTCGTCACGGTCTCGCTCATCGCGCTCCTACTCGTCTCGGTCGTATTCCTCGCGCTCGCGTTCGCGCTCACGGTCTCGCTCTCGCTCTCGCTCATACTCGACTGATTCTTACTCGAGTCGATCTTACTCGTCAAGAAGTCGAAGCTACAGTCGCAGCCCAAGCCCGAGGCGACGTCGTAGGAGAAGCAGGACACGTTCGGCCTCCTACTCCTCATATTCGTCCAGGTCGCGTTCAAGAACCAGATCTGACTCGCGGTCCGTCTCGCCGCGACGTCGTCCACTCTCGCATTCGCGCTCCTTGTCGCGTTCGCCTTCGCGCTCACCTTCTAGATCTCGCTCCCCGTATGCTTATAAAGGGCGCGGGAGGCGCTCTCGTTCTCGATCAGAGGACGCAAAGCCTCGTCGTGCTCGTCGGTCCCCATCCAGGTCGGTCTATTCCACTTCTGAATCGGATAGATCCAGATCGCGTTCCCCATCCCCGGTGCGACGACGTCAACGATCACCTTCGTATTCCCGATCGCCATCTCCGCAGCCGCGAAAGTGAAATATGAAGATGAGTCTTCTTTTCGCTTAGCAGGGCTGTAACTCCTCGTCTGCGCTCGTTCAATCATTCGACAATGCAAGCCATCGTACCACCTAAATCATTGATCAGATTACCGAGACTCTCAAGTGTATGCAGATGAGAACCGACGTGTTGTGAACAAGAGCCCACGTCTTATCACCAGTTTCAACAAGCACAGGTTGTCGCAGCGATACTGCATCCTCGCACAGTACACTAGACCTTCGAGCATTAAGTTACAAGTAGAGTACAAAGGAGAGCAAGTCGGGTATGTATGGCCCATATTTGTCAGACGAAACAGTACGGAGCTATCGATTGTGAGTTCGAAACTCAGCGGAAGGAGGCGATTGGCATGGTGAGATCCGGCTCGTCTTCAAGGAAAGATCTGGCCCACGCAAAAAGCTCTGGATCGTTGGCGTTGAACGCCCATTGCGGATGACCAGGCTCGATGCCGGGCGCGGCCGTGTGCTGAAACTTGTCCACAGAAGAAACAGGTATGGGTGTCGCTATCCCTGGCGGATTTGGGAAGTGCGACGATGGCGTGGTGGGTCCAGGTGCGACGGACTGGATGAGATGCGGGCTAGCGGAAATGCGTGGGAAAAGGCCCGTCTCGGAGCCAGGAGTAGCAGTGTAGATGGTGCGGGGTGAGCTGAGAGGATGAGACAAGTTCGAGAGACCTCGTTGGAGCGAAGGCGGCTGAGCTCGACCCATATGTCGATCACGATCAGAGCCAGGTATGGGAGCCAGCGCTGGGTCGTTGGACGGCGTGCCAGAACTGGGATGCGGCGCTCCAGTAGTGCGATGCGGATGACCATTTGTGTACGCACTTCGGTGACCATGGTTGTCATGGGCTGAGTTTGAGCCGGCTCCAGCCGCGTGCGATCGACCTGATCCATCGGCTGCACGTTCAGCAGATGACGCCGACGGGCTCGCTTGGTTTGCATGGTTCGCCTGATGTGTATTCTCCATGTCTAGAAGACGATCGATGTACCTGGCGTACGACAGGCTGGAGCCGTTCTGATGCGGCGTCCAGTTTCCGCCTTTACGCAGGTACTCGGAGACGCGCGTGACAAGCTTGATGATCCTGTTCGAGTTGATGAACGAGTAGGTGGGGGAGAGCTTGGTAAGTTTGAGCGCGATGACGACGGCATAGGTGGCAGTAACGCAGATCGAATTGTAGGAGTGAGCAAGGCGCTGAGGCGAAGTGCGGTCGAGGAAGTTTTCGAGATACTGCATCGATACCGAATGCAGGTCTGAAACGATACGTGTCGTCATGGAAGGCGGAAGTGTCGGCCACTGCAGGGGCAATGAAAGCAGCTGCATACGTGCATAGCAGATGTAGAGAGAGCCCAGTTCGAATCGAAGCGGACGAGGATGGCTGCCTGTCTGGGATGGGATGACGACCCAACGCTCTTCCCAAGATGACAAGTCGCGCTGGCAGCGATCCAAAAAATGTCGAATCCACGAGCTGTCGATGTCCGATGACTGTGATGACTGACTTTTCCCGTTTGTGGAAGCAAGGTGAGCGGTTGGTGCGGCACGGCTGCTGAGTAGGCGGAAAAGCTCTTTGTTCTGCGCCAATTGGGAACGGAGTTCTATCAGAGCAACGAACACGACATCAGTATGCAGCGCCTCTGGGTGGAGATGCCAGCCCCGTGAAGACTCGACGATGGGGTCCTTGGACAACAACGAGACACGACCCGTGTACTGAGAGGACGATGCTTCATGAAGCCAAACGTGCATCCAGGCTCGTTCACGGTTGCGCAGATGTAAGACCTCGTGCTGTTTGGCAGCGTCGCTAGCTGAAGCTGCGCCGTCTTGAGAAGTAGCGGTGTCGATTGAGCCATCTGTATGGTTGGCCGGCTGGAGCGTGTGGTTCTGCTGTGATGTACTGAGCGCTCTCGAGTGCATGTCGAGGTCGGTTGCGACGCGGATGGCGTGGCCTAGCAAGGTCCATGAACGATCCTCCGAAGGATTCTGCGCGGGGCGAAGGTAGGCTGCAAGCATGAGAAAGCCTTGAACAATCTCGACAGAACGCAGATTCTGGCAATAGATGGCGGGTAGAAGGATATTGTCGATATGCGCTTTGAGGTCATTCATGATTCGAGAGGTAGCGGGGAAGTCAGAGACAGTGGCTGCCAGCCAGCACATGGTTGTGAAGAGTAAGCAGGAGTGCGAACGGATGTACTGGTAGGTATGGATGCGTGGGTCGAAGAAGGAGAGAAGCGGTTCTAGCTTGCTCATAAAGGTATCAAACAGAACTTTGCTTGTTTCTTGGTCCATGATGCCTGCCAGAACGGGATCCCATTCGCCGCGAACATCCGGACGGACTATGTGAAGATTGGACAGGAGCTGTGCTGACTTGCCGTAGAATGCATTGCTGAACAGTGTTGTTGGCGATTCCTGGGGCAAGTCAGGTTTGTCTTGCGGCAGTTCGTTGAACTCCTCCATTGCTGTGAGTGCAGGCTTCTTGTCAGGATCGCCGGTGAGACTGGCCTCTTGTTGGAAGCGAGCTAGTTTAGCTTTCGCCTTCTTGAGGCGCTGGTACTCGGGGCGGATGCAAGAGAGTCCGTGGTCGAGGCATCGTTTGCACTGTTCAGGACCGTGCGAGATGCACTTGACTTTGCTGTTGCGACAAGCGACACATGCCAAGGTCTTGGAAGGATATGGATGGCCGGCGTTGGTGGTGGAGGAGCTAGCGGCCGGATGCGAGTCCGAGTGACCGTCGTTCGAACAGGTCGGCGAATGTTTGACTTTGGGCGCCTTCATGATCAAAGGATGCTGAAACGAGGAGCTGGCATGTATGAGAGCGAGCAGGTGGCGTTGTGATGGCTCTCTGGCAGGTCGTTTCGGCCTTGTGCCTCTGGAAGCTTGCACTGAAGGAGATGAAGATCCGGCAGCGTTCGGCCGTAAGGGTTTGGCCAGCCGACGAAAGTGGGTGCTGGCCGAATAACCCGAGTTTCGTTGTCCAGAGACGCCGGGATGGAATGGGAGCCGACTGAGACGAGGAAGCGAAGAATCAAGGCTGCCCGGTGCTCGTGGTAGTGGTGGGTATAGGGGATGACGGTATGGGATGACGGTAAGGGATGACGGTAAGGGATGATGTAGGCCTCGCCTCAGGAAGAGGTTGAGGAACAGGAAAGGTGGAGCGCAAGTTGACCGGCAGCGCATCATCTTCTTGCCTGCGGCTTTGCCTGTGCGCCAAAAAAAGGCATGACGTTCATCGGCTTCCCGGCGCTCCTGAAATACTACTCTCTATTGGCACGAAATCCATGCGACAGAAAGCAGTCAAGAAGATTATCTCGCTCACCTAGACGAACTCAGCTTTTGCTGGAGGGCAACCATGATCTTTGCTTCGATTGACGAAGCAGACGTTTCGGCATGAGACTGCGCATAATCACAAGAATGGGCAGCATGTTGCAACTTGAAAGACTGTTATCTCAAGAGAGTTGTTTCAAGAGAGGGCATCTACAACGGATTGACAACGTCGGCAGAGTCGGTCGCTTTCCGAGTCTTTACGCAGCGCGCGACAGCGTGGACATCTGTGGCGTGGTGAGCGACATACTCGGATCGTGACTCCATCCTCATCTTCTCTGCTGGAGAAAACCTGCTTGGAAACAGACTCTGCTTGACCTTGTTCCACCACGTTGACCCTTGCCACGTTGAAAAGCTCGGTAAGCTCCGAACCTAGAGAGCGAGTAGAGGAGCAGAAGAGGAGTCGGTCAGCCTTGTTGCCCACAAATTGCAAAGGTCGCTTACCGCACCGATCGTCTGACTTACCGTAGTGATCCAAAGCGGAAGCAATTGCATGCTGGCGATCCTTGATGATCAGATCAATTTCCACCTCGAACGACGTCTTAATGTGCGAAGCTTGCCTCGCTTCCTCGATCATGACGAGAGAAGCATCTCGAAGCTTCAACAACTGCTTACATTCCTCAACCGCCTTCTTGTCATTCCAAGTCTCGTCGACGCTCGGCCATCCGTTAATAAAGACCGATTCGGCACCTTTGACTCCTTCAACAGGATCACTGCTGGCACCATTGCGGAAATGGAAGATCTCTTCGCACAGGAACGGCGTGATGGGGGCCATGATGCCTGTCATTGTCCGCAAGATCTGGTCGACCACAGCCACGATCATTTGACGTCGCTCGTTGGCGCTCTCGTCCAAGTAGAGACTGTCTTTGCCCACATCAAGATATAGGTTGGAAAGCGTCGCGTTGGTGAATTCGGTCAAGCGTCGGACGACTTGAGCAAAGTCGTAGACTTCGTAGGCAGCTGCGCATGCTCGCTCCAGCTGGTATAGCTCTTGCATCACGAACCGGTCCAGCTGTGCAGTCGGATAGTCAAACAAGGTCATGTGACGTTAGTATCGCTTCCCATCTTTGTGATGCGTGAAAGCAAATTGATGCTTACCAGATTCATCTTCGCCTTGTCGAGCTTGGCCACTTTGTCGGAAGCAGGCAGATTGGCCAACATGAATCGAGCCGTGTTTCGAAGCTTGCGCAACGTCTCGGCTGTCTTGCTGATGATGACATTGCCGATCGGTGGATCGGTCGTGTAGTCGCTCCTCGCCACCCACAGTCTCAGCACATCCACTCCGTATGCCGGCTGATCCGCACCCTTGCCGCCCTGGATAATGCTCAGCGGCGAAATGACGTTACCGAGACTCTTGCTCATCTTGCGGCTCTCGTTGTCCAGCACGTAACCATGCGTCACTACCGTCTTGTAAGGCGCTACTGGCTTCTGCCCTTCAGGCGTCGTCGCTACGGCCGTGATGAGCGACGACTGGAACCAACCGCGATGTTGGTCAGAGCCTTCCAGGTAGACGTCCGCGACGCTTGTTGGACTCGACGACAACACTTGAGTACCCGCATTGTCGACGGCGATCTGATTCCTGAGTGTAGCCCAGGAAGTACCGCTGTCGAACCAGACATCGATTGTGTCCTCTCCCTTGCGCCATGATCGCTCCTCGTTACGGTATTGAGGTGCAACGAATTCTTCTGCATCCGCTTTCCACCAATAATCTGTGCCGTGCCTTTCGAGCAACGCAGCGATGTGCTCAATATTCTCCACCGTCATCAGCGGCTCGTCTGTCACAGTGTCGTATAAGACAGGAATAGGAACACCCCAGACACGCTGTCGAGAGATGCACCACTCGGATCGACCCATGATGAAGGACTCGAGTCGCGAGCGTGAGTTTATCGGTACGAACGTGACATCTTGCAGCGCTTCGATGGCCTGCTCTTTGATGCGATCCAGATTGGCGAACCACTGTGCTGTTGCGCGAACGATGACTGGCTGCTTTGATCTCCAATCATAAGGGTATTTGTGGCGCAAAGTCTGGGCACTGATCAGCGCACCGCGCTCCTGCAAGATAGCCGTCACTTCCTTGGCGCCTTCGCTAATCACCTCTTTTCCTAGCAGTCTCTGTCCGAGCTTCGTGTCATCCTCGGACGACCCTGCGGAAGATGCGGCGTCCAACTGCAGAATATCAGATGAGTAGCGTCCCTCGTCGTTGACCGGGGAGAAGATGCCATCTCGGTGGATGTGACCTTGTTGCTTCCATATTTGGTAATCCTCCGCACCATGCGCAGGAGCCGAATGTACCAGTCCAGTACCGGACACTGCTGTCACGTAGTCTGCCATGAGAATTGGTCGCGGCTTGCTGTCTGATGCGCTCAGCGGAGTTCGATAGGTTGAGTCGGTTAGATCGGAGCCGCGGACGCGGGCGACCTCTTCAAGAGGGCCAAAAGTAGGTCCTTTTCCGTCTCCTTCGGCGTCCCTCTCTCCTACAACTATGCTCGAAGGAAGAACTTGCAGAGCTTCGATGCGGTCCGTTCCCACAACATAGTAAGGTCCTTCTCTTCCAGCTCGTCGAACGATGCTGTACTCAAGGCCAGGGTTGACGTTGACAGCCATATTCGATGGAAGTGACCAAGGCGTTGTGGTCCAGATGATCAGGTTGAGCCTATGATCGAAATCGGCGTCTTGTCCCAGCTTCTGCAGCAGCTCGGGTCCGGCAATCATTTTGAAGGCGACATACACGGCCTTGCTAAGGTGGTCCTCCCTGTACTCTAGCTCCGATTCAGCGAGCGCGGTACGATTCGAGGGAGACCAATACACTGGGCGATACTGACGGTATATTAAGCCTTTGCGTACCATCTCTCCAAAGACGCGCAGCTGTCGAGCCTCGTAGGCCGGATCGAGGGTCCGGTATGTCGCGTCGTTGCTCCAATCAGCCATAATACCAAACTGTCCAAATTCGCTCTTCTGAGTCTCGATCGCCTTGATTGCTTCGTTACGAGCCCTTTCTCGGATGTCGTGCGCCACCAGCTTGTGCCGTTTGTCCGGCTTGACGTTGGCAAGCGCTTTGGCCTCAATGGGCAGACCGTGGCAGTCCCAGCCAGGCATGTAGTGGACGCGCTTGCCGCGAAGCACTTGATAGCGGTTTGTGATGTCCTTGAGAATCTTGTTGAGAGCATGGCCACAGTGCAGGTTGCCATTCGCGTAGGGTGGACCATCGTGGAAGACAAAGTCGCCGGAAGTGCTGGTTCTGGAACGTTGCCATCGATACAGCTCTCCACATGTCCTGTCGTAGAAGAGGTGGTCTCGTTGGGCAGCACTGGCACGGATGCTGAAAGGTGTGTTTGGAAGCTGCAGAGTATGCGAAAACTCTTTGGAAACTTTGTCGCTTTGGTTGCTCTCTCCCTTGGTCTGCTTCTTGAGCTTGAATGCCGAAGCATGGAAGTGCCTGGACGTTGGCTCATTGTTGAACACGTTGCTCGAAGGGAACGCTAAATAATCAGCCAGTGTCCTGGAGAACTTCGCTGAAGCGAGAGAGACGGTGAAAGCGTTGGATTGTAAAGCAAGGCAGCGGCCCGCTGCCCGAGTGTTGCGCGCTGCTGTAAGTCGCACTGATGACATGGCGAGGACGAGGAAAAGGGGGTGTTGCGGCTCCTTCAACATACGCAAGTCTTCCACGGCGACTTTAGTCCTCCTTCGACAGCCGACTCACTTTGAAAGCCGTCGTATGATCTGAGAGCCCTGCTGCTTTGGCTCATGATCCGATGGCCATAGTTGCTGTGAGTCTAGTGAAGTGTTGTGTAGCCAAGAGGAAGATACAGCGTTCCAAAAGCTCGTACAGAAGTACACTTTCTTCTCATGCAGCCTCTCGAGTCCCGGCGGGCCGATTCTTTTTTTTTTTTTTTTTTTTTTTTTTTTTTTTTTTTTTTTTTTTTTTTTTTTTTTTTTTTTTTTTACCGCGCTGACTGTCTGCTTGTTGCCAGTCTCACAGCGTGCATCACGTGATCGTAAGGAAGGCGTGCGCGTCTGAGCTGGACTCATCCATCGACTTCCCACTCATCATTGCTCCTTCCTTCCCTCCATCATCCTGTTCTTGAGTCGAGCGTACTAGACGCTGTCGACTCACTTTTCCTTGCCCTCCCTGTACTCCCATCCCTCTGGCGCTCGTTCCTGCGCTCGACCGGCTCCCATACGGCGGGCCGGGAGCCTCCTTGACGAGCTTCGAGGATCTCACGGGTCCTCGCCTGCAAACCAATTATGCTTCAAAATAGTCTTCGTTATCGTGCGATTGAGTCTAGCTGGGATGTAATTACTTTTTTTCTCCTTTTTCTCTCTTCTCGCCTCACACTGTTGAAGTTTGAAGACGTTTGGGTCCCGATAACTGGCGATCGGGGATAGTCTAAGTACGATGTCACTACTTCTTTAAAGGGGGTATCAAAGTTTTTGCGTTTTTAAAAACCCGGGTTTTTTCAAGAGCGCATTTTTCAAAAAAACGCAAAAGCTTACATAAGCTCTGCAAAGGGAAAAAAAAAACCGCATTTCAAAAATGCAGCTCAGGAGGCATGTTTGTGAAAACACGGTTTTTTTATCACTCCACATCTTCTCTCCTTTCCTCACTCTTGTCGCACTTTTGCTCACTCCCTCTTCCTTGTGCTCTTTCAACATGACCTCCTCCACTGATGATTCTGGTGACATCTCTGCAGAGTTGTTATGCCAATCCACTACACCTACAAGCTCTGCAACTCAGACTGAAAGCATGCCTGCACTGTCTCAATCTGGTTCTACAAGTGCTCCTGACATCCACACTTCCTGTCCAACTCAAGCCTCTAGATCTGCCACAGGCAAGAAGAACTTGACATGGTTGGGTGCCAATGTTCTTCACCTTGTCATGATCCTCTACAACAACGACTCCTACCAGCGCACTCTGCTGCCATCTTGAGAATCGGCTGAGAGTGATCCAGCCCTCAAACTTTGCAAACATACCATTTTTCGGGATATCTCCAAGATGATTTTCCCAGGTGCATCTGTCGATCCCAATTGCATCAAGTCCAAGCTGAGGTGGCTGCTAGAGACATACTACAGGGAGAAGAAGAAGCTTTCACCCACTGGAGCTGGTACACTGCTGGAGGACATGGATGCATCCAACCTGGTAAGTTTTGGTGATCTTCATTGCTTGCAATAGTATGCTTGGATGCTGATTCATACTTTCAATTTTAAACAGTCCTATGTATCTTGCATTGCCCTGTCAACAAAGTATGCTTGGTTTGAAAGGATGCATGAGATGATGAATGGCCAATTCAATGCTGATCCCACAGCACTTATCACAACTCCCAGTCTCGACTTCACCAGTGATGATGAGCCTGACATGCCTTTGAATGGCTCAGCTGACATACCCATGGATATTTGTGGCAGCAAGCTGTATGATCACAGCGCTCACGGCCATGGTTTGCCTCCTATTCTTGACTTGATTGAACCCACCAACCCCCCGGCTGCTGTTGCATCCACTTCTGGTGCATCCTTTGCTGGCGCTGGTGATGATGACATCTTTAACACATCTTTGCCTCCACCTTTGCAGGCTTGACCACCTTCCTCCACTGCTGGCGGTTTGGATGTCTCTGATTCCACCTCTTCTCAATCTTCAGCCCAGCTCTCTCCCAGCACCAAGTGCAAGCGAGGTGCCCTTGATCACAAGTGCGACACACTTGCTGAAGCTTTCTATCGTTCTTCCATTGATACCCTTCAGATCCACCTGCAGCTTGAACAGGAACGCACTGTCATGGGCCTGGATGCTCAAGAAGCAGGAGGGTCACAGGTTCATATGGAAGGAGCACAGGTATCGAAGATCTAGTCGAGATCAGTAGAGAGCATGGTCGTAGTGCAGTCTCCATGGAGACCATGGACTCCTATGGACTCACATGCAAAGGAGGGCCAAGCACAGCCACGAGGAGGACCAAGCTCAAGGAGCAGGCACAGCCACGAAGAGGACTAAGCTCAAGGAGCATGCAGATGGTTACCACTCAGGGGCTCGAGAGACAAGAGCCAAAGGAACTGTCACTGATCAAAGGAGGAGGAGCAGTGTCGAAGGAGTCAACACCAGGTCATGAGGAGGAGGAGCAGTGTCGAAGGAGTCGACACAGCTCAAGAGGCACAGGGGTGCCAAGCAGGAGAGGCCCCTGAGCAGTACTCGATGAAGAAGGTACTCTCTGGAGAGAGAGCAGGAGCAGCATTGCTGGCGATGCTGAGAAGAGGTATATAACCATGCTTTCTCATCATCATAGGTCGAGTGGATCCTCATCCACTCTACTCACCATACAACTAGTCAATACTTTAGAAACACAAGTACTCATTAGTTACAGTCAGCATAGCAGCAATCTATCAAGGTTGCTCCTCATCGTAGTGTGTGTGTTGTATCACCACTACCTGACATCCGAAGGCGCCCATAGCAGGTTAGCGGTCCGGATATAGATAGAACCGAAGGCAGTAGTCCACTGCGGTCCAGGGATCACTTCAAGCATCAAGTCAACACACTGGACACTCATGTTGATGCCACCAACCTTATCACCAACACCATCAACCTCATTATCATCGACATCACCAATCTCATCACCAACACCATCAACCTCATCATCATCAACACTCACACCAGACCTTGGTGTCATCATAACATTGATATTGATCGTGCCGAGCTACCCCTGAACGGAGTGTCCACAGAGGTCAGCCGAAACCTACGATAGTATATACAACAAACACCACCTGTTGTCACTGCACAACTTGATAGTCACCGATACCGAGACAATAGCTGTTGCACAGTTTGATAGTCACCGAGTATCTCGACAGACCGACCTGGGTTTCAGGCGCGAGACCCCTGACATTAGAGTGGATCGTTCAAGCAGCTCCTCATGATCACCATGATGGACCCAGACCTCAACAATAAGCTCGATAGACTACTCACTCTATTGGAAGCACAGCTAGAGCTTACCAGACAGGGTCATTGAGAGGAACGATTACAACAAGCTCAACTGAGCAGGGAGGAGACAATGGACCTCTCTCACTCAGAAGACCAAGCAGGAGGAGGAGATGAGTCTATGATAGGAGACCCACATACTCCTACTCCGGCTCCACAACCAAGACGATCAGTCTCATTCAACCTGGATGAGCAGGAGGACATCAACTACAAGAAGTATGCTTCACCTACTGGGCCAAGATATGTCAAGACTAAGCTGGACCCCTACAGCAGGACTAGGATGGACCCTTACCCCCTGGACCATGAGGAGGATACCAGCATCATGGCAGAGCTTAACCGGTCAAAGCCCATCACCACCCCCTTTCCAAAGTTCAATCCCCGAGACATGGAGATCTTCATTCTAGAAGCCGAAGCATGGTTTAAGTTCAACCAGGTGTATGAGCAGTCTAGGATGATCAATCACATGGGTGCTCAACTGGAAGGGACAGCAAGAGAGTGGTGGACCTCCAAGCTCCGTATTGATAGAGCTAGAGAAGGAAGGTTGTTCAATGATTGGCACTACTTCACAGAGCGACTGTCAGAGCAGTTCAACCCACGCAATGCTAGGATGGAGGCATACAACAAGCTGTTGGCTCTCAGACTCACAAGTGATGCTCCTGGTGCCGCCACACGTCATGTAGAGCGGTTCAGAGACTTGGAGGGACAGGTCAACCTAGATGACAACGAGCTAGTGATTGATCTCTTCAGAGGTAGCCTCACTCGTAGCATACAGGAGAAGTTCGAGAGGAATCCACCTGGGAAGAGATGGGAGTGGTATCGAGAGGTTGAGGAGATCGATCGACAGAGGATGCTACTACAGCAGTCCTTGGCTAGACACTCACTCCCAAATGCCACGTCACCTCCACTAAGAACTGGGTCTCGGCCAAATCAAAGTTCGATCCCCATCTGACAACCCACTCAACCTTATCCAGCTCGATCACCATCACAAGCAACTACACAAGCAACTACACAAAACCTAAACCGACCCCTTCCTCATCAACCCACCCAAACCTCGAAGCAAGGAAGCCCTGCTCCTTCAGGTATCAACACCTGTCATGTATGCAAAGGTATCGGCCATTGGGCCAGAGACTGCCCCAGCAGGAGGGTAGACCCTCTTAGCTCTCGACCCATGGGACCAAAGGTTATGGTCACCACAGCAGACCCCTTTGAGGAGGCCACCGACTCAGGAGATGGCCACACAGGCAGCACTGAGACTGACCCCGAGGCCATGGACCTCAGCTCATACCAGCAACCCATGGACCTCAACCATGAGGAGGAGGAGCATGATGATGATGACGATGAGGGAAATGTCAGTGGGGTGATGCACTGATGGCATGCATTGCTCTACAAACCTCCTCGCCATCACTCTGTATATATCAAGATTGTCAAGTATGTTTCTCTACCAGTGGAGGCAAAGCAGTACTGGAGCTCTCTGGAATGGTTCAAGACCATCCTGCTCGGATACTAGCTGATACTGGTGCTGGTTTGTCCATAGTCTCGGATTCTTTCATTAGTAAGTACCAAATACCTGTCAGGGGTCTCGCGCCTGAAACCCAGGTCGGTCTGTCGAGATACTCGGTGACTATCAAACTGTGCGACAGCTATTGTCTCGGTATCGGTGACTATCAAGTTGTGCAGTGACAGCAGGTGGCGTTCATTGTATATACTATCGTAGGTTTCAGCTGACCTCTGTGGACACTCCGTTCAGGGGTAGCTCGGCACGATCAATATCAATGCTTCAGTTATGATGACACCAAGGTCTGGTGTGAGTGTTGATGATGATGAGGTCGATGTCGTTGGTGATAAGGTTGGTGAGTGTTGATGATAAGGAGGTTGATGGTGTTGGTGATAAGGTTGGTGGTGTCAACACTAGTGTCCAGTGTGTTGACTTGATGCTTGAAGTGATCCCCAGACTGCAGTGGACTACTGCCTTCAGTTCTATCTATATCTGGACCACTAACCTGCTATGGGCGCCTTCGGACATCAGGTAGTGGTGATACAACACACACACTATGATGAGGAGCAACCTTGATAGATTGCTGCTATGCTGACTGTAACTAATGAGTACTTATGTTTCTAAAGTATTTACTAGTTGTATGGTGAGTAGAGTGGATGAGGATCCACTCGACCTATGATGATGAGAAAGCATGGTTATATACCTCTTCACAGCATCGCCAGCAATGCTGCTCCTGCTCTCTCTCCAGAGAGTACCTTCTTCATCGAGTACTGCTCAGGGGCCTCTCCTGCTTGGCACCCCTGTGCCTCTTGAGTGGTGTCGACTCCTTCGACACTGCTCCTCCTCCTCATGACCTGGTGTCAACTCCTTTGACACTGCTCCTCCTCCTCATGACCTGGTGTCGACTCCCTCGACACTGCTCCTCTTCCTCAGGACCTGCTTGCCAGTGTCCTATGACTCTTGTCTCTCGAGCCCCTGAGTGGTAACCATCTGAGCTTGGTCCTCTTCGTGGCTGTGCCTGCTCCTTGAGCTTGGTCCTCCTTGTGGCTGTGCCTGGCCCTCCTCGCATGTGGCTCGGTTCTCCTTTTGCATGTGAGTCCATAGGAGTCCATGGTCTCCATGGAGACTGCACTACGACCATGCTCCCTACTGGTATCGACTAGATCTTCGATACCTGTGCTCCTTCCATATGAACCAATGACCCTCCTGCTTCTTGAGCATCCAGGCCCATGACAAACACCAGCAACAACAACAACAACATGGACTCTTCATTCAATCTTCCTGTCTTGTAGCATTACATGTACTATCATCCAGTCTCAATGCAAAGTCATTTCTGAGTGTTTTTCTGTAGAGTGCAAGTATGAGGTGAATAAAAATGATGCACAGCACAGTCACATAATGAGCTCAAAAGCATTTAAACAAAAAATTTCACTCTCACACCTCTTCCATTACTACCACCACTCCACTCTGCAACCTTTCGGCATCGCTCTTGCTGCCATCCCCCCTCTCCATCCCCCCTCTCCATCCCCCCTCTCAATGTTCCCTCTCCAACTCTCTTCCTCCTTCCAGCCATGGTGTGCTACAGCGACAAGCAAGTAATTCTCAATGACATTGTCCACACTCTCGAGCTCTCTATACCTGTGGAGGTCATCCAAAACACTGACAGAGTGCAGCACGCCTGCAGCACTGACATCGACAACTTGGACAATGATGGCAACCCGATTCCGCTCTCATGACACCTTGTCTGCTTGTACACTTTCATATGCAAGCAAAGGTACACAATCACACATTGCACTCCTCTTGGCTGCACCAATAAGCTTATCCACCTTCTCAACAGGTACAAATCAAGCAATCATAGGATGTATCATGGACTTGTTTGTATGTCACCTGAAGCATTCAACAATCTTGCCATCTGACTCCAGCAAACAGAGGCTTTCTGGTGGAACTACAGCAGCTCAGGTGTGATGTCTCTCAACAAAGTGCAAGAGATTCTTTCAGTGGCTCTGTACAGACTTGGCCATTCTGGAAATGGAGGTGGTGAACATGATGCTGCTTTGCAATGTGGTTGTGGTGTTGGGAGCATTGTTGGATACACCAATCGCACAGTCACTGGCCTCCTTGAGCTAAACAACAAGGTCATGCAGTTTGCTTCAGAGGGAGAGAGACAACATGCTTCTGCCTGGGTGTGCAATACAACTGGGGTTGAAGAGTGGGGTAAGGGCTGGCTTGTGGTGGATGGCACACACATCCCTCTTGCCTGGAAGCCAGGAGTGCTCAGTCAAGATTTGAAGGTTTGGGCCTCAGGCAGCAACATCCTGAAAAAGCCTCACCTGTACCTTGATGAAGGTGAGTTCATCTGGGTTGATGGTGGAAATGGCCATTCTGCCTTCACAGTTGGACCATTCTCTCACATTGCTGCCGACAAGAGTCAAGACCTTCAACACTTCAACTACATGCTCTCTTGAGTCCAAGTACGAGTTGAACATGCCATTGCATACCTGAAGAACTGCTTCCAGTGCCTTACAGGCTATCATGGTAACATCTACCGTTTCAAGGACTGCATCACTGCTGCTGAGACAATCCAAGCCTGCATTGTTGCCCACACCTTTGAAAGTCAATATGACCATCCTGCTGATATTGCTGACCTGCTGTTGCCCTCTTTCTCTGATGATGAGGTGAGTGAGGTTGTTCAAAGCCTCCAACTTGATGCCAGTGATACACAAGAGCTCAGGAGGACAAGATGCACAAATCAGCAGGAATATGAACTGGATCTTGCCACTGCAACACAAGGAATGTCACAGTATGCAGTGTCAAGACTTTGAAGTTCTGCTGCACATGATCTTCGAGAGGGTTTGTTCCAGGCACTGTTCAGATCCACTGGGCGCAATGAGGAAGACACTACTGCATTGTCTCAATATCATGAGAGGACTACTGTGGACTACATTGCCATGACTCAAAGCACATCAGCTTGGAGACAGGAGCAAGTCTTGACACAACCATTCTCGATCTGACAGGCACTCTCTCTTCTTCTGTTCAATACAATTCTTCTCACCACCATATGAAACATTACATTGAGTGCATTGTGTGAAGAGGAAAGCAAGATATAAGCAAGCAATGGGTAATAGTGATGAGAGCAACAAGTAACATGACCACTGTTAGGTTATGTATTTTATCAGCCATATGATTTCATTGCATTTTTGGAAACCCACTTTTCCTTGGGGGGGGTTCAAATTCCCTCCAAAAATGCACTCTCGAAAAAACCCGTGTTTTTAAAATCGCAAAAACTTTGATACCCCCTTAAGGCAGAAACATATACACAATTGACTGAAGGAATGTGGCGAGAGCCTAGTGCTCTCTGTGAGATAAATATACATTCGTGAGGCTGATACCTATCGTGGGAGTATGCTGTTTCATGACCTAGCCTGACAATGAGTGGGACTGTGTTGTATCTGATCTCTCGTCGTATTGGCCCTGTTTGATTCATGATCAGATCTCCTTTCCCGATTATACTCTAGATCGATCTGGCCCGATTCTTCGTCACTTTGGCTCTCCACTGGATCGTTATTTTCAGCACAAACAAGGGTTTTTTTCGAAAGAAAGTGTGTGAGCTCTACTTCGATCTCACATACTTCGCCAACTTCCCTTATACGGGTATCACATAAGCCCAAACTAACTGTCACGATAGACATCGGCATACTGGCTATCAGAAATCCAACAAAGTTTCCCCGTTACGTTTCAGTCTCATCATCCTTGTATCATACTTGTATACACGGGAAGACATATACATAGATTTGAATCATCTTGTACTTAGTTCATGATCAGTATCGCATTCAATACTTGTGATCAACGCCATTTGTCGCACGCCCTAACAACATTTCCAACTCGGCTCCGACGCGCGTCAAATTGGCATTTGGATGCGCGCTTTTTCACCGGAGCATCATCAGGATTCCATACGTTGACCCTTTTTTATCATCATCATCATCATCATCTTTAAGCATCTGCCGTTCGTCCGTCATCGCTCGCAAAAGTGGTATCGATAGCTAGGATCTGGTAGCAGCATGTACTGCCAGCTCTAGCGAACTCAGCATAGTCACCACAGCCGCTCGTCCATTACGCTCGTTCTTCAGCTAATTCTCGTCCATTCACAACATATCTCATCATGCAGCATCGGTCAGTCAATCTCTAATTTCGTCACATCTTTGTTATTGCGACCATCGATCTGGAAAAGGTTACTTTCTCCATCCTTGACCGAGGATCAAAGCTCAATAATAGGCTCGTAGGAGCCTTCGAACGCTCGCCAAGATGCCTGGCTACGATCCTGTTCGTGATGCCGGCGGCTCGGATAGGTCGTCCCCACCACCAGCTCATCATGTAGAAAACAGTTCACGTCCTTCACCGTCATCTTCTGCATACGTCCAGCGTTCTGGAGTCTACTACGACGATTCAAACTTGCCAAGGCGCAGCCTGTCTGGTCAGAGCTTGGACAAATACGCCGAGCCCCACGGATCATACGGCCCTCACAGCACGCACGACGCTCATGCTGGTCCGCCCCTTCCCTCCCCACACTCGTCTGCATCTGCATTGCCACCCCACCATTACTATCCGCGCGAGTCGCCGCGATACGCAGACCACGAATACGCAGCACATCGTTCGGATCGCAGCCCTCGGAATTCAATGCACAGCGACGGTCCAGCACAGCCGCCACGCAGCGCATCAATTGCAGACCTCATCGCAGTGAGCGAAATGTCAGAAGCCGAGCACGACAGGCATCGTGAAGCTCACAGATGGTCGACGCAGTACGGTGAAGAAGTGATGCCTGACCACAGCATGAGCAGGTCCAGCAGCGCATCCGGTGGGTTTCAGGGATCTTCAGCCTCGATCGCTCACAGCTCATCGTATCCCCGCATCTCACCACAGGCACCGCGCCAAGCAAGCCGATCGGAACGAAGCCCAAGCATGGCGCATCTTCTCAACGAAGGCACAGCCGGTGCCATCCAGGACCGACCTCGATCCAGCTCACATTCTTCCATATCCTCGCATATCTCACATCCACCGCACCTACCACCACAGCAGCACCCCCACCACTCCAGTCAGATGTCACCCCTCGGCCATCCTTCCGCTTCTCATGCGGCAGCGGGTCCATCTACCCATCTACGCGACCGCTCGACAGGAAGCTATGCCATCCTCGGCGGCTCCGGCTCCGGCTCGTATCGAGTCAGCTCTCCGACCAGCGCTCATCCGTCCGGCGTGCATCCTCAGAGCCTGTCCACCTTGAATCGAGGCGGCTCTAGTCCTTGTTTTGGATCTATGAGTCACCCTGTCGAGAGAGCTCGCCACGCATCTCAGACTGGCTCAGTTGGCATAGGTCCGTTACCGCGATCTTGCTCCACCTCTTACGCATACACAAGCGCTTCGTCAAGCCCAGCTTCCAACGCACATGCACACTTGCAGCCGTCACCGTCGCATCGCTTTGCTGTGCCAGAAGTACCCTTCACTCGCTCTCCCGAGAGCAGGCGTATACCTTTACCTCAGTCGCCCACTTCCATGCACCAACCTCACCTGAGGACGTCTCTGTCTCATGGCCCGCCTCCCCTATGGCATGGAGACGAGTATGAAGCGTCTTCAGCGGGCATGCCACCTCCTCCGATGAACACTTCGCCTCGTAGAAGTAGCACCGCCCAGGTCATGCCGCCAAGACATCCTCCCACAACGCCAGGCGCCGGCATCCCACCAACGCCAGGAAGCGCAACATCTTACAGTGGTTATCCGGTCACTCCTGGCGCTCGCTCACTGCCGCCACACACACCAACCTCGGCTCACCAACGCTACAACGGCGGCGATGGAGATGAGGAGAGCAACTACTTCCCGCGTATGGACGCAAACGCGTCTGGCGTCTACGACCAAGCTCGCGAGAGGCCCACCAGTCTGACAAGCCCGCATCTTCGGCAGTTCGAGCAATCGGGCCATCCTGGGATGGATTACGAGCCAGCATCCACATCGGATGATCGTCGTGGCCTCAGTGATGCTTCCGTCAGGGTTCGCACGCCAGGGTCAGGGTACCATCAGCCTGGCGCAACAGGACGCTCGAGCATGCATCCACCCCCTTCTCTTCCTCCGTCTGCCGTATCGCCGTCCTTTGGCCCGCAACGTTGGAATCACAGCCACATTGAGGACAAGGAGCTGCCACCGGCCAACGGCCATAGCCGCGAGGATGTGAGTCCAGACCGGGCGAGGCGCAGTGTCGAAAGCATGTACGACTCGGGCCGCCGCGGCTCGCACACGCACGACGATACATCAAGAGGCATTGCAAGGGAGGAGCTTACATATCACAACACTCATGACCAGGAAGCAGCGGCAGCAGCTGCAGGTCATGACAAGCACATGTCTGTGGAGCGGGAGTTGAGTCCTGCGATGTCTGCTTCTGAACGTGCGGCGCCAGCGGCAGCGTCGCAAGCACACACTCGACTAACGCACAAACAAGAGGAGAAGAGTGAGAGAAAACGTTCAATCGCATCAGAAAGGTCACAAGGAGGCGAAGGTGTCAAGGAGGACGACTCCCCAAGAGAGCATGCAGAAGCAGATGAAGGCCCAGCGGACATCAAAGCACAGCCGACAGACACAATTCCTCCGCTGCCACGCTACGCACCCACGAAGCGGGTGTCGCAGCCAAAGCAGGTGATGCGGCCCATCGGGATCGAAGAAATCGATCGAAAGCGCGCGCGGTGTCGCAACGCGCTTCGACATGAGTGGGAGCAGCTTCATGGAAAGGACAGCAGGGAAGCGCTCGACGGTATCCTGCGCGAATTCCATTCCAAAATGGCCCAATCGTCCGAGTCAAAGGCCACGTCCAACGGTGCCGACACGTCGTCGACGGATGCCAAGAAGCGTGCGATCGGAGATACGCTCGAGGATGCCGAGGAAGTGGCCGATCACTACAACAAGCGACGAGAAGTAGGTGTCCATGGTCGCGAAGAATCACCCATCATTGCCCTACGCAAGTTCAACAACTGGATCAAGTCGGTGCTGGTTGGCTCCTTTGCGCGTGGACGTGACCCAACGCTAGATGGACGTACACGACCGCGAGGTGGACGCATCCTAGACCTTGGCTGCGGCAAGGGTGGTGATCTGAAGAAGTGGGAAAAGGTGCAACCGAGCGGTCTGGTGGGTGCCGATATCGCGGCGGTCTCGATCGAGCAGGCTATCAAACGTCACAGCGAAGTCAGTCATAAGTACCCAGGCGACTTCTTTGCGTTTGACTGCTTCTCCGTGTCGTTGATAGAAGTGATCCCGCGAGAGCTGTTGGAGCCCATGTTCGACAACGTCACTCTCCAGTTCTGTATGCACTATGCATGGGAGGATGTGCAGAAGGCAAGGGTGATGCTGGACAATGTGTCTCGTTACCTGCGCAAAGGCGGTGTCTTCATGGGCACAATCCCAGACAGCCGGGAGCTGCGAGACAGGATGGTAGCCAGCGCGCACCCCGAGGACCGCTCGTTCGGTAATCGCTACTACAAGGTGGTCTTTGATCAGATCGATGCTTGGCCTGCATTTGGTAACCGATACACCTTCTTCTTGGAGGATGCGGTGGAGAATGTACCAGAATATGTGGTTGATTTTGAAGTGTTTGAGGATCTGGCACAGGAAGTCGGGTTGCGCTGCATCTATCGGAAGAACTTTGCTGAGATCTATCACGAAGGATCGAGGCAGAACGAATACGGCAAGCTGCTGGAAAGGATGAGGGTAGTGGACAGATATGGGTCCTTGAGCTTGGACGAAGAGATGTGGCAAGCAGCGACGCTCTACTTGGGGTTTGCTTTCGAGAAGATGTGACTAAGTTTTACCGAAAAGCAATGTATTGTTACGGTATCCTTCTACATCTTGATCGTCGGTGCTACCGTCTGGGAGAATGGATGGCGATCTCTTTCCGTTTTGTGAGCAAAGCTTGGTGGTCATGACCACGGGCAAGGTGGGCAGAGAGGCTCGCCGTCTTGGTGTCACGCCGAAGGATGAGGCTTCCGATGTACCGGAGCTCAACGATCTCTCCGGCGGAATCATCTAAATATCCTATCATCTTGCCGGCGGTGTCAGAATTCTGATCCCGTCAGCTTCTACAAGTCAGTTGGAGCATGGCGCCATCTTTGCACGCTCTCCCTTGCGATGCGGAGGCCGTCAGAATGTGGTAGCTCGGCAGCCGCTTGTGCCGCATTACGAGATTTGCCGGTCTCTCTGCAGATCGCAGTCCGAAGGGATGATGATGTGAGAGCGGCTGTCAACTCCGCGGCGGCAGCTTCCGTTGTTGTTTTCACGGGCTTGAACGGATGCTGCTCTGTGAGCGCACCGTGTGACCTCTTCTTCTCTTTGAAAGAAGCGACAGGAGACACAGAAGACACAGAGACAGAGACGAGGCAGCTCCGTGAAATTGAGAAAATCTGACATTTTTGCTTGAAATCGGGCAGCCAGAGGCGATGATCGCGGCACATTACGCTCTCATCAGAAAGCGAGCAGCGAGAAAAGCATGTGTGGGAGAGAGTCTAACCACATGAGCGAAAACAGAGAGAGAGCGAAAACAGTGAGAGAGCGAAAACAGTGAGAGAGCGAAAACAGTGAGAGAGCGAAAACAGAGAGAGCGAAAGGCAACGGCAACATCGGTGAGAGAGCGAAATAAATCGGCAGCAAATACAGTTAAGAGGTCAAGAGCGAGCAAGTACAGTAGCTAGGCAGTGGAAGACACTTTTTCCTCATTTTACGAGTTTATTGCCGAGTCTGATAGCGTGGACCAGATGGTCCGGGAAAGCACCGAATCGGCGTGGTCCTATGTGAATTGTGTACATCGACGCTAGAGTAAGAGAGTCAGAGAGCAACAGGAGGAGGCCTTGTCAGTCCAGCCGATCCGGTCATCGTCCAAGTGAAGGCTCTCATGAACAGCTGCAGCCAGCCAGCTTTCTTCTTGTGGCAGCTTCCGCGAATCATGCCCTTCTACTCTTGCTCAACTGAATCTCATCATCGCTTCGTCCTCCCACCATCTCCTCTGCCATCCCTTCCTACGACGCTACGTCCTCAAAAATTTGTTCTGCCAACCGTTCCCTCCTGACCATCTTCCGGGACGGCCTCATACACGCATCCTTTCCTCGGCAGCTTCCTCGTCGCTTCCCCTTGCAACGGCTTCAGCACCCTTTTCAATCCGTCACCGTTCGAGTCGAACGCTGTTGACATTCGGGCCATCTAGAGGTCTCCTTCTTGATCCTATCTTCCAAGCCTCCGTGCCCCATCTTACATTCATCAGTGTTGGCAACGTCACATCCACTTTCAAAGCAAAAGTTTCGCATCTAGGACATGTCTCGTCAAACGGTAAGATTTGGTATAGGCTTCCCCTATCGACTTCCAATCCGAACAGAAAAGGAGAGGGCATAGCTGACTCTCGCTTCCCTTGCATCTACGCTTGAACGGAAACGCACGCTGCTGAATCACCCTTTCCACTTCTTCTCAGCCCACCGCTCCCATGCCAAGAATGACCGATTCGCAAGCTGGTCCAGGCGGACCTTCATCGCTCAAGTTTGCAGCTCTCTCTGTTCAAAGCTTCCATCTCGACAGTCCACCATTCACCGGAGCAGCAGTTGGAGGTGCCGGCCCACTGGTCGAAGCAGGTCAACGGTTGTCCAGTCACGACTCTGATCCACCTTCCCATCGTTCCGATAGCAGCTCATCTCAACACCAGCAACCACACAGTCCCTCACCCAACGTCCGCGAACCACGGAGACCCGGCGGAAGCAGTCCTCTCTCCAGAGCCACATCCTTCTCACCCTCCGGCGACGATCACGATCCTTACACTCGTTCCATGTCACAGGCTCGCTCACCACCACCAGCTTCATCGTCACATCACCACCACCACGAGCCCAGCATCAAGGCACCAACAGCAGAACGACAATCTCTACTCAACGGCATGACCAATTCAAGTGCAGACGCCGCATCACCCTCTTCGCACTCTAGATCGCATTCAAATGCCGGAGACGAGACCCGCACGCAAGCTCAATACGATCGCGATGTGCCTCAGTGGGACCTCGACGGAAAGCTTTCTTCGCGAGACGCAAGTTCTGCAAGCTTAGCCACTCTCTCACCCAACAGAATGGTGACCAGTCTCACTTCAACAGATGCCTCGACCTCTGCGGATCGACCTGCTATGCATCGCTCGGAAGCATCTAAGGCCAGCGATCGTCAAGATGCATCCACCACACGTGCTTCTTCCGGATGGCCGCAGCAAACAGACAGCAATGCTTCTAGTCAGAGTCGCACCTCACCTTTCCGAACTGCCGATTCAGAAGATAGGCCCGCATACTCACAGTTCTCCGAGGACGTCGACGCACAGGAGGATGCAGGCTCATCTGCTGCAGAGCCTGATGATGAAGTTGATGGCGTCGAAGGTCTGGCACCAGATGCTCGTCTTCGAGATTCTCGTGTGCCACAGCAAGGTCAGACGCAGGCAGACTACGCATTCCCCAGACATCGTCTGCCCACCAAGATGCGCGATGAGACCAAGACGCCGCTTGTCATCGTCGCATGCGGGAGTTTCTCGCCCCCTACCTATCTCCACTTGCGTATCTTCGAGATGGCAAAGGACCAGATCATCGAGTCTGGCAAGTACGAGCTGCTTGCCGGCTACTACTCTCCCGTATCAGATTACTACAAGAAGGAAGGTCTCGCCAAAGCTACTCATCGTGTGCGAATGTGCGAGCTCGCAGTCGAAAAGACATCGACATGGCTGATGGTCGACGCTTGGGAGTCGCTGCAAGACGAGTATCAGCGTACAGCGGTGGTGCTCGACCACTTCCACGAGGAAATCAATGGCCCCGCCAACGGCGGCGTCCTTCTCAGCGACGGTTCTCGCAAGAACGTAAAGATCATGCTCCTTGCTGGTGGAGATCTTATCCAGAGTATGGGAGAGCCAGGCGTGTGGGCTACCGCGGACTTGCATCACATCCTGGGTCAGTATGGCTGTCTCATTGTGGAGCGCACAGGTGCCGATGTCTGGTCCTTCTTGCTTTCACACGACCTGCTCTGGAAGTATCGACGTAACCTCAAGATCATCAAACAGACCATCTACAACGACATTTCCTCTTCCAAAGTACGCCTGTTCGTTCGAAGAGGACAGTCCATCAAGTATCTCCTCCCCAACAGCGTCATCCAGTACATTGAACAAGAGGATCTGGTAAGTAGCTCAAAACATCTTTTCGCAAATGCGATGCTGCAACGGCGTCCTCTGACTAACACGCGCCCTCTATCTCCTCCTTCACCTTGTTGACAGTATTGCTTGCCACCCGACGAGGACCTCAAATTTGAGCCGGAACATCCGAATTGGTGATCGCTCGAGCTCCTAATCCGAGCAACGTTCGGCAGCGCTTACTTATTCGTCTCATCGCCATATCCATCTCTCTTGTACAACAAGCAATAGACAACTCCAATATTCCCAGACTGCTCGTGTAACTGTGAACAGTCCTTCTGCAGGCATCGCAATGCTTCGCTAGCCTCGCTGATGACACAGGGTAGGCAAAGCCTAGCCCTAGGTTACCGTCCATTGGCGCTACGTGTCGGAAACAGCACGCTCGTGCCACATTGCCGTCACGATACTTCTGATGGCGACATTTCGCCCAAGCCACAGGCTCAAGAGTGACTTTCGTGTGGAAACAACACATTTTGATCTGTGGTGGAGATGATCGTATTGACATCTATAATCTGCCAGACACAGGTGATGTGGTTCATGGTTATGCCACGAAGAAGTTCAGCGTATGAACAAGGATGAAACCTTGACGAGGTGAAATGTTGTCGCCGAGTTGAAGTTATGCAAAACACCGCTTCGTCCGGGCTACGTTCTAGCTCCTTTCGCACAGGGGTATGATAGATGCAATGCTTAAGATTTTCATCAGTTGAAGCTATGGAACATGAGTATATGTACCTTCACTTCCTCAGTGTGGATGTCAAACTCTCTCCTACAAACTAGGTGTATTGTAGTGAGCCTGTGTGCCATTCTCCTTGAGGAGCTCCTGATTTGACCAGCATGCTGTCATAGGGTATGTGCAGAAGTTGAAGTTTATGCAATACACCACTTCGTCCTGGCTACGTTCTAGCTCCTTTCGTACAGGTGTAAGATAGATGCAATGCTTAGATTCAGATAGACTAAGACTACAATAGTGTGAGGATATATATACCTTTGCTTCATTCATGAGAATGGCTATCCACACCCTGCAAACTAGGTGTGTCATGAGGAGCCTTGGCATTTTCCTCCTTGGTCTCAGTGTTCCTCTCTCTAAATGTGTCCTGATTGGTCACCACCAAAATTATCATGCATGCACAATCCTTGGCCTGTCAGTGGCTTGGCTCTCTTGCATGTTTGTCATTCTGGTGCAACTTCAACTCCCAACCTTGCTGGTATTACCAAACCCATTGCTTGAGCTAATCAAGTTGTCTCTCCTCCTTTCAATGGCTTTGTGAGGATGTCCACCATGTTACTTGTCATTCTGATGTACTTGATCATGATGTTGCCTTCTTGCACATGGTCCCTAACAAAGTAATATCACATGTCAATATGTTTGAGCTTCCAGTGTTTGGCTGGGTCTTTACTTACTTGTATACATCCTTGACTGTCAGTGCGAAGTGCTAGTTTGATGTCATCAAACCCTAAGTCTCATAGTAGGTATGAGAAAAATAGAGCTTCCCATGCTGCTTCCAATGCAGCAACAAACTTTGCTTCTACTGCTGAGAGGGCCACACATTTTTGCACATGGGATTGCCAGCTCACTGGACACCCATATAAATGTGATTGCTCCCAATGTGCTCCTTTGACTGTTTGTGGGATCTGATGCCCAATTCACATTGGTGTATGTCACCACTGCTCCCCTTTCCTCATTTGGCCCCTTTCCTAGTTTCAGGCAGTATTTGCTTGTTTGATTTAGGTATTTCAGCACATGGATTGCCACATGCCAGGCTCCTTTGATCAGAGTCATCATGTGTCATGCTAAAGTTCCCACCGTGATTGAGATGTCCGGTCACACTGTGTTGGATATCTGTCAGAGGTCTCACACCTAAAACCTGATATCTGTAATAGAGACGTGTATATTACTTACAAGGGGGTTCCATTTTTAAATCGAGTAGGGTTGCTTACAAGGTAGTTCCCGGGTAGGGTTGGCAACCAAACACCCCACTTCTATTGCATAGTATGATAGTCTAGGATGAGTATGGCAAGAGTCATTAAGTGACCCTATGCAAGTTGACTATAAAACTGGGGAGTAGGGGTGGGTTGAAAGTAGGGTCACTGACCCTATGAAAAAATCTTTTGTTGGAGATTGGCAAGTCTGATGGTCCACAAAGGTGTGTATTGCCAAGAAACACATGTTTGCAAGATGGCAGGGATATAGAATGGGTATTGAGGGGGTAGGGTTGGAAAGAGTTGCAAAAAGGCCAAAACCAAAGGGGGGACCCTTGGAGCTCTGAGCACTGAAAAAAAGGTGCACATTTTGCATTGAGCCCATAATGAAGGATGTGTGTATTGGTGTCAAACAGGTGTATGCAGAGTCTCAGGAGCTGGTCATGCATGGTGACAGAGGGGTAGGGTGAAAAGTATTTTCTCAACCCTACCCTATAGGGTTGGACCCTATTGGCATAATAAAGGGTCCCTTTTTCAGTGATTCTGGGGCAAGCAAACCACCAGAACCTGATTCAAGCACTCTCTGGACAAAGTGATGTTGGACGAGGTAGGGTTCTAAGGGCGTCCGGCCGTGGGGCAGATGCGTCTTGCGCTCCTCGAAGACAGTCCAATTTAATTTTGAAGACGGTCCATTTCAAAATTCAAGATGGTTCAATACAAAATTCAAGACAGTCCATTTTAAAATTCAAGACAGTCCATTACAATTTCGAAGACAGTCCATTACAATTTTGAAGACTTAGGGTTACAAGGGGGTTCCATTTTTAAATCAAGTAGGGTTGCTTAATCAAAGTTGTAGTACTACCCAAACTATGCATGTTTCATTATCCAACCCTACTCAAGTTGAGTAATAAAATTTTCCAATACAGCTTGGTGAAGTTGGGCCTGGTACAAGTCAGGTCATTGAAATATTGATATTTTTGACATGCACCCATAATAAAAGTTGTTGCTCTATACACCAATAAGAGTGTCCTAGACTGTCTTGATGATAGACCAACCTGTTGTGGAGCTGTGGCCAACTTTGCATTTTTGAAATTTTGGCCAAAGCTGCAAGGGTTAGGGTTAGGGTTAGGGTTACAAGGGTGTTCCCAGCGAGACCCTTGGAAACATGAAATCTGTACTAATGAGATATGTAGGGATACCCTAGCCCTAGCCGGTGTGTCTTGCTTGCGGGCAACGCACAATTGCACTCTGCCAAATTCGAAATTCACGCGACTGCGTTGACCCCCAATGCACTCGAAATTTACACTGCTCAAGTGCCGCAACGCAAACAAATTTATTTTTGCTGGAGCAGCGCAAATTGAGCAACACACAGCTGGAGCAACACACTCACAGCTGGAGCAACGCACACTCTGCTGGAGCAACACAATCTGAGCAGCACACAGCTCGAGAGCAACACACTGTTCGAGAGCAACACACAGCTCAAGAGCAACGCACTGCTTGAGAGCAACGCACTGTTCGAGAACAACACACTGTTCGAGAGCAACGCACTCACAGCTGGAGCAATGCACACTCTGCTGGAGCAGCGCAATTTGAGCAACACACAGCTCAAGAGCAATGCAGAGCTCCAGCACAACTCTTGCACTTACACCCCACAACTACTCAGCCTTACAACTCCTTTGTTGACATCATGAGCCTCCTTTGCACTCTTAGACCTTTGTTCTTGCTGCCACTACTTCTCATCATCACCGCACAACATAATCACCACTTGTCTTCATCAGCTGTTGTTCTCTCTCATGCTCACACCTCACTACTGCTCAGCCTTACAGCACCTTTGTTGACATCATTTCTCTCTCACACTCACACCTCACTACCAATCAGCCTTGCAACACCTTTGTCAACATCATCAGCCTTTGTCCTAGCCCTAGCCCTAGCCCTAGCCGGTGTGTCTTGCTTGCGGGCAACGCACAATTGCGCTCCGCCAAATTCGAAATTCACGCGACTGCGTTGACCCCCAACGCACTCGAAATTTACACTGCTCAAGTGCCGCAACGCAAACAAATTTATTTTTGCTGGAGCAGCGCAAATTGAGCAACGCACAGCTGGAGCAACGCACACTCTGCTGGAGCAACGCAATCTGAGCAGCGCACAGCTCGAGAGCAACGCACTGTTCGAGAGCAACGCACAGCTCAAGAGCAACACACAGCTCAAGAGCAACGCACAGCTGGAGCAACGCAATCTGAGAAGCGCAATCTCATCAGCAAACTGCTGGACAGCGCACACTCTGTCGGAGCAGCACAATTGAGAGCAGCACAATTGAGAGGAGCGCAATCGAGAGGAGCGCTCACTCTGCTGGAGCAGCACAATCAAGAGCAGCGCAATCGACAGGAGCACAATCAAGAGGAGCGCAATCAAGACGAACGCAATCTACAGGAGCGCAATCGACAAAAGTGCAATCAACAGCAGCTCAATCGACAGGAGCACAATCAAGAGGAGTGCAAGCAACAGGAGCGAGCACTCTGCTGCAGCAGCGCAATCGAGAGGAGCGCACTCACGAGCAGAGCAGGAGAGAGGAGCACAATCGAAAGTAGCGCAAGAGAGAGCAGAGCGAGAGAGAGGAGCGTAATCGACAGGAGAGCAATCTAGAGACGAGCAGCAGAGAGGAGCGCAATCGACAAGAGTGCATTCGACAGGAGCACAATCGAAAGGAGCTCAATCGAAAGGAGCTCAATGGACAGGAGCTCAATAGACAGGAGAGCAATCGACAGGAGCACAATCAAGAGGAGTGCAATCGACAGGAGCGAGCACTCTGCTGCAGCAGCGCAATCGAGAGGAGCGCAATCGACAGGAGCTCACTCGAGAGCATAGGAAGAGAGAGGAGCGCAATTGATAACAGCACAAAGCTCAATCAATAGCAGCACAATGGACAGGAGCGCAATCGAGAGCAGAGCAATCGACAGGAGCGCAATCGACAGGAGCTCATTGCAGAGGAGCGCAATTGACAGGAGCGCAAACGAGAGCAGAGCAAGAGACAAAAGCGCAATTGAGAGCAGAGCAGGAGAGAGGAGCGCAATCGACAGTAGTGCAAGAGAGAGCAGAGCGAGAGAGAGGAGAGCAATCAACAGGAGCGCAACTAAGAGGAGCTCAATCGAGAGCAGAGCAAGAGAGAGGAGTGAAATTAAGACGAACGCAATCAACAGGAGAGGAAGATAGAGCAGCACAAG